CAACAACAAAAAAGAAAAAAATACTGAAAACCATGACATAAAGTAGAGCACTTTTGTGTGTGTGTATGTGTGTGTGTGGTATTTTATTACATGTACATATTGTATAAGGAATTAGCTCTTAGGCATATTAAAAGCACAATATATAAAATTTAAAAGCTGTATCTCTTGTGTACCTTAAAAAACACCACAAAGAAAATTAAGCTAGTCATGTTTTGAATGATAATGTCATTATCTAAAATACGCTGTGGATGCCCGGGACCACTGTCTAAGAAGAATCCTGAAGGGGACGCTGATATGCCTGTAATATTCTCTTGCTTGAATGACACAATTCAAACACCATTCCTCCTGCAGCACTGCTGTCAGTCCGCGCTCCTGTGATGGCGGAGACGAGCAGGAACCACAGGCTTGCTCACATTCCTGAACACCCTGGCGTTCGCCGAGTGTACATGAGAAGGGCTTTAACTTAAACCCTGCAACGTTTCTACCCGGAAGCAGAGTCACACAGGCTCTAAATCCTGGTTCTGTCTTAGACTCTTGATGAATGTACATACACTCCAGAACACGCTTGTTTCATCAACATTAAATACTTGTTCTGGTAAATATTTTTTTAAAAGATTTATTTTCTTTATTTTCATTGGAAAGTCAGATATACAGAGAGGAGAGACAAAGAAGATCTTCCGTCTGCTGATTCACTCCCCAAGTGAACTCACGGCTGGAGCTACACCAATCCAAAGCCAGGAGCCAGGAGCTTCCTCCAGATCTCCCACGTGGGTGCAGGGGCCCAAGGCCTTGGGCCATCATCGACTGGCCCAAACTGGATGGGAAGTGGAGCAGCAGGGATACAAACTGGCACCCATATGGGTTCCCTGTGAGTGTAAGGTGAGGATTTTAGCCGCTAGGCTATCATGCTGTGCCCAATGCTCTGGTAAATATTTCTCCATAATTATCATATTCAGCTGTCTTTAAGAGCTTCAGCACATTTGATATCGCGTCCGCTGGCTCAACTGACCTTCACAGTGTGAAAATTCTGACGCGTTTTCAAGCGCTGGAACCACCATGACTTGCTGTGAACATCTGTGTGCCGGAGTCCAGCTCCAGCTGAGTTCACACCTTCATGTCATCCACACCTACTGCACGGACCTCAGCATCTGTGCATATGCAGGATCCTCAGCACGCTCTCTGAGCTCTTGAAGAGACTTCCGCCCTGTCTGGGTTGTCAGCAGGCTAAGTGCAATGCACTGCTGATCGACTTTTCCAGCCAGGCAACAAGCAACTTTCCCTTCGCATCAATGGACCTGCTCTTGCCTTCATAAGGACGTTGACTTTGCTGCATCACTGATTCGCTGCTTATCCTTGAAGATAGAGGAGTCTGGACTGTGACAGTCCTAACCACATGCCACGACCATCACTGGCTTGCCACCCTCATGCTGAGCAAGTATCTTGAGTTTCTCCTCAAGGACAATAGCCTTCCTCTTCCTTGCACCAGAAGCAGAAGACAGAAACAAACATTTTGAAGACATCATGGGATAGAAAAATACAAATCACAATATCCCAAAAGGCTGGCAGCACAATCCACTGTGGGGTACCAGCTGCTTGCCTCCAGGATGGCGTGGCCCACTGCCACTGCCCAGCACCAGTACAGTACTGTCCCACACTTCCCTAGCCCAGGGAAAGATAACAGTGTGACGCAGGGTTCCCACGGGATGTGTAGCACTTTCACATTGTAAAGCTGAGAACTCTTAAGATGAGCCGTTTCAAGTTGGGGCGGTCTGTAATCAGACAATATCAAGCGTTGGTTAGGAAGTGAGGAAAGAGGCGGACGAGTGGATGCCTACGACCGGGCGTAAGAAAGGGGACTGCTCTGTGACTGGAAACAAAGACATTTTTTTTTAGATGACAAGGATGGGTTAAGAGTTTAAACTGTAGTAAGAGTTGCACAATTCCACAAAAATACTAGCACCAGTGAGTTCACTTACAAGTGTGAATTTCATTGTATGTGAACTGCCTCCAATACAACTGTACAAAAGTTCCAGGGAACTCAAATCTGTCCCATTCCAGTCCAACAAAACAAACAAAAGGATTTGAATAAATAAATACAGAAAATTAGGGCATAGCTGCTATTTCAGAAGTCAACTTTTACTAGATCCGCTACATTATCTGCAACACACATACAAACACACCAAAGCCACAGGTTATAAGCCAGCCTTTGCACCCAGCACAGTACTTCTTTAAAATTAAAAACAGAAATGAACCAAGCCCAAACTTTGATTGCCTGTCGCTGACTACAAGGTCCTTTCAATAACACAATTTTTTAGCCTCCACAAAAAAGTGAAATTTCACATATTTCAGCAATTTGCCATTTAATATTGTGCCAATATTATGTATCTACGTTTATGTATACAAGCCATCTGTTTTGTCTCACTTATGTTTTTCTGAAAGACATACTGTGATTTATGCATCTAGAAAACATCTTTAACATTCTATTTTGTAAATGTATTTGAAAAATATTTTGACATGTTTTTTACCAACCAGCCCCGAAAGCTATGCCTTCATAGCTCAGCAATGAGCTCATGATGCACAGGAACAATGTCTCGAATCGGCAAAGGACGTGCACAGGATCCCTGACCAGAATGGTTCCTCCCGCAGTGCTGCGCGTTTGCAGTGGCCCAGTGACGACACTGGACCAGCAGAAACTGCCTCCGTTTCCGACCTTAGCCGGGCCCAGCACTGTGCAGTATGATTTTTTCGACGCTGGGCGGCAGCCGCGAGTGGCGGGTCCTAACCGCGCCAAGGAACCGCCAGGGCAAACAACTTGAGGCGTGCTCCAGGGGACCACGCAGCTGGCGTTTACAGGGAGCCTGGGTAAAGTGCACCCCATCACGCCTGCAAAGTGCCCACCTCTGTGTGTTCATGAGACACACAGTTATAAAATAGGTCTTTGTTATAAAATAGGTCCTGTGATGGATGATTTTACCCACCAGTAGGTTAATGGAAGGTCCTGGGCATGTTTAGGGTGGAGAGGGCTAAGCTTTGATGCTCAGCAGATCGGGTTTATTTATTTCAACTCATGAGATTGTCAACTTATGATGGAGTTATCTGGACAGCACTTCATCAAAAGTCAAGGAACATCTGAACTTGATACGTGGATTCACAGATAATACACACATGTACATTATACATAAACAAATATATATCATGACATCTATTTTCCTCCTGCATAACAAAAATGCCCTTCTTTAAATCAACAAGCCTTCCTGTCTAACTCACTCTAAATTAACAAATAATAATTGACATGTTTATATCCATCTTCTAATTTCTTATTCTAAATGACTACTTCAGAGAATAAAATGGCTTAGTTTCTTTTTCTTACATTTTTCCTGGTAAGAACCTAAAGCTCTAAACACATTCCTTTCCTTATCAACTATTACTTTCTTTCCTCTACTGTATTTCTAACTAGAAATTCCCTTTCACTCTGCTAGTCCATCACCCATGCGCCCTTCCACCCACCTGCGGCATTTAGTTTTGCCTAAATATTACTGGGCATAGATAAGCTGCTATGCCCCTAGCACATCAAAGCTGCGGGGTTCCCAAGGTCATTCCCTGTCTCCAGGGGCAGCATTTTCATTTCCTGTAAGAGGCAGGGTGAGAAAGGAGCCAAAGGTTTTCACAGCTTTTCTGCAGGTGTAGTGGAGAACATTACCACACACACACACTGGCAGGCGAGGTCGTAAGAGAGTTGATGCATGCTACAGGAATCCAGACCCCATGCTTTTGGACTACATTCTGGGGTTTTGTCACTAAAATGCTGGGTCGAGGGAGGCGAGGAGACAGCAGTGGGTTAAAGAAGACAAGGCTTGACTTTCCAAGGCCTGTATGGCAGGGTCTGAAGTAAGATTTGTGTCCGCGGGATTTACACAGACGGGATGTTGACGGCTTTAAGGGGAAATCGGGCAGGCTGCACGGATCCACGGCTTGAGATGTCCCCGCCGGAAAACTCCCACAGGTGATGGCAGAGGCAACACAAAGTTCCACCGGGTTTGGGGGAAACCTCACTATTTACTCCCTTCGACCTCACAGATCATGACAACCACGACACGACTCTTTGTCCAAGGCAAATTTAAATAAGCGTTTCTCAAATTTCGACTTATTTAAGACAAACGCTCCTTAATCCCCACCCCACCGCACCCCCAAAAAAGACTTCCTAAGGTGAAAGCACGCGACCGATCGATCGTCTTCAGACCAAATGGAATGTCCACTCGCTTCTAAATGAGTCCGGACGGGAACTGTTATCCAGAGCCAGTGACCAGGACGCGGCCTCCTGGGCGCCCCTCTCCGTCCAGGCCCGGCCACCCAGCGTCGGAAGCCCCGGCAGGAGCCCCAGGACGACCCTCCAGCCGACCCCACACATCCCCCAGAGCGCGCCCGCGGCCGGCGGGACGTCCCCACAGGTCAAGGCGTCGTTGACCGTGACCAGGTCCGGCTGACTCGCTCGGATCCCAGCAAAAAAAAAAAAAAAACAAAAAACGATCCTCACAACGCCCCGGCCTCCAGAGACTCACCCGGCTCGCGGCCACACGCAGAGTGCCGAAATGGCGGGGTCACAGTCGAGAGCTTCACCCCACCAGCCACTGAACCCCAGCACCCTCCAAGGCTGACCCCGACCCACCTGCCGGCCCGCCGACGCGCATGCGCCACCCTGACTGGACCAGCCCACTCTGGACGGCTACTGTGGGGGGGGAGGAGAGTGAGCGAATCCACTGAGACGTGCTCCGCCTTACCAGACAAACGAACCAACAAACCAGACTTGGCAGCGGAGCACAGGATTGCTTACACCATCTTCTCTACAAAGATAAACAGCGCCGGGGTTGGATATTCCACTCCTGCCACACGCACTGCCCCCCCGAAATCCAAGCACGATCCCAAGTGCGAGCCACGCCCCCAGGGGCCGGGCTTGGGAGCGGCGCGCGCTGCCATTGGTGGGTTTTGAAGGCGCCCGGAGCGGGAAGGGCGACTGCGACGAGCGAGCGCGGCTGGAGATGTGGGCCGGTAGGAGAGACCCGGGCGGCTTGGGTTCGTGGCCCGAGGGGGCGAGGGGCTGGCCCCAGCCCCCAGGGCGGCCTCCTCAAGACGGGTTCCCTGCCCGGGGGTCCGAGGAGACCACACTGGAGGCTGAGGTGGGGAGGGCGGTGGCGCTTGGCGGTCGCGTCACGTCCGCCAGGACCTTGTTGTCACGTGACCCGCCAACTGGGATGTTGTTGACTAAACCTGCATCCTCCTTTGTGGGTCGCACTTGTCCCTTGAGCACCGTGCGTCTCCAGAAACTCCACTTTAGCGGGGGTTTGCGTTGGGTTCCACTCCATTCAGCAGGTAGCGTCCTGAGCCCCTGCCGTGTCCCTGTAGACGCCTCAGTCCCGCTGTTGCTTCGATGTCTGCGTTTAGAGAGTCACAGTTAAAGTTGACTAATTCAGAATGGAATGAGGGGATTTTCCTTTCGCTCTCCTCTGCCCAATGCAGCCATAAGAGACGGTAGCTACTCTGATTTGGAGCTGCTGGCAAAAGCCCTGATGTTGTCATGGGTTGTTTTCCCCCATCCCAAAACCCTGGATCCTGCCCACGACTGCCAGCTTCGTTTGTCATCACTCCTTGCTTTCCCTCTCTCTCTGGGATCTATGTACTGATGTAAAACAGAGACAGAGGTCGTCCAGCCACTTGTTGGCTCTCCCACGGTAGCAGCAGCAGGTGGGACTGGGCAGGACTGCGATCAGGAGCCTGGCACTCCGTTTGGAGTCCCACGTGGCTGGCAGGGGCCCGAGCACCCAGCTGGTGTCTCAGCAGGAACTGAGCCAGTGCTCACAGGGTTAGACCATGGTGCAAACCCAGATCCATGGCCTCTTGCTTCTGATTTGGGAGCAGCCTGTAGAGCATTTACCAGTTTTAACTTATTTTCTGATGTTCCTGTTGACGCTGGCCCCTCATAGAATGGGTGCCCCGTACTGTCAGGGGTGTTTCTCTTTGCAGTTAAAACGTGCCTTGGATGCACACATGGCTACTTTGTGAGGAGTTGCATGAATCAATGAATGGATGAATGATTTACTTGTCGCCATTCTAGCCAAGAAAGGAGAAATAGCACTCTAAAACATACAGCTTAAGGAGAAAATCAGATCCTCGTGTCCAAGCCCTGTTTGGACAGAGGCTGGAACGTAAGGTCAGCATTTCCATGTTTGGCCTGCAAACTCAGAGCGCCATTGAAACAGGCTTTTGCCCGTCTGGGGTGCCCTGTGGATCCTGCTCACGCCCGTCGCGCTGTCCGGGTCTGTTGAAGTGCCGCCGGGATGGAGGAGACGGTTGCCGAGCTCATCCGGAGGACCATCTTGAGAGTCCCCATGTCTGCGGTGATGACCGTCCTGAAAGCCTGGGACTTTCTCTCTCAAGATGGACTGCAGGCGTTGAACCCGCGGCAGAGGAAGGAGTCTATCGCGCAGAGCGTGGTCCTGCAGTGTGAGGTAACCAGGCTCAGAGGTGCCCCGCCAGCGCCCGCTGCTCTTCTCCCTGGCTGTGCTCAGTCCAGGACGGGGTCGAAGCAGCCCCTCAGCGGAGGGATGAGGGCTGGGTTCTGCCAAGTACACTGGAAACCACTTGTTAGTTGGCTTTTCAGCCTGTAAAGAATGGAGGAACACTTCCAGATCCATGAGAAAAAAGCAAAGGAGTACCATGGAGGGAGATCTCAGAACAAGCAAAAATAACAAGTAGTGCTTTTTTGTGCATTTTTTTAACCTACTCATCAGACTAAAAGATAGTGTCATTGAAGCATGTTGACAAAGTTGTAAGGAAAGAGCTACTCTTAATTGGTTATTTATCAACTTTGTTGTAAAATTATTTTAGATTCAACAAAGTGCCCAGTGCCAACAATTCCTGCGTTCTGTCATATAATTTTCCATTCACTTTTTTCTTTTTTAAGATTTATTTTGATTGGAAAGACAGATTTACAGAGAGAAGGAAAGACTGCAAGCAGGAGCTGGATGGGAAGTGGGGCTGCCAGGACACGAACCAGCACCCACATGGGGTCCTGGCGAGTGTAAGGTGAAGACTTCAGCTGCTAGGCTACTGGGCCAGGCCCTATATAGCTCCTTTTTTAAAAATTACTTTTAGTATAGATTACCAGAAGTTGAATTGCTAGTTCAAAATATAATAGCTTAAGCATGAAAGGGGGTGGGGCAGTGGTGGTGTGGTAGCTCAATAGGCCAATCCTCTGTCTGCTACACCAGCATCCCTTATGGGCATTTGTTCAGATCTTGGCTGCTCCACTTCCTGATCCAGCTCCCTGCTTACGGGGTGGAAAAGCAGTGGAGGATGGCCCAATTCCTTGGGCCACATACCCATGTGTGAGATGCAGAAGAAGCTCCTGGCTTCAGACTGGATCAGTTCCGGTTGATACTGCCATTTGAGGGGTGAACCAGATAGATTGAAGCAGTAGAATGAGTTCCAGATACCTGTGTGCATTCCAAACGTGTGTAGTTAGTTATTGACAAGGTACCAGGAGCAGTTCTGTGACGGAAAGAGAATCTTTTCCAAAAAATGGTACTGCGATAATTGGATGTGCAATAATTGGATACTCACATCTATTAACAAAAAATGAACTTCGCCCTCTGCACCATGCACAAACCATTAGCTTAAAATAGATTCAAGGGCCAACACCCTGGTGTAGTGCGCTAGGCATCCGGCTGTAGCATCAGCATTCCGTATGGGTGCTGTTTCAAGTCTCAGCACTCTACTTCAATCCAGCTCCCTGCATGTGGCCTGGGAAAGCAGCGGAAGATGGCCCTGGTCCTTGGAGACCTGCACTCACATAGGAGACCTGGAATAAGCTCCTGGCTCTTGGCTTTAGATAGGTTCAGTTCTGGCTGTCCAGTACTAGTAACAGGCCAATTGTAGAGTGAACCAGTAAATAAAATATCTCTCTGACTCCTCTCTATAAATTGACCTTTCAAATCAAACATAAAATAAATCTTAAAAAACAAAAATCAAAACCCAAATGTAATATCTGAAAATATAAAACACATATGAAGAAACAGAAGAACATTTTTGTGGCCTTGAACAAGGCGAAAGTTTCTTAGACTGAAAACTGGAAGCATTCATAGGAGAAAAATGGCAAACAAGCTGAACTTGAATAAGATGAGTAAGTTCCAGTGCTGGTGCCCTGGCATTGCCAATAGAACTGCCTGCTACCTTGGCATCAGCATTCCAAATGGTCACAGGTTCCAGTCTCAGTTGTTCCACTTCTGATCTAGCTCCCTGCAAAAGCACTTGGGAGAGCAGCTGAAGATGGGTCAGGTGCTCTTGCCCTTGCACTTGAAGCTGCTGGGTCCTGGCTCTGGCCTGGCACAGTTCTGGCCAATGTCATCTAGAGGAGAGTGAACCAGCAGATGGACGATCTCTCTGTCTCTCCCTCTGTAACTCTCAAATAAATAGATCTTAACAGCAACAACAACAACAAAAAAGATTAGCAAGTGATTTTCTGTTAAGATATTGTTAAAAAGTGACAAGACAAGAAAACAGACAAGTAGAACTTATTTTCATTTCATTATATGATGAAGAACTTGTGTATAGGGGATAAATGTATCTATATACACATATATTTAATTATTAAAAATTAATAGGAAAACAGCGTAGTGGGCCTGGAGCAATAGCCTCATGGCTTCATCTTCACCTTGCAGGCACTGGGATCCCGTATGGGTGCTGGTTCTTGTCTTAGCTGCTCCACTTCCCATCCAGCTCCATGTTTGTGACCTGGGAAAGCGGTCAAGGACAGCCCAAAGCCTTGGGATCCTGCATCCATGTGGGAGACCTGGAATAAAACCTGGCTCCTGGCTTCGGATCAGCTCAGCTCTGACGGTCATGGCCACTTGGGGAGTGAATCAGCAGAGGGAAGATCTTCCTCTCTGTTTTACTAAGAAAAGAAAAGCAGACCACTTCCCAAAGGAAGAATATGGGGGTATATTAACACTCAAGGTCTTATGTGGATACATTTTATATTAAAATGTATTAATAATATATTATAGATATAATGTGTATTATAATTGTGTGTGTGCTGTATGATATATAAAGCAGATCTAGACCAGAACCAGGGGTGGGAGGGAATGAAATGTGGACGCAGAGTGGGAGAAGGGAGGATAGTGAAGAGGCAACAAGAGAGGCAGAGAGCTTGGGAGGTGAGTCTGCTGCCTGGTTTCGTGGGGATAGTCACAAGCAACACAACAAATTGTCCACTTGAAATGTCTGTAGTTTAACGTATGTTAACTGTTGCCCATTTCGATTTTTTTCTTTTAAATAAATTTAAAGATACTGAATGAGGAGTAAATTGTGGGAGATTTGTGAGTGCCTAGGCTGAGACGAGAAGCAGAAGCCGTTGGCCCTGGGAGAGTGTGGACTGATTGAGACTAGACTGAGAAAGCTCTGGGAACATCTGACAGCCTGCTGTAACCTGAAGCCCATCTCCACTTCCACGTGTCCTCAACGGTTTATCTTGTCTTGTAGGAGAAGCGTGCCAGTCTCAGCGATGCGGCCTTGTTAGACATCGTTTGTAAGTTTTGGTGATTTTTTCCCCCTTTTTGTTTTAGATTTGTGTCTGAAAGGGTTACAGAGAAAGAATGAGGTCAGTATTCCAGCCACTGGTTATCTTCTCAGATGGCCACAGCAGCCTGGCCTGGGCCAGGCCAAAGCCAGGAGCTTCCTTCCAGGACTCCCAAACATTTGGGCCATTTTTCACAGCTTTTCCCAGGCCTTTAGCAGGAATTGCAAAACAAGTAGAGCGGCCAGGACTCGAGCCCCGCCACGGGAAATGCTGATGTCGCAAGGGGAACCTTTACCCACTACATCACACTGTTGACCCCTGGTTGGGTGATTGTTTGCACTTAGCCAACCTGTTTTCTCAGAGACATTTTTGTCTGTGAGGAAACTTGGTGTCCATCTCTTACAGTCGTAGATCCTCTGCCAAGTTGTGTCTTCTTTAAAATTCAAACCTAAAAAAATATAGATAGGGTCCTGCATGGTAGATAGCAGCTGAAGTCCTCACCTTGCACGCACTGGGATCCCATATGGGTGCCAGTTCGTATCCCGGCAGCCCGTTTCCCATCCAGCTCCCTGCCTGTGGCCTGGGAAAGCAGTCGAGGACGGCCCAAGGCCTTGCGACCCTGCACCTGCGTGGGAGACCCAGAAGAGGCTCCTGGCTTTGAGTCAGTGCAGCTCTGGCGGTTGCAGCCACTTGGGGAGTGAGTCAGCAGAGGAAAGATCTTGCTCTCTGTCTCTCTACTCTGTATAGCTGACTTTCCAATAAAAATAAGATAAGTCTTTAGAAAAAGGGGGAAGAAAGGGGGAAAAAAATGAAGATAACATGGGGCTGGTGTGGTGGTGTATCACGGTAATCCTCCGCCTGCAGTGCTGGCATCCCATAGGGTGCTGGTTCGTGTGCTGGTTGCTCCCCTTCTGATCCAGCTCTCTGTGACCTGAGAAGACAGCCAAGGACAACTCAGGGCCCCTACATCCATGTGGGAGACCCAGAGGAGGCTCCTGGCTCCTGGCTTCAGATCAGCTCATCTTGGGCCATAGTGACTGTTTGGCGAGTGAACCAGCAGATGGAAGACCTCTCTCTCCCTGTCTCTGCTTCTCTGTCTGTAAAATCTGACTTTCAAATAAAAATAAATTTAAAAAAAGGAAATTGAGATAATGGTAGTGTTAACTTTATAAGTTTTTCCACTCCCTCAGATGATGCCAGGACGAGGAGCCCAGAACTTGGCAGGAACCCAAGTAGTTTGTTCGTCCTCTGCTGCTTTCCCAGCCTCATTAGCAAAGAGCAGGATTGGAATTGGAGAGCTGGGTTATAAACTGATGCTCCTGTGAAATGTTGCTGTTGCAAGCAGAAGCTTAGCTTGTTGTGCTAGCGTGATCACCCATTATGAACTTACGTTTTTATTTTTAAAGACAGAGACAGGAAAAAACAGAGAAAGATCTCTTCTATCTCGTGGTTCACTCCTCTAGGTGACGGCATTGGCCAGCGCTGGGCCAGGCCAAAGCTAGGAGCTTCATCCTCATCTTCCCGCAAACTCCTGGCATCTTCCAGTGCCTTTCCCAGGCCATTAGCAGGGAGCAGCATCAGAGGTGGTCAGTGTGGGCCACTGAGTGGAGAGCAGAGTGAGGGAAAAGGGAGGCTGTGAGGAGCTGGGAGGCGAGGGTTCGGGTCTGGGAAGAGCCTGCAGGAACATCAGTCACAGGAGGCTCACGTCCCTGCCGGGCCAGGCCAGGCCGGGGCAGAAACACAGCACGTGTTCTGGCTGAAGCAAGAAAAGATGTTCAGAGTGAGTTGTGCATTTTTCGGGTGACTGGGGGGGAGTAGACTGATTGTAATGTGTTTGATTTATCTGAGTAAATTTAATACACATCAAGTTTGTATTTTCAGCAAAAAATTGTGTAAGCTAATTTGTGCAGGTGCTGGTCTTGTCCCCAGCGAATTTTCATTCTCAAAAGTTGACATAGTTCGGAGCATGTGATTGAGAGCTCCGTGGTACAGCCCTGCCTTGCCCCCTCCCTCAGGTACTCAAGTCCTGCGGCACCAGAAAATGTGGGACGTTTATCAGATGAGTAAAGAACCAGGTAATGCTTGTTTCCATTGTTATTCAGTGTTCTTATTTGCTATTTGAGGCATGTAAAAATGAGTCTGTTCCTCTGCTGTCTCTTGCTTTCAAAATTAATGATTATTAAAGATACTGCAGTTCTCTTATTTTTGTTTTCATCTTGAACAGGTGAAGATCTTGATCTTTTTGACATAGAACAGTTCAAAAGTTCATTTAAGAAAATTCTTCAGAGAGCATTAAAAAACGTAAGAATAAAATTCTCCTTTCTGTGAAATTCAATTTAATGAAATGTGTGCACTTAAAATTTGTTGCTGTTTTTATTTTTATTTTTTTTTTTTGGTAAGAAATTCACTTAGTAATATTCCTTACCCTTAATAGTCCATGTAAACAGCAAACTGAACGTTATGAAAACGTGCCTCTCCTCTCACCTGTCTGTCCAGGGCCAAAGAAGCTTCTCTCCGTAGAGCAGTGCCTCCTGCAGCGCTGTCTTCAGTGGCCGGGCATTCTCTGTCAGCCTTGTCCAAAACCCCGGCCGGCACTCAGGCGCAGCTGCTGAGCGCTGAGGCGTGGCCAGTTGGAGAGGGAAACTGAATCCTGAATCCTGTTTAAGGTCCGTGAATTTAATTCGGACAGCCCATGCCATTGCAGCCGCTGGTGGTAATGAGTGCAGTTTAAGAGCGCCCCCGGTCTCACTGGTGTTTCTGCTTGTGTAGGTGGATTCAAAACAGTACCCAGAACAGGACCTCTCTCCATTCAGGCCCTCTGGTGCCTGCTCTGCGCCCACTCTGGGCTGTTCTGCCTTCAACAGTCCACCCTGGGAGAGGGCCTTGGCTATGGTACCAGGGCATCTGGAAAAGCAGCTATATGGGGAGGCAGAGCTGGAATCCCATCTGGGAGGGAAGACGTTAGGAGACGTAGGCAAGCTGAGGACACCTGTCTCGGGGTCCTGCTTTCCGTGGGGAGAGCTGCAAGAGGAGGCTGAGTGGGGGGTGGGCTGATCATCAAGGCGCAGACAAGCTGAGGAGCACATTGACTCGTGAAGAAAGGCCTAGATTTTGTCCTTGAAGTGGAAACCAAGTTAGACATCCGAGTTTCTCAGTTTTAACATCTTTTTCTTCAGTTTTAACATCTGAGTTAAATGCTTAGAAGACTTAGGGTTAGTACATTTGTGAGCACATTATACTGAAGCCTTATAGTTTATGCTAAGTCTGTGCTGATGGATCAGAAAGCTTCATTATGAGACAGATGCTAAGTAAGACTGTTTTCCTTTGTTAACTTTTGCATGTAGAGAAGCATGGTTTTCAGGACAAGCCCAAGAAACCACTGAAAAGTATTGCTTCATAACTTGACTGCGGCTTTTCAAAAAATATTTTCTGACACAAGTGTTGTGGCACAGCAAATGGAACAGCATCCCGTGCTGGAGTGCCAGTATAAATCCTGTCTGTTCCACTTCTGATCTAGCTGGCTGCTAATGCTCCTGGGAAGGCATTAGATGATGGCCCTGTTACCTGTGGGGGAGACTGACCTGGCCCAGCCCAGCCATGGCGGCCACTGTGGAGTGAGCCACAGCGAATGGATCTCTCTCTCTCCCTGTCACTTTCCTGTTTCTCTCTGTCTCTCTGCTGTTCTGCCTTTCAAATAAAGAAATATTTTTTAAAGTGATTAATGTTTCATTCTGGGGTGGGCGTTGAGCCACAGCTTAGAACGTTTGGATCAGCATGCCGGTTCCACCTCATCTCCCTGCTGATGTGTCGGAGAACGCGACACACAGTGACCCAAGTACATGAGTTCTTGCCATCCACCTGTAGACCCAGACGGAGTTCCAGGCTCCTGGCTTAGGCCTGGACCAGCCCCAGCTGTTAAAGGCATTTGGGGAGTGAGCCAGTGGATAGAAAATTTTTCTATTTCTCTGTCACTCTACCTTCCAAATAAATAAAATATAATTTGTAAAAAATAATTCTTTCCAAAGCAGTGTTCAAGGTATGTTTAGCTATGTAAAAATCGTAGATGTTTCCTGTCACAAAAAAAATAGAAGACTACCCTATCTCAGTCTGCTAGTGCAGTGAGACTATAGCAATGTCATTTGCCAGTGAAAAAGCACCTGCAACAGGTGGCACAATGAGAAAACTTCAGTCTTCTGTTAAATAAGGTGACGGTCAGCTTCAAAGATGCCGAGGAAAATGCAGTCTGGATCCGAATTGCCTGGGGCACGCAGTATACCAAGCCAAACCAGTACAAACCTACATACGTGGTGTACTACTCCCAGACCCCCTATGCCTTCGTCTCTCCCTCCAAGCTGAAGAGCACTCTCCCCCTGCTGGCTCAGGTATGGAACCAGTTATTAGCTGTTGTAATATTTCATTAGCCTTACCTTACTCGGTAAGCATCTCACCTAGAAGGAGCAAAGAGTGGGAGGGTGGCATATAATACTAGTTTGGAACTTTTCTTTATCGTCTTTTAATCTAGAAGTGATGTGACGTGTGCTTAATGTGAAAAATGCAACAAATAAAGTCTCTAAAGAATAAAAAGTCTTTAAAACTTCACTCCCTTTTCTCTATTCCATTTGTACACACACACGCACACACACACCTGCCATTTCCTTTTTAGAGAAGCTTGATCAAACATCCCACAACAGCTGGAATGGTGCCTGTGTTTCCACAATGTGCCTTTTTTTAACAGAACATTTCCATGTGGTTCCATATAGTGTTTTTTGTGGCCACTATTTTCCTTTGCAGCTGCGTTTCCTGTGTAGTGTTTGCTAGAAGACTGCTTTAACGTAAGATACAACCTTTTCTTCTCTTCATGGTTCTTCAGGTGTTAAGGGCTTCATAGCACCTTTCCTCCAAATCAGTCACCCCTTATGTGGCCTGGTGACCGTCGCTTCTTGTCATAGTATTCTCAGCTGCAGTGGCACCTGCAGTGGATACCTGTCAGATGGATGCAGGTGAGCACCTGCATCCTGACTGTGCCTGCCTGTGTCAGGTGGAGCTGGTCCCCATGGTGGACCAAGCAAGCCAGGATCCCACCAGAGGCTCATGCTTCTCATTCAGGTTCCTGGGTTGTTTTTGGAAATGGCAGGAAGACTGTTCTTTCCTCTCTTCCTTTAACACTTCTTTCCTTTTGGGATCTGTTCCTCCGTGGTGCCTCGTGGTTGTTCTTCTAAGCATACAGGCACAGGTGGTTGACACCTCGCCTCCAAGGCTGCTGTTCCTTTGGTATCAGCACCTTCCAGTGCCAGGTAAATACGTTATTCTGCTGTTCTGTTCCAGTCTTCTGACTTGTTTCCCAAATGACAGGAGGCTTCTTCTAAGTTGCACTTAATTCACACTGTTTTCTTTGTGCCCTGAAGCATACATATTTTCATCTTTGTGTGACAGTGGCATTGTCGTGGTAGATGACTGGTATTCTACAACAAACTTGAGAATTGTCTCTTTCTGGTGTGAGCCTGATCCTGTTATGCTCCTAACTTTAAACAGAATCCTCCTTCTAAAAATGACATGAAAGACTGCATTTTTGAAACTTTTAATGCCATTACCTGCTGTTTTTGTTTTTTAAGCTGAGTAACAAGCCAGGAGATGGAATGCTTCTGGATGTCTTTTCACTCTTAAGTGGGAGTCAGTCAGCAGCTGTAGTCCCTGTGTTTTATTTTGACAACTCTTACAAACACAAGCACATCATCCTAATGATCCGCCGATCTTTCCCTTTCAGGCGCTGACGATCGCCAGCAAAAAGCACAAGATTGTGAAAATGGACCTGCGGAGCAGGTACCTGGACTCTCTGAAGGCAATTGTTTTCAAGCAGTACAATCAGGTGAGCTAACGAGAGACTGACAGCGAGGAGAAGTTAAGCTACTGAGCAGGCAGGCAGGAGAGTTGCCCCAAGAGGAGACTGCTTTCAAAACCTTTCCAGTGTGGGCTCCTTCATCCTTTTATTTATTCATTCATTTATTTTATTGGAAAGGCAGATATACAGAGAAGGAGAGACAGAAAGATCTTCATCTGCTGGTTCACTCCCCAAGTGGACACAATGGGCAGAGCTGAGCCAATCTGAAGCCAGGAGCTTCTTCCAGGCCTCCCATTCAAATACAAGGTGCCAAGGCTTTGGGCCATCCTCTACTCCTTTCCCAGGCCATAATCATGGAGCTGGATGGGAAGTGGGACAGTCTGAACTGGCACCCATATAGGATCCCAGCACATGTATGGTGAGGATTTAGCCACTAGGCTGTTGTTCCAATCTCTCTCTCTCTCGCTCTCTCTCTCTCTTTTTTAAGATTTATTTTATTTATTTGAAAGGCAGTTAGAGAAAGAAGAAAAGACAGAGAGAGAGAGAGAGAGAGAGCTCCCATTTAGTGGCCCACTCCCCAGCTGCCCACAGTGGCTGGGGCTGAGCCTGGCCAAAGCCAGGAGCCAGGAACTTTCTCTGGGTCTCCTGTAGATGGCAGGGAAGCAGGTGCTTGGGCCATCCTCTGCTGCTTCCCCAAGCCAGGAGCCGGGAGCTGTAGATCCATCTTTACGATAACTGTGTACAGAGTTGTTTGAACATGGGGCCTGTCACAGGCCTCTGAATTCCTGTCAACTTTGTATTCTGGGGAAAAGGCTCAGTTCAGCCAGGACATGACCCTCACTCTCCTTTTGTTGGGAAAAAAAAAAGAGCAATTTGGTTTATACTTTCACGTATTAAAATCAATGTCTATTTCAAGGTGTTGAAAACAAAAGAACAGTCTTTCTGTTTTTTTTTCTCTAGAACTTTGAAATCCACAATGCTACAACATCTCTACAAGAAAGGAGCCTTGGGCTAGATATAAACAGTACGTGTGTTTCAAGTTAAAACCGCAATTTCTGTCCCTCAGTAGAATACCTATGCCATCGAATTCTGATTCAGAATTATTGACTGCCTTCAGAGAGATTGAAAAGTAATATCCCACGAAGGGGCAAGCCTGAGCTGCCATAAGTCTACTTTACAATTTTTTAGAATGGTATCTAACAACTACAGCAAAAGCTAATAACATTTTTAAGGCAAACATGAAAATGTGTTTTAATGTAATTTTTTTCTGTACTCTTCGCATAAGTCCAATGAATTATCAGTGTTTGGCAGGAAAGTGAGTTTCCGAGAGAGTTGACAATTCTGGGAAAAGTTTAACAACGAGGAAGTGGCCAGAAGTAAAATCTGGGTGGGCATATTGGAACCTGGAGCCTGTGTTCTCGATGCCATTGGATTGCCCCTAGAGTCATCGGAATTGTGACCATGTTACTGCTCTAAGATGACACAACATTCAAACCACAGCCTCTTACTACCTCTACATGGATCAGAGTAGTAGTGAGGCACTACATAAATCTGTTTTAAAAAGTAAAAACTTCCCTTTTAGCAGTGCTTTGAGTACACCTGTTATGACCCACACATTTTTACAATTTTCCAATGGTATGGGAACAGCTGTTGACTTCATGTTAAGAAAGCAGAATACAAAATTGTGCATATTTTGCAATTCCACTCTAAAAACATGAAAGTATGTGTATGCATCATTAGTCACTGTAAGAACAGCTAGATAAAAATATATTAAAATGTTAACAGCTGGTGGTCCTTGCAAAGTCAGATATACAGAGAGGAGGAGAGACAGAGAGGAAGATCTTCCGCCCGATGGTTCACTCCTCAAGCACCTGCAATGGCTGGAGCCGAGCCAATCCAAAGCCAGAAGCCAGGAGCTTTTCCGGGTCTCCCAAGGGGGTGCAGGTCCCAAGGTTTTGGGCCATCCTCGACTGTTTTCCCAGACCACAGGCAGGGAGCTGGATGGGAAGCGGGGATGCCGGGATATGAACCGGCACCCATATGGGATCCTGGTGTGTGCAAGGCAAGGACTTTAACTACAGCACTATCGCACCAGGCCCGATAAAATATATTTAAATGAATGGTGGATTTACAATTCCTTTTTATTTTCTCTTATTAACTTTGCTAGAATAAGAAAAATGTTTTTTAATTAAACAAAAAATTTGAAATGTTAGGAATAAAAAGAGGACGCTTGAAGGATAAAATATATATCCCTAACAAGTGTTTCACTTGAAATCTTCCACCTATAGTAGATTCAAGGATCATTCATGAAAATGCAGTAGAAAAATACAAAGTGCAGAGAATAACTGAAGAAACTTTTGGAGAGTATCCTCAACCACAGCTAGAATTTGCACAGTATAAGGTAGGATGTTAATACGTGTTGCCTGCAAGTTATTGAAGTTTTGTTTTTGTTTTTGTTTTCATTTTTGCTGTTTTATGACTGGAAAAGGCATCTAAGAGATTGTTCACTTTTTATTTACCACTTCAATTTTGTATCATCAGTTTATGAGTATAATAGATCTCTTTATAATGTCTGTATGTTCCCCCATTGGCAAAGGAGACCCTCTGAAATTGTGAATTTGCCTTTTGATTGCATTTGGGGTATCAGTTCAGTTGTATGTAACTGGCTGTGATCTGTACTAGTATTTCAGAGGGTGAATTCTTTCAGGTCTCTCTTACACATGTTAAAATGTTTGCAGAGCGAATGCTGTGTGTCTTGGATTTGCTTTAAAATGATACAGCGAGAGTGGACAGGAGGGCCTGCAGGTGGTTAGCAGATGAAGCCAGAATGGCCCCGAGCTGCTACCTGCGTCAGCTGGGGCTGCACACATGCCCCTTCCTGGTGGTCCTTGCTTCTGTATAGGCTTGGAATCTTCCACAATGAGTAAAAAAGAAATCTCAGCATTCACTCAAAAGATGCAACATTTTCACACTGAATTGACAGATGAGAAGAGATAGTATGCTATTTTTCCATTAAGAAGGCAGACCAGAAAATGCGCTTTAGGGCTGAAGTGACATGGAGCTGTCCTGTGTGTCAGTCATCCGGGAAGCTGGCACTCGGAGGAACATCATTTCATAGACTGAGTGATGTTGCTGCCTTCATTTAGCACGTTAAACAGCCCCTGTTCCCATTAATCTGATTCCAGTGTCCTTTACCAATCTGCTGTATTTAATCATAACTTGTCAATATTTTTGTTGACAGCTTGAAACGAAGTTCAGAAGTGACATAAATGGAGGCATCCTGACTGAGAGGGAGGAACCGCTGCGGTGTCTCGTCCGGTTCTCCAGCCCACACCTCTTGGAAGCGCTGAGATCCTTAGCACCGGCCGGTGAGTGGTCAGCACACTGTGCACACCAGCAGCTGAGCCGCCGTCTCGTGCTGAGTGCTGTCTTGTCCTGATAGCCTCAGCTCTCGCCGACTCCAGCTTGCTCTCCCCGTTACACCCATGTCTGCATGTTCTGCTCCTGTTCCGTGACCCACCCCCTCATCTTGCACATTTTGTTAATGAACTTAAATCCTTGCCCTGTAATTGTTTTGATTATTTTTTCTTTTTAATTTTAGGAATTGCAGATGCACCGCTTTCCCCTTTGCTCACTTGCATACCCAACAAGGGAATGAATTATTTTAGAATTAGAGATAAGTAAGATATGTGAGGTTTTTGTAAGTCCAGCAGTTCTTTGACTACAAGTGTTGCTTTCGTATCAGTCAATGCCTAGGTGGATGGCTTCTTTCTACGATAGAGTAACTCTTAAATTGAAAACTTATCCACGTTTAAATACTGTTCGGGGCTGATTCCTTCCTCCTGCATTGACCGGATGTGAGTACATACAGCTCCAGATGGGAGCCAGCAAGCCCGGCTGCTCGAGGAAGCCCTGTGCCCGGTCCTGCTGGGCGTCATGTCTGATGGCCCTTTTCCCATTCATGCCTCTCAATCAGGTTCCAATGGCCATCTTCCAGAAACTTTTTTTGTAAGCTTTGGGTCACAGGAAGAAACTACCGGACTCAAATTTTTAAAGGATTTGTAAAACTAGCCCACTTGGAAGGAAGAGTTGGGTCCACGAGGTGGGTACTGCAGGAGACTGTATAAGGGATAATTCAGCTACACAAACTCCCTGTTTTGTTGTAAATATGCTTTTCATCATCTATTTTATTGCATGTAACATTCAGACTCATCACTATTATACTGTTATTTGTGAATAAAGATACTGAAAACTTACTGCATTAAGCCCCATTGGTGAAAATCTTTCAGTGATCACCACAAAGCAACATCTCGAAATCGGTTCCTTCTCTTATTCCAGAGAGGATTGTGGTGGTAGATAAACATAGGTTACAGTAAAAACGTTAAAACGTGAAGAAAGGGTCTGTACTGGAAGCAAGGAAGCTAGGAAGCTCGCTGACAGTGCTGCTGACAGTGGGCGGACTACATTGAACCTCTGGCTCCTGGCTTCAGTCCCCAGCCATCACAGGCATTTGGGACATGACCCAGTAGGTGGGAGATATCTGTTTGTTTCTGCCAAATAAATAAAAATCAAGTAATTTTTTTTTAAATGTGCAGGTGCTTCTCTAGTTTAGCTAGAAGATGAAAAAAGTGGACATGGTGTTTGTTAGTAGCCAAAGCTAGAGAAAAAAATGTGTGAATTAAAAATAGTTAAGAACTGATACATCAGTTCTGATGCAAATCAAAAAGAGCTTTAATATACAGACTTTCTAAATACAGTCTGAAAAAGGAACCAATGCAATGATGAATGTCCATAAAATATGTTTTTAGACTTTGTTTAGTTTGGAAACGTCAGACATTTCATTTCTTCCAGAGGGAAGCACTGACTTGTAATGGCTTCCTGGTGCCAGCTTCCTTTTGCCCGTAGTCACAGTTCAGGCACGTTTCCCAGGTGCACACGCCTAGAATTCTGCCCGTCCCCAAGTGCCTGCGCCAGGTGTGCAGAAAGGCCCTGCAGCTTCCTGGCGTGATCTTGCACGGGTCCCCAGCCCTCCCTGCCGCCTGGCCTTATTCAGCCCGTAGTGGGGCCACGTGGCGCTGCTCAGAGACTGAGAGGCCTGCTGGAGGACTCAGAGTGCCTCTCTATTCTTAACTTAATGGTCACATTGAAGTGCACTGTGGGAACAGATGTAGAAAGAACAGCAGAGCTAAGGAATTTGCCGGCGTGGTATTGTGGCATGGTCAGTTAAGCCCACATCACACACTGGAGCATGTGTGTGGTGAATCCGTTCCTGGCCCTGTGCCTCAAGTTCAGCTTTCTGCACCTGAGTCCCTGGGGAGGAGGCAGTGGTGAAGGCTCAAGGGTCCACGCCACCCAGTGGGAAACCCAGATGGAATCCAGGTTCCTGCCTTCAGCCTAGCAAATGGGAGATCTCATTGTCTCTGCCTTTCAAATAGAAATATGTATGTATGCATGTGTGTATATATATCTCCAAGGAATCTGCTGCATATACAGTAAAGTCTTCAGAAATACATTTTAGCTAATGTTTATTGAGAATTCACAGTGTGGCAGACACCATGCTAAATATTTAATCTGCATTATCTTTTTTAAGATTTTATTTTATTTTTATTGGAAAGTCACATATACGGAGAGGAGAAACAGGAAAATGTTCCATCCATTGATTCACTCCCCAAGCAGCCCCAATGGCCAGAGCTGCGCCAATCCAAAGCCAGGAGCCTAGAGCCTCTTCCAAGTCTCCCACAAGGGGACAGAGTCCCAAGGCTTTGGGCCGTCCTTGATTGCTTTCCCAGGCCACAAGCAGGGAGCTGGATGGGAAGTGAGCTGCCAGGATTTGAACCAGCACCCATATAGAATCCTGGCATGTTCAAGGCAAGAACTTTATCCGCTAGGCTATTGTGCCAGGCCCATCTGTGTTCTTATTTTCCCAACAATCTTATTAGCATTGCTAGTGTTTCTTTATTGTTGTTGTTTGTAGTTTACTAAAATGGATACGAAAGCTTAAGGCTAGTAAGTGACTGAGCCTCATTACTCATAGACAGTCAGATTCTGGAGCCTATCCTCCAGGCACCATACGGAACTAAGAGTACTTAGCCCATGCTTTGTCACAGCACCAGCTGGCAAGGGCTGGGACTGGGGGTAAGTCCTGTCAAGCTAGACTGGAGAGTGTAATATCCGGGGCAGGGAGTGGGTTCAGGAGAGAAATTAGGCACCTGTCTGATGGGCTGCAACTTCCACTGGTGAGCATGAGAACCAGGACTTGGGGTGGGCCTGGCTAGACGGTCAGTGCCACTCACTGGCATGAATGGGCTGGAGGGTGGAGTTGATGGGGATGCATCAGGCTTCAAAACCCAGTTATGTGTACAAGAGCTGAATGGGATGTGGGACAGACTGGGCCAGTCCACTGCACAGCTGGCAGGCACAGAAACCAGGACTCAGGCCAGCCCAGTGAGGGTTATTGTGGGTCACTTTGACTGGGCGGCAGCACCCAATAGTGTGGGTGAGGGCCCACTGTGTGGAGGGCAGGGTTGGGCTGGGCCGCAGCACCCATTGGTTTGCATAAAACATGGAGCTAGCAATTCTAACTACCAGTGTGGACATAGGCTGATGTGGGTGACAGAATGAGCCAGATCCTGTACAGATGGGCGCACACACAAGAGAGAGGCCTGAGATCACCTTGTGGTCTGACAATGGAGTGTGTCAAAGCTGGGCCTCAATGGCCTGGTCAGAGCGGTGGTTAGCACACCCAAAAGCCCAAGGAGAAAATGTCAGACTATTGCAGCTTGCAGAGGACATCTAGTATCATAGCAGAGGAAGGAGGGCAGAAGAAATGACAGAAACTTCTGGGTGATTGAAAACTCAGAGGTCTCAGGTGGACTGGGTCAGCCAAGGGACCTTGGAAGGATTTCCCCATCTTTGGATCTGTGAGATCAACAGTGTTTTAGAACCATTGAAGCCACTTAAGCAAAACCCTTGGAGCATACTCATGCTACACATCGGGGACCTTGAGATGACATCGGGTAGCCATTCCTCATCCCCAGGTATTGGGGCCGTTGGGAGGCTGGGTATGGCTTCTCCCCTTGTCTTCCCTCTTCTCCCAAATACAGGAAGAAGAAAAAGAAAATGTGGAAACAATGGTCTCACCACTTCCCCCGATCCTCGACCCTTCCCACCGTAATCAACTATGTAGACATCAAAAATAAAAATTTTTTTAAAAAATCTTACAAAGAGCTCATGGAAGCCATCCTACAGCAGGTCCCATGGTACTTTTTAAATCAGAATGAGCCCCTGTGCGGTAGGCAGAATAGCTAGCTTGCATCTCTACAAAATATGTCCACGTCATGATCGCCTTCTACAAGGGCCTTTGCACATCGGGACGTTGTCCTGGGATCCTAGGATTGCCTGGATGGTGCCAGTGCAATCCCAGGGTTACTAGGATTGCCTCGTCCATTGCAAGCCTTCAACAGATGGTTGCAAAAATCAGTGTACCATTGCCTCTTGACATTGAACACTGGGATTGTTTCTAATTTGGGGGAAGCATCGTTCCTTCATCCATCCATCCATCCATCCATCCATCCATCCATCCATCCATCCATCCATCCATCCATCCATCCATCCATCCATCCATCCATCCATCCATCCGTTGCCGGAGGTTAGAGCAAGGAACCCATCGACCTGGGGACCCCGTATCCACCTGTTCTTGCTGGCGCTCGCGGCGGCCGGCAGGGGGAGCTGCGGCGGCCGGCCCCGCCCCTTCCGGAAGTGGCTGCGGCGGAGGCGGCGCCTGCGAGCGAGGCTGCGCGGCGGTGCGGGAGCTATGGCGGCCTCGGAGGCGGCGGCGGCGGCGGGGCCCGCGGCTCTGGCGGCGGGCGGTCCGGCCATGCCGGCGGCCGCAAGGGGAGCCGCCGCCGCCGCCGCCTCGGGCCCGTGGGGCGTCCCGGGGCCCCGGCTGAGGGGGAGCCGCCCGCGGCCCGCAGCGTCCAGGCAGCCGCCCGCGGCCCCCGCGCCGCCGGTCCGGGAGCTGATCCAGCCGTCGGTCAGCGAGCTGTCCCGGGCCGTGCGGACCAACATCCTGTGCACCGTGCGCGGCTGCGGCAAGATCCTGCCCAACAGCCCGGCGCTCAACATGCACCTGGTCAAGAGCCACCGGCTGCAGGTGAGGGGGCGCGGACGCGGCCTGGCACCACGACGCGCGGGGGGCAGGTCCCGGGCCCCGGGGCGCGTCTGCGGGGCAGCGGGCGGCCCTGCGTGTCCTTTGCCGGGGGTCCGGACTGAGAACCCTTCTGAGACATAGGTGAGGCAGCTCGTAAGGCGGTGTCGGCATTCCGCGTTCCGGAGCCCCCAGCCCCGAACCCGTCCCCGCCGGGCCCTGCGCGTCGGGCCAGAAGCAGCTGGCACGGTGGGCTGCACGTGTCTCCCAGCGGTGGTCAGGTCCGCCGCGCTCGGGGGGCTGCACCCCAAGGGAGCGGGTCACGGTCCCCGCCAACCACCACCCCATCCTGGTGTGGAAGAGGACGCGTACGCACGTCTGTGCAGAGCCGTGCAGCCAGGATTTCACAGTCCTGACCTTAGCAAGTGGCCTCCGCGGCCCGCGGGGTTCCCTGTGCCAGCAGCCAGCAGGGACAGAATTGGGAAGCGTGAAGACACCTTGGGCAGCTCCGCGTAGCCTTGGCCCCGTCTGCTGTGACTCAGGGGTTTTGGGTGCTCTCGGTTAGTCCTTAGGGTCGGTGCACCGTCCCCCTCAGCTGAGCTGTGACTGCGGAGTAGAGGTTTATGGGCCAGGGGTCACTCTGTTTCTTAGGAGACCGGTGCCTCTGTCCGCATAGACTGCAGCCCTACTCTCATTCATCCCCAGTTGGCTTAAGGCTTTTCCATCTCTGCCTTGGGTTGGGTGGACCACGCACATCGCATGGTGCCTTCCTCCGGAATTGCTGTGAGGGACTCCATGGTCCTTCGTCCTCGTCTGTCACTCCTCCAGGCTGCTGTGATCCGACAACAATGGATTGACTTCTGAGTGTGTTTTTGTTAAACCTCTGAAGTTCAGGAATGTGCAGGCTACCCATAAAACCTAGCATGTGTATTAGGGATAAGGGAGATGGTGTCTGAGCAGGTGCGGATTGCACGATCCCATCTTCCCTTGGTCTTCAGAGCCCCAGGCCCTTCTTTCCTAACTCTCCCTGTCTGGGTCAATTTCCTTCTGCAGCCTTCTGTCCTCTAAAGACAGCAGCACACAACCCCCCCAACCCCGTTGCTTTCACAGAAACACACGACTCTTGCCCCTCCTTGTCCCTGGGGCCCCTGCTTTGAGCAGGAATCAGAGAAACCTCACCCCAAGCCCCATTGTGGGATTTTTTTGTTTTGTTTTCTTGTCAAGCAGACTTGCTTGTTCCTGACTGTCAAAGTCTGGGACTGGGCAGCCTCTGAGCAGCCGCAGTCTAGGAGTGCAAGGGACGTGGCCCATGTGACTTAAGAGCTGTGTCCATCTGACACCCTTCACCTGCACCACAACTTTTTAGTTCACATCTTTCTCCTGGCACTTGGTGTTCCCAGTGTTTAGGAAGAAGGGAGGGCTGAGAGGAAGGTGCAGGGAAAGCCCCCTTGGGTGCTGGCTACAGGCTCTGTGGTGCTGGCCGGGTGCAGGCCATGAGTGCTGTGGTGAGCTGGCTGGGTGCGGGCCGGGTGCGGGCCATGAGTGCTGTGGTGAGCTGGCTGGGTGCGGGCCACGGGGTCTTTGGTGCTGGCCACGAATACTGTGGTGAGCCAGCTGGGCTGGCCACAGGCTTGGGCACTTGTGTGCAAATCTCCTGTCCTGGCGCTGCTGAGTGTGTCTGGTTGGCCAGTTTTCGTCGGTCAGTGGAAACCTCCTTGCCCTGGGTACAGCTGACTTGGGAAACTGATTTCTCTCCCTGATTTTAGAGTTGCCAGACTGCGAGAGTTGTGTGTTCCCTTTCCTGTTAGTTACTGCACGATTCTTGCCCGGTTCTGACCTTTTCTCACACTCACCTCACCAAGACCAGATTTGCCCTTCTTAATGTAAATGATGAACAAATCTAAAGTCCTCTCCTTGCCTCTGCTGGCAGCCATCAGAGGTATGGGCATGTGTGCATGTCCCCAGCAGCTGCAGAGAAACGGGCAGTCGGATCTGACACGCTTTTCTCCGGAGGCCACTGCTGGCAGTACTGCTGCTTGGCACCCTGGTCCAAGAAGGTGCGGGCCAAGCAAAGTTATGTCACGGTTAGGATTCATGTGCCAGGGTGGCCACAAGTACCCAGTTGCTAAGGGTGCAGCCCGCCCATCACAGTGTCAGCCAGCTGAGGCTTGCGTGATGCTATCGGTCTGTTGCCAAGGAATGAGCTGAATGCTATCACAGGGCTCAGTCAGTGAGGCAGTCCTCACGCCGGGGGATGACCGGGCCAGTCCACAGGCGCAGGGAGCTACATGGGCTGACATCTGCACACCACAAGGGTCGTGGCTTTGGGAAGGGCTGCAGGCTCCACCATACTTGGTGGTTCCCGCTGTGCAGCCTAGAGAAGACACGTCACCCTCCAGCTGCTCCCTTAATGCTGATGCAAGTCAGGCTTGTAAAGTCCAGACCCGTTCAACCACAGGGCAGTCCCAGCCACTTAAAGGTGCCCTTGTCCAAACTCATCTACAGGTGATTTTGTGAAAGCTTTGTCAGGTGATGAAAATTAAAATGCAAATAATGTTCAGAGACAAGTGAATGGTGTGTCTTGTTTCTAGTAAGACAGACGTTTTTGTCTTTATCAGGAAGTTACACGTCAGTGTTCACAGCATGCTGTAGGATAAAGGTGTAAAGTCAGGTCTTGAAAAGAGGCAGAAGAAGGCTGTGGCTCGGAACGGGAGTTGACTGTGAACTACAGAGCGAGTGCAAACTTTTGCGTTGGTGTGGGGTCCTGTGTGTGCGTAGTCCCATGTCCTCTTGGAAATGTGGAAATCTCCTGGCCCAGCCTGGCCTGCAGGACACCTGTAGAGAAGGGACAGCTGTGACTGAGATGCAGGCTGGGGATGCGGGTAAGAGGAGAGTGTGTGGGCAGTCCATGTTGGCTGGAGGCCCTTGCTTCCTCACCTGGGAAAGCCCCAAAGGGGGCAGGTGGGCACTTAAAAGAACCATGCAACATTGGCATTTCAAAAATGTAGCTTAGAGGATTTTGTATTATGTAAAAAAGCCGAGGGTTACCTTTAATAGTTTGCCAAAACATTCTTTTTTTAAAAAGAAAAGGCTCCAGGTTGACCTGCAGGCGTGGTGGTGCAGAGTCCTGATAGCAAAGCAAATCATTTTCCTTCTTGGAATTCACAGTGACTCAGAGCATCAGTCGTGAATTTTGTTCATGAATGTGCGTAGAACTTAGAACAAAACTCCAGTTTCTAGGCATTTGACCATCCACGTTTCAGATGGGAGAACCTGGCTTCAGCTCCTGCCTCCAGGCCCCTGCCTGCTCCAGCACAGAGAATGGGTCCAGCGGTTGAGTCCCGGCCACCCGCACAGATGACCTGGATGGAGTTGCTGGCTTCGGCTCTGGGTGGGCTAGCGCAGCCATCTGAAGAGTGTGCCAAAGGAGGGGAGTGTTTCTCTCACCCGCCCTCTCTTTCCTCTTTCAAATACTTTTAAACCAAATAAAACCAGTTTGACGCTACAAATTCATGTGGGATTTTTTTGTAAGATCTATTTATTGTTTTTATTGAGAAGGCAGAAAGATGAGAGAAAGATGTTCCATCCACTATTTCAGTCCCCAAATGGCTGCATCAGCCAGAGCTGAGCCAGTCCAAAGCCAAGAGCTCCTTCCGGGTCTCCCATGCAAGTTCAGAATCCCAAGGTTTTAGGTCATCCTCCACCACTCCCCCAGGCCACAAGCAGGGAGCTGGGTGGGAAGGCAGAACACACCAGCACCCATAGGTGATGCTAGTGCTTGCGAAGGATTAGTCACTTGAGCCATTGTGTTGGCTTTCCCCTCACCCCCCCCCCCCCCATGCACTTGATGTTGTGTTATCCCACTGGCATTTCTTACCTCCCAGCCTGCCCCTGGCTGTGTTGTCTCAGGACAAGCATGGGAAAAGGCCCAGGGTAACTGGGCTGGACTCCGCTGCAGTGATGAGGTGGCTCGCAAGCAAGCACTCACAGGAGTGAACATGCAGTTTGTCTGTCTTCCGTGGTCTCTTTCCACACATGATGAGATGTTGTTGCTTAGCAGGCCATTTAAGCATGCTCAGTGTAATGTGCTAAGATTTTCTTGAACACTTAATCTATTCAGAACACTTCCAAATGCAGCAGAGGACACCAGTGAATCTCTGTCCATGAAAAGTTATAGTGAATCTGCAGGTGTGTGCTGAGTATCTCTGATCTGATCATCGGAACTCCCAGCAAACACTTCGGGTGTTTGGGTTCTGCTCAGTAAGTGAAGTTTGTAATCCAGAAGACTCCATCCCGTGTGTTGAGGGATGCTCACCCCCGAGTTCTGAAAGCATCACAGAATTATGAGGGAACAGAAAGGCAGAGTGAGGCTGTGTAGTGAGGGAATGTGGCTGTCCCTGGCTGAGTCTTGGACTTGATACTCTTGAAGTTGGTCTTGAAAGTGCCCGAGTGAGGTGATGATGTGACCAAAGCTGAAACTGGCAATGTAGGCAGAGTATTGATGGAAAGAGATGGAAATTGCTTTGGAGGTTAGCAGCAGAAAGCACAGTCAGGAGCATTGGGAAAGCAGCGAGCAGGCCGCACAGGAGGCCGAGGAGATATGGGGGAGGGCACCACCAAGGATGTGCAAGATGCCGGTGAGCTGGGAGTTTGTCGTGGTGCAGTTTGTGCAGCAGTGGGAAGGAAGAACTGGAATAGAACTGCCTGAGAGCAGTGTGATGCAGATGCTGGAGGGATTGGAGACGCCTGTGTACTACTCTGCTAGGTGAAGTGGCCACTAAGATGAGGTTGGTGCATGTCCACTCATGCTCGCTTAAGGAGCACTGAAGTGCTATCCAAAAACAAAGAAAGAAGCAGAACTTACACAGCAAATAGCAGACACTGTGTAATCAACACTCGCCTATAATCCCCCTATAAATATTAACTGAATGCCCACAATACCCTAGTATAGGCATGGTTATCATGGCTACTTTACAAATGGGGAAACCAAGAGAAGTTAGATGAACTTTGACAAAGTGACAAAGTTGGAAATTCAAACCACAGCAGTCCAGTCTCAAAGCCCACCTGTTTAACAGCTAGTTTGCAGTTGGTACTGTGGTGTAGCAACTTCAACTGCCAACTGCAGGGCTGGCATCCCGTATGGACATCAGCTTGAGACCCTGCCACTCCGCGTCCCATCCAGATCCATGCCCCTGATCCTAGTGGCCATTTTGGGAGCAGTGGATGGAAGGGCCCAGCACGATAGCCTAGTGACTAAATCCTCACCTTACATGCTCTGGGATCCCATATGGGTGTCGGTTCATATCCCAACTGTTCCACTTCCCATTCAGCTCCCTGCTTGTAGCCTGGGAAAGCAGCCGAGGACGGCCCAAAGCCTTGGGACCCTGTACCCATGTGGGAGACCTGAAAGAGGCTCCTGCCTCCTGGCTTTGGATCAGCTCAGCTCCAGCCATTGTAGCCACCTAGGGAGTGAACCAGTGGACAGATCTTCCTCTGCTCTTTGCAGATCCTTCTTTCCAATGAAAATAAAATCTTAAAAAAAAAAAAAAACAGTGATGGAAGACCTCTCTCTCAGGTTTGACTTACTCTCTTTAGGCAGGACACAGAAGTCTATCAAATAGTTTGAGAAATGTAGTTGTTGAGGCAGGAACTATAGAATGACAGCATTCTCATGCCTTGAGGGAGGTACTATTTTGGATTCAGACAAGAGTCAACCTTTAGTTTAGGATGTGGTAAGCAAATGTTTATTGAGTGTGTGATGGACTTGGGCTCTGTGCTAATACAAACACCAGCGGTCTCTCAAACTGCCAGGTAATCCTGACAAGTGTTTTGCAAGTGAATAAACTGGCTCAGAGAGGTGGAATACCTTGTGTGAGGTCACACCACCAGTCAGCAGTAAAACCGACGCGCACCCAAGCTGTCTGCCACTTCCTTCTGAAGGGAGCCTGGAAGGCCTTCAAGGAGAGTCAGCCCAGATGGACGCAGGGCCAGGACTGCAGGCCACACAGGCACTCCACCACGTCCGGCTGGTTTGCAAAGGGAATGGAGATACAGCTGTGTTGGGAGGTTAAGGCTATATAAGGAGTCTGGGTTGGGCAATGACTTACTAACACTTTTTCTGGCATGTCAATATTTTTTACCGTTAGAAGAGAAAGGAAAAGTTGTTTTTTATTTTTGTAGACCATTGAAGTAATCGAAGTTAACGTGAAATAGCAGTTATAATGTAGTTGAATGACAGAAAGATGGCTCAGCATTGAAAACATGAATGGATACCTGACAAAATATGAGATGAGCCAAGGCAAGTTATACAGTTCCAGAAGCAGACAGTAGCTGCTTTCCGCTCTGAGTGAGCAGCCGCAGACTTGGCGAAGTCGGCGTGCTCCTGAGAGCTGGTAGGAAGGACACGCGAAGGGCTCTGGAGACAATGTCAGTGAGTTCTCACCCTGGAGCATCGGCTGCGTCCCGAAGTCCTGCGCAGCCGCTGGGACGGCCACGTGCCCCATGGCTTCTGGCGACCCCTCCTTCAGGGCCAGCGGGAAGAACAGGGAGAACCCATCAGTCACAGGGGCCTCTGACTGAGCGTGGCTGGCCACCACAGACAACATCCAGTTGACTTACCTGGGATTTTAAAACTCCCAGGAAAAAAGTCAGCTGAAATACTTAGTTGCAAAGTTATTAAAATTAATTGAGTTAATTTGCATAAAGAGCTGGAACAATGTCTGGAATATAGTAAAAGCTGTGCTTAGTACCAGACAGAATATTGATTGTTGGTTTGAAATATAGCGTGTAGGACAGCCATCTAAGAATCACGCCAGCTGACTAGCTGTGATGGGAGCAGGGTGCAGTTGCTTTTAGTTAGGAAGGCCCAAGAAGGTTTCCAGGGACTCAAACTAAGATGCACTTAGGTAGAATAATCCTTATGATTCCCTAGACCACAGATAATTCCCAGATGTTGAGACCAAGTAATTTTTACAGACTTATTTTTTTATTTAAAAGGCAGGGCTACAGAACCCGGCACAATGTTCAGTGCCTTGCAAGCACCAAGATTCCACATGGGCACTGGTTCATGTCCCAGCAGCCCCACTTCCCATCCACCTCCCTGCCTGTGGCCTGGGAAAGCAGTCGAGGACGGCCCAAAGCCTTGGGATCCTACACCCACATGGGAGACCTGGAAGAAGCTCCTGGTTCCTAGCTTCAGATCAGCTCAAGAGTAGTCATTCCAGCCACTTGGGGAATAAACCAACAGATGGAAAATCTTTCTGTCTCTTCTTTTCATACATCTTTTTCATACATCTTTTCATATATCTGTCTTTCCAATAAAAATAAATTTTTTTAAAGATTTTACTTTTATTGGAAAGTCAAATATACAGATAGGAGGACAGAAAGGAAGATCCTCCGTCCAATGATTCATACTCCAAGTGGCTATGGAGTGCTTTCCCAGGCTGCAAGCAGGAAGCAGGATGGGAAGCAGGGCTGCCAGGATTAGAACCAGCGCCCATATGGAATCCTGGAAAGAACTTTATCCACTAGGCTCCCGCACCAGGCCCCCCTTTTTTTAAGAGCTATAGAGAGGAAAAGACAGATAATCTTTCATTTGATATTTATTCCCTAGATGGCCACAGTGGCCAGAGTTCCAGAAACTCCCATCGGGGTTGCCAATGTGGGTGCCTGGGCCCAAGACTCAGGCCGTCTTCTGCTGCCTTCCCAGGAGCCATTGGTAGGAGCTGGTGTAGAAGGACCGGAGCTGGTGCTCACAGGAAATGCTCGCATCGCAGGCAGCAGCCCAACCCAGTGTGCCACAACACTGGCCCTAGAAGGAGAAGCTTTACAGAAACAAATTTTAAAAAATATATCATAGTTTAGGGCCTGGCACCATGGCACTGCAGGCTAATCTTCCATCTTCAAGCGCCAGCATCCCATATGGGTGCTGGTTCTAGTCCCAGCTGATCCACTTCTCCAAAGCTTCCTGCCTTTGGACTGGGAAAGCAGAGGAGTCTTTTGGCCCCTGCACCACGTGGGGGACCCGGAAGTTCTGGCACCTAGCTTCAGATCACCTCGGTTCCAGCCTTTGTGGCTGTTTGGAGAGTGAAGCAGTACAGGGGAAGATTCTGTCTCTCCTCCCTATGAATCTGCTTTTGTAATAAAAATAAACTTTAAAAATTTAGTAGGTTTTTTTATCTTTTTTTGTGTGTGTGCTTTATTGAGCTTAATTTGCCATAAAATTCACCTTTTGCATGTAAACAGTTACTTTTTAGCTTGTGGAGTTGTATGATCACCGGAACAGCCCGATTTTAGAATGTTCCCGTTAGTATGTTTCCTAGAAAGATCCCCTGGGCCCATCTTAAGTGTGTTTCCACTACCCTAAGAAGATCCCCTGGGCCCATTTTCATGATCCCTCTTTCCCACAATCAGCCTGTTGTGTTGGTTTTTGTGAAAATTATTATTTCGCTTTTCTTTTGCAGGATGGCATAGTAAATCCAACAATAAGAAAAGATTTGAAAACTGTGCCAAAATTCTACTGCTGTCCAATTGAAGGATGCCCTAGGGGCCCCGACAGGCCGTTTTCTCAGTTCTCCCTCGTGAAACAGGTATTCTACTTCAGTGTGCTTCTCTGAGAATGAAAGGTGACCTCAGCCCAGTGTGCCCTCCACTTACTGAGTAGCTGAGAGATCTGAGCAGAGAGCTCTTTTGAGAGCACACGGCCAGGTCTCTCCTAGCTGGTGGCCATGTAAGTATGCATATGATGCCAGTGGAGAGAAACCAGGCTTGTTCTGCAGGGAAAATGTCCAGAAAAGGGTTTTCAGAGGTGATGAGCAAGCAAGGAATGAACAAGTGTGTGCCTGCACATCTCTCGTGTCGGTCTGTGAGGCTCCGGGGACAGGCACACCGTGCCCTTCCGCCAGGAGGCTATGCATTCCAGAAGCTATACATTCTGGAAGCTGCCTCCTAGGAGGCGGAGTTCGGGGCAGGAGGAGATTAGCATCTGAAATATTTGCCCCTGTATCTCATGCCAAAGATAGTTTTCCTGCCCTGCAAGCCCTTCCTTGTAGATCAAAGTCTGTAAGTGCTGGCTGTGTGAACTGTTTCCCAGTCACCCCAGTGCACCAGCGGAGGCAGCAAGGAGCAGCAGCACGTGCTAAGCCCGTCCCTCTGTGTTCTTGCCAGCACTTCATGAAGATGCATGCCGAGAAGAAGCATAAATGCAGCAAGTGCAGCAACTCATATGGCACTGAGTGGGACCTGAAGAGACATGCAGAGGACTGTGGGAAGACGTTCCAGTGCACATGTGGCTGTCCCTACGCCAGCAGGACAGCACTGCAGTCCCACATCTACCGGACTGGCCATGAGATCCCCGCAGAGCACAGGTGAGGGGAAGCACAACGGGACGAGGGTGGCAGGGGCAGAGTTAGTGGGAGAGCATGTAGACCAAGGACAGGGAACTCCTGGAAATACCAGGAGTGTGCTGGGCCTGGGTTCCTGACCCAGTTGTTCCTCCACTGTTTCAGTTTCAATTTGAAGATTGCAGTTTCTAGTATTTTCTATGAAAGGGATATCAAATTACTGGAAAGTAAGGTTTTTTGTTTTGTTTTCCGCATGAAACTTTCATCTTAAAGATCAGATTTATATGTGGTCTAATAGCCTCCTGCTTTCAAAATAGTAAAACTTACATAATATATAATATCAGTTGGCTTCCTAGTACCTGAGGTTGAGTGCTCATGTTTAAAACTTAGTTTTTAAAAATAAGCATGCTACTTCTTTCCCTGTGTTGCTGAACGTCTGCCTGCCAGAATCGGGCCTAGTGTTCACAGTTGCAAAAGACGAGATTCCTTTTCCTTGGGTTGACTCTGGCCTCTACTGTAGATGGGGAAAATAGTGTTTGAAAAGAAGTGAAAATACAGTGTCATGGTCAAAGACAGCTGCGTTTTAAAATTGTATTTTCCCCTTTTGCTCTATCACTGTTTTCAGGGATCCACCTAGTAAGAAAAGGAAAATGGAAAACTGCTTACAAAACCAGAAGTTGTCCAATAAGGCCATTGAATCACTGGGCAACCAACCCACCCCCACACTAGACTCTCAAGAACTAGAAACGTCAGAAAGCAAGCTCGGAGCCACTGTGGAAGACTCCTGTGGCTCCAGTGCCAAAAAGCAGACTCTGGCTTCTCCAAGATACCCTCAGAAGTTGCTCTTACCGAAGCCCAAAGTGGCTCTGGTTAAACTCCCTGTGATGCAGTTTTCCTCTGTGCCCGTCTTTGTGCCTACGGCCGACCCCTCAGCCCAGCCTGTGATGTTAGGTGTGGATCAGGGCTCTGGCACAGGGGCTGTGCACTTAGTGCCCCTGCCCGTGGGAACCCTCATCCTCGGCCTGGACTCGGAGGCCTGCTCTCTTAAAGACAGCCTCCCGCTTTCAAAAATCATAAACCCTGTTGCTGTCGAGCCAGTCAGTACAGGTGTACAAGTGAACTTGGGCAAAGGTCCATCCAGTCTTGTACAAGCACAGGGGGGCACAGGTCAGAAGAGCAGCCTGTGTTCAACCAATGTGCAGACAGACCTGTCTTACGCCTCCCATGGTGTCCTGCCTTCGGCACAGTGGGCTGGCCCTGACTCTGCCGTGTCCTCCTGTTCTCAGACTGACTTGTCATTTGATGCTCAGGTGTCCCTTCCCATCAGTGTTCACACCCAGACATTTGTGCCCAGCTCCAAGATGACCTCATCCATAGCTGCCCAGACAGATGTGTTCCTGGACCCTTGCTTCCAGTCAGGTGGGGTCTCCCGAGAAACTCAGACCAGCAGGATGCCGGCTCCCACAGAGGACTGCGTGCCGGTGAGCCACGCCGGGATGTGTGGAGACATCTTTGAGAGTGTCAATTCGTCATACAGTGTCTCTGCAGACACCATGATGAGCAGCAGTCTGGAGGCAGAGTCAGTGACTCAGAGTTTGCTGCCCAAGGCTTTGAATCCAGAGATTGAGAAATCGGCACCAATGTTAAACTTCAGCACACAGAACACCACAGATAATCAGACCCAAACCATAGATCTGTTAAGTGACTTGGAAAACATCTTGTCAAGTAACCTGCCTGGTCAGACATTGGATAATCGCAGTCTTCTGCCCGACACGAATCCGGGGCCTGACCCCCAGCTCCCATCTGGCCCAAGCCAGAACTCCGGAATAGATTTTGATATTGAAGAGTTCTTCTCAGCCTCAAACATCCAGACACAAACGGAAGAGAGTGGGCTGAGCACCATGAACCCTGAGCCTGTCTTAGAGTCACTGGACATCGAGACCCAAACGGACTTCTTCCTCACAGACACGTCTGCCGCGTCCTACAGCTGCAGGACCAGTGCTAACTTCTTAGGCCTCGAGATGTTTGACACGCAGACACAGACAGACTTCAACTTTTTCTTGGACAGTGGCCCTCACCTGCCCCTGTCCTCCATACTGAAGCACTCCAGCTTCTCCATGAGCACCGACTCGTCGGATACGGAGACCCAGACTGAGGGCAGCTGCGCCACCAAGAACTCGCCTGCCCTGGAAGGCAAGGTCGAGTTGAACAGTGCAGAGACACAGACCATGAGCTCTGGTTTTGAAACCCTGGGGAGCTTGTTCTTCACCAGCAACGAAACTCAGACAGCAATGGATGACTTTCTTCTGGCCGATTTGGCCTGGAACACGATGGAGTCTCAGTTCAGCTCTGTAGAGACCCAAACATGTACTGAGTCACATGCAGTCTCCAACTTCTAATAGAGGGGTTTGCCTGTGCCATTTCCTCCTGGGGCTCCAAAGCTGGGCATGGGGCGACAGTGTTAACTCTCTCGAGCACAGTGTTGATTCAGTTGTTTGGTTCTTTGTGTGTGGCTCTTTGCCTTTTTTACGTGTAAACATGAAAATTGTGTATAAATGTGAGTGTATTATGAACTGTAAGATGTTGACCTCAAAAGTCTGCTTTTGTGCTGTCTACAAGCGCTCTTTCACAACTAGTCTTTTCATCTTCTGAAAGGAAAATTAATTTCATACCTGCAAAACCTCTACGGTCCTTTAGCTGAAGCCAAGCTTTCCAGCAACAAACTTCTCAAAGCTTCAAACTCAGCCAAAGTTCACTGATACTGCTCCTGAAAAGATTGTTGATGATGCTTCCGTGGTCTGTGACTCCTCCGCCTTGAACCTCCGTCTGCTTTAACATTCGTCTCTGAAGACAACAAGGAAAACTACAACTGTCATTCACTTTTGAAGCAGATTTCCTGTAGTCACTCGGTGCCATCCCTGCTGTGTGTGAGCTGTTACCGATAGCAACCGAGTGTGCAGCACCTCCCTTACAAAAGGTCTGTTACTGTCAAAACTCGCCTAAAGAAGAGCAAGCACTTAATGCCCACAGCAGTCCTTGTACCAGGGAGGTAGATCATCCCACCTCAGGAATGTGGGGTTGTAGTCACAACCCATTCATTCATCCTGGGGTGTCCCCTGCTGTGCGGACAAGTTGTCTTCTATGCCCACACCACAATCAACACAGAAGGCTTCTGTGACCAAATGTGTACGAGTTTGTCTCCAGTGAGCAGGCAGTTCTGCAGCCGACATCAGCTGGGTATCCTCTCGTTTGCTTCTGCTCTAACAGCGTCCACTGGAGGTAGCCTCAGGCTGAGGGTTCCATCCCCTGAGACTGCCCAGCATTGGGCCTGCAGACCTTCTAACTGACCTGCTTTAAGTTGGGGTCCCCATAACTCCCTTCTTGAACTTAATTTGGTAGAGCAGCTAACAGAACCCAGAGATATATGGGTTTATTGGTTTAATATAAAGGATGTTCTAGAAGATTCAGATAAAGAGCTTTGAGTTTTTACAGACTTTATTTGCAGGCACAGTAGATTAGAGCACTAGCCACCAGCAGTCAACTTAACCTTTATCTTCTCCTCCCTCCCTGGAGGTTACATCAGATGGAGCTACAAAGTCCCAACCCTCTAGTCTTTCTTGGGACCAGTCCCCATCCTGAAACTACCTAGAGGCTGCCAACCACTGAAGTACTCAGCACGTAAGACCCATCACTCTGGGAAGTCCAAGGAACTTAAGAACTGTATGCCAGAAGACCAACTACATCCCAGCGAGGGACTTCCTGCTGTTCCCTGCCGGCCACCACAGAGCTTTGCAGCAGCTTCCCAGAGAGCATGCACAGGCTGGGTCTGAGCTGTGTCCCTTGAAGGAAAAGGCCAGGAGAGCAAAGGACATCCTGAGCCCCAGGCAAGAGTGCAATCTCCAGTCATTTTCAAGTGACTTTTCCTTTCATCCACATTCATCTTTTCCTCAAAGAAGGAAACTCATTGGTCTAGCAAGTATCTTATTTTGTGCCTTGAGGCTGGCAAATACAGAACTGCCTAAAACATGCTTATTCTGCATTTTGTTGCTTTATTTATTTTTATTTTTATTTTTTTTAAAGAGTGATACCAAACTGACTTCTCCAAAGAACACAGAGATGGTGAAGGTGTCTTGCCTCCAGAACCGAGAACGTTTTCTGTGTTTTGAGACGGAGCATGCTGTGGTGGGTTTCTGCCGTTCGGAACCCCTGACTTCTTTGTTCACCAACTTCCAGGCAACCGGGACTCAGCGCAGCCTGAAGGTTCTCCAGTTTACAGCAACAACAACAGAGACACAAACACTCTGTCCTTTCTGTGGCACAGCCTCATGCTACCAAGGGAGCGAACAATCCATCCATCAGGTGGCATGGTCCCCTACATCAGCTACAGAATTGTCAGTAATGGATTAGTGACATACTCTGGGCAGATGAACTCAACCTAAGGGTGCAAGTTTGCTTTGGTCACAGTTGCCTATGAAATTTTAAGTTTGAAAATAAAATAGAAAGCCTTAATGTAGAATTTCATTTATGGTTTAGAATCATCACTGCCTTAATGTTCAAACATCTAAAAGTCCTTCCAGGAAATGGAGAAACGCATGTTTGTTTATGGCTTTTTGTAAATAGAAATGCAGTGATCTACTGTTTAAAAATGATTGTGTTTGCTATTCCAGCCAATCTGCTACATACGGAAAAATAGAGCATGTCATAGTTGATGGACAGTAACTGAAGTGTCCGAAGATTATTTGCAAAGACAAATTCGGTGATTAAAGAAAAGCTAGAATTCTACTTTTGTTTGTGAGTTCTTCAGCCTCCTCATAAAGCAACATTTTGTTGCCTTACCTCTTCACAAACTCATTGTTTTCCAGAGGCCAGTGGTGGAATCATCATGTCCAATTATTGCCATTACTGTTTGGAGGAAATATGCTGACAGTTGTTGTAGAGAAGACAATTACCCAAGTTTTCATTTGATTAAAAAAAAAACTATATACCTCTTAGGATTTAATGTTTCGAAGTCTAGTCAAAGTATTACTGACTTTACTCCCAATTTAGAAAAAGGAAAGCTTTTATCTACCAAGGGCTATTTGAATATTTATAATTCGTGGCTGTACAGAATTATCAAACTAAAGGTTAGCCTGCTGTAGATCGGCTGAATTTAGAGGCCTGCCTGCAGTCGCCCCGGCAGGACAAGAATAAATGATTTTGCAGGTTCTGTGCCACCAACGGGCTAGATGATCTTCACCCCTGCTCCAATTCATGCATCTACCAAATACTACTGCTTTTTAGTGTGTTATTCATCTCCGTAAATCATGTGATTCTGGCTTAAGAGCAAAAGGAAGTCAGCTAGGCTACAAGGGATATTAAAAAAGCTGTGGGAAATTTGCGAGAAAAAAAAACTGCATGGGTTTCAGATATTTTTTGCACTAGGATGGGTACTTGGTACAGTGGTTGAGATGTGCGTGGGATGCCCACGCCTGTATCAGAGCCTGGGTTGGAGGGACAGCTCTGCTTCTGATGCCAGCTCCCTGCCAAGGCATACCTCTGAGAGGTAGCAGGCAATGGATGGCTCAGGGAGTTGAGTCCCTATTAACTCATGTTGGGGTCAGCCTAGCCCAGCCCAGCTCTAGCTCTGGTTGAGGTTAGCATTGGGGGCATGAACCAGCAGATGGAATAGTATCTATTTGTGTCTCTGCCTATAAGATAAAATAAAAATAAAATTTCTGCACCAAATTAAACTTTGAATTCTATGTTTTCTACATACTGTTTGAGATTATCCTCATGTTACTTGTTCTTTGAGCATTGCTTTTCAGGAAAATGAGATCCATGTTTTTGTTTTTAACATTTATTTTTACTGGAAACGCAGATTTTACAGAGAAAAGGAGAAAAAGGGTCTCTGCTGGTTCACTCCCCAAATGGCTGCAACAGTCAGAGCTGGGCCTACCCAAAGCCACGAGCTAAGAGCTCCAGATCGCCCACATGGGTACAGGGGCCCAAAGACTTGAGCTTTCACAGGTTTTAGAAGTGCAGCAGGTGGACACAAACTGGCACCCTTACGGGATGCTGGTGCTTGGCAGGAACCGTATTCACCAGTTGAGCCACCCCACCGGCCCCTCTGATTGTCTTAGACAAAGGGAGAGCTAATGAAAAATTGTTAGGCTTACATGGATTTGAAGGTACTTTTGATCTGAAGAAAATGAATTTGTTTTGATATAACTTCTTTTAATACTAGCAAATGTTTTTGCTTAGTCCTTTTTGGCCTCAATTTCAGAGTGTTTAGGTTAATTCCAACCCAAACCTACGCACAAAAATCCACCTCATACAAATCCGAAGATCATGTAACTGTTCCATGTAAAGTGTGCTTCTCAGACTGAGAGAGGAAGAAACAAATATTTGAGGGCTTTGGGAACCAAGTTGTGGGATTTATCCTTTGATCAGACAGACCAAATGATTTTCTGGGCCTTAACATGCATGGCCCACTGCCTGGACATCCCTTCCCCCCAACGCCATGGCCTGGAGGATTGAAGAGAGGACCAGAAAGACTGCCTTCATCCACACAGGACATATTTTTTTATATATATTTTTATTGGAAAGTAAGATTTACAGAGAGAAGGAGAGACAGATCTTAGGTGTGGTGGTTCGCTCCTCAGGTGGCCGCAACAGCTCAAGCCAATCTGAAGCCAGGATTCAGTAGCTTGTTCCAGGCCTCCCACATAGGTGCAGGATCCCAGTGCCTTGGGCTGTCTGCTACTGCTTTCCCAGGCAGAGAGCTGGAAGGTGAGTGGAGTAGCCAGGACACAAACTGGCACCCATATGGGATCCTGGCGCATACAAGGCAAAGACTGTAGCGACTAGGCTGCCATGCCAGGCCCCACAGAGGGTATTTCTAGCAGATACGTTACATTGTTAGCCAAGTCATTTGCTCAAAATCCTTTTTGAAGTTTACTTTCTTCATTCCCTGATTTTAGCAAATATATAGACTATTTTTTAATACTAATTAAAATTTACTGAAGCTTAATTTAGGTTATTTGCCATAAATACTGTTATTTTCAATGCTGACTGAAATCTAATTTCATAATTACTAGTTTTTTTTATAGTCCCTCTGCCCCATAAAAATGTCCAAGATGACACTTCTTTTTAAAAAGTCTTTAATTAATTTGCAAAGCAGAGCAAGAGCGATCATCCAAAGGACGGTTCACTGCCCAAATGCTGGCATAACAGGCCAGGACAAAGCCAGGAGTCCAGAACTCCATCCCAGACTACCCAACAGGAGGCAGAAACTCAAGCATTGGTCCATTGCCTGCGGCCTCACCCAAGAACCAAGAGGCTGGGCTGGAACTGGGAGGGGCTGCATTGCACACACCCTGCCCCAACTGTGCTACAGCGCATGCCCCAGGATGACACCTCTGGAGGTGTATCTGTCAGCATGCTTAATTACCATACATGGTATTCTATTATCATCTGTGATGTTCCTTTTAAATCAATGTGACTAAAAACTACAAATCTTCAATGTGTCTAGGTCTTCTCCTTTGTGGAACTTGACACCCCTCTGCCCTCAGTTCTACATGACGATGTGTTTATACCTAAATCTGTAGAATACGCCACCTCTCTGAACAACGGGAAAATCCACTGGACTTCAGCTCAGGGTTTTTAAAGCTTCCTCGAGTTCTCAAAGGTAAGTTGTCCAGGCCAAGCAGGGTCTGGCCTTAGACACCTCACTCTCAAGCACTTTGGATAGACCATTACATCATTAATCTGCTGCTTTAAAAGGTTGCTTTCTGGGCCTGGCACGGTAGCCTAGTGGCTAAATCCTCACTTAGCATGTGCCAGGATCCCATATGGGCGCCAGTTCATGTCCTGGCTACTCCCCATCCAGCTCCATGCTTGTGCCCTGGGAAAGCAGTGGAGGACGGTGCAAGGCATTGGGACCCCACACCCATGTGGGAGACCCAAAATAAGCTCCTGGCTCCTAGCTTCAGTTATTGTGGTCACTTGAGGAGTGAACCAGTGAGTGGAAAATCTTTCTATACCTCCTCTCTGTAAATTGGATTTTGCTTTATATTTATAAAGGTTGGGCCTAGTGGCTAAAGTCCTCTCCTTGCACATGCTGGGATCTCAGGCGCTGGTTCTAATGCCGGTGGTCCTGCTTCCCATCCAGCCCCCTGCTTTGTGGCCTGGGAAAGCAGTCGAGGATGGCCCAGAGCCTTGAAACCCTGCACCCATGTGGGAGACCTGGAGGAGGGTGGAACCTCCAAGGTGGTTGCAGCCACTTGGGAAGCAGGCCAGAGGATGGAAGATCTTTCTGTCTCTCCTCCTCTCTATATATCTGACTTTCCAATAAAAAATAAGTTATCTTTAAAATAATAATAGTACTACTAATAAAGATTGTCTTCAAAATCCAATGGCTCAGGTGGCCAACTGCCAGAGCCAGCAGGTCCTTCCACATTGCCCTGGGTCCAACGCCAAACTGTGCAAATCATCCTCTAACGACTGCCCTAATAAATCATTCAGCATTTCTGGTGCTTTGAGGACACAACCAACAGAACAAAAGACCTGGACCAACAGGATATGACAAAGACCAAGTATGGAAAGCAATTGCTTACAGTCAAATTCTGTCTGTCCCATCAATTTAGGATTGCAAATCCAGAATCCAAGTATAAGCCACTTTAAGCAAATTCAAACGATGTAATTAAAAATGACTTAGTGGTTACTAGTATGTCAAAGTAGCACGACAGAGCATTTGTCTATATAAAAACATCTTTTGGGATTTAAAAATACCTGTAAATGTTTAATTTACATACAACCCTAACAAATATGTACTGGAATAAGAGAAGGGCAGTGCCATTGTGTAAGTGCCCGGGGTTGAGGGCACCCAGTATTGGACAAGGTGAGGATGGAAGGAGTGCATCAGGCAGCAGTAATCACAGGACTCCATTTCCCCAACAGCTTCCAAGTCACAACCTGCTTCTCAGGGTGGATTTTGTAAAGCTGCAGCTTTAACCTCCAGACACTGAGACTGGTGGTACGCTGTGTCCTCAGACATCACCCCAGGAGACAGTGGACAGTGTCTGCCCCAGGCACTTGGGAATGAAGCACATTGAACTGGACCCTGACTTGAGTTTTCCATTAAAGTGGCATATCAGGGACTGGACAGTTAGTGACTTTGGACCCCCACATTTCATACTGGAGTGGGATTTGAGCCCCAACAAAGCAGTGAATCTGAGAGTTGGGTTCCTGGAACCCACACACCTTGGGAGCCCCAGACTGAGTTCCTGGCTCCTGGCTTCAGCCCTCACCCCCTCAGGGTGGTGAGGTAGCTGCTGCATCTAAGGAATAAATTAGTGGCTACAACAGTCTCTACATATCCATACCTCCAGCTTTCCCTCTCTCTCCAATAAAAATTGAAAATTTTATAAGTGATGTTTCATACCTTCATTGCAAGAGAAAATGAGTTACCTGCCTGATACAAGAATGAGCAAACAAGGTACTTACTTAGCTAAGGCACTAGGGGTGGAGGAGTGAGCCTCTGTCAGCCCTGCGCTGGAGGAAGGCAGGCAGTGCGGAGGCAGGCCCTGCAACTCCCCTTCCTCCACCTAGGCAGACTGGGCTCAAGTTGCAGAAGACAGATTTGGGTGACTGGTGTGCATGTTGTACATGGCAAAAGTTGGCATCACATAAATAAGGTGTTTTAGAGGAAAAATCCAAAGTAATCCACAGAGGTTCAATTTCTACTATGAAAACAGGAAGAGGGGAGCAGGAGGGAGAAGAGAGGAGAGGATGGGGTGCAGACTGGGCAAGAGAGAATCTAGGGGTAAAAGGGGAGAGGAAAAGGAGAATGAATGCCAGCCATGCTCATTCCCGGAACATTCTATTGAGACAGCTCAGAGGAACCTATGAGTCGAGATGGGGATGACCAGTCTGCTCACTGTGAGGGACGGCAGGAGAGCCCTGGGGAAGACTTGGGTGTCCAGCCTTTGGGGCCTGTCTTCCTCCCCGGACCCTATGCCCATGTGCCTCTGAGTGCTCACAGGTGGTTTTGGGATCCTGGCTCGGAATCTGGCCTTGTAGTTTGGCACTCCCTGTTTCTGCAAAAGCTTCAGGGTGGTGAGGTAGTGAACGCTGCTGGGGTTGGGCAGGCACATCTGCTTGTTTTCAGGCAGGGAACACGGCTCGGGATCGGACAGCAGGGACGTCGGGGCCCCTGGGGACAGAAAAGGCAGCGTGTCACTGACTTTCAGGTGTTTGGCCAGCTTACCGGGACTCTTGCACCTCACCCGCCAACTCTGTTTTGAATCCATATGCACGGACCACACACTCATCCTTTTCCACATTCGGCACCTTCTTTCCCAACTGCAACAAAAAGTTCTTACTCTTATCCAGGCCGTTTGGGGGTGAAGTTTTCAGGGGAGGCAGGACCAAGAGAGCCTTGGAAGTGAGGGAGTCTGAGATGGAGAGCCCTCGGTTGGCACCTTCGCCGGGACTCCTGAGTGCCTTGCCCCTACCAGTCTTGGGGATGGCCCAGTCTTCCATGCACCAAATAAACTCCTTGATTTGCAGGCTTTTTTTTCCTCCATGTATGTAGGTGGGAAAGTAGATTTTGCTAATCTCCCTGGAAGCGGTGTTGGGGCCCTGGGGGGGGCCCTGACTCTGGGAGGGGCTGCTCTGATCCTTCTCCGAGCCTACCTCAGCTGCAGCCCCAGCCTCCAATTTCCTGGGTCCCGCAGGAGGCCTGGCCTCAGGGCTTCCTTGAGGGAGGTGCAGACAGAGCAGACAGCTGCTGTGGGCACTTTCTCCTACCCTGGCCTTTTTTAGTTTCTTCCGGGGCCAGATGCAAGCAGTTGGAGAAATCTTTCCCCAGCCTTGGACCTGCGAAGAAAGCAGCAAGTTACCCTCACACCAGTACTGCCCCTTCCAGCACACAGCCACCCCTGGGCAGTCCTAGCCAAAGTAGCATTTCTCTGAAAACGTACTGGCCTTTAACAACTTTTAATTCTTATTTTAGCATCGTATTAACTAGTATTTGTCAACCCTATGTACTAGCAACAGTATTTGTTAAGTCAGAGGCAGCGTCCCTGGGCCCAGGAGTCTTGCTTTCCCAAGGCACATGGGACACCTCCCGCACTCAGTCCCCTGGCCGACTTAGCCACTGAGGTCACCGGTAAAACGGGGTTGGCACCTAAGAATGCACCATCTCATTTGAGATCTACTAAATAAATTAGATGCTGTTCATCTGAAACCCATACTTACTGGGAAGGCTATTCTTTACTCAATCTAGTAACCCTACAATTAACACTGGATTAGACCAAGAGCCCCTCCAGCATTACATCTAGGATCTTATCATTGATTCTAAAGATGGTTTAAACCCGCATTTAGTCAGGCTAAATCTTTGTAAGAATCGTGTTGTTGCTGTTGTTGTTTTCATGGCTCTTTAGCTGACATTCATGAAGAACAGTGAGCATCTAGGTCTGTGTTGCTGATGAAAGGTCTTACCTAAGCAGGTGTCCTCTGAAGCTCAAGTCCTTTTCATGGTGCGCTCTGAGCGCTACAGGTGCAGGACAGCAAGGCTGCATACCTGTGAGTACAACATCTCGCACCTGCTGTAGGATACACAGTACTGTCCGTGCTTTATCACAGTACGTTTAATGATGTCGTCCTAGAATGCTTTCTTTCCCAGATAATGATGAAGAAGTAAATATTACAAAATGGTGCCAGGTACCACAACAGTGACAGAACTTTGTTTTGTTTTGGTGGCAGGAAGTTGCACTATTTTTATTTTTTAAAAAATGGACTGTGATAGATGGCTTCATAATTTTGTTCATAGTTACAGAACCTAGAAAAGCTATTGCTGTTATTGATACATAACGTACTGCTGATACTAGTATATATGATATATATTATAGACATAATAGTATATATAGTAATATATTTACACATATATGTAAGTATTATGTACACTTATGTATAATATATACCAGTCTATAGTGGTATATGTATAATATATATTAACACATGTGTCACTATATATGTATATATATCCCAGGGTATCCCAGTTTATGCTGTTGAATTGGCACTGTACAGAAGTAATGCAATGTATTAAATATGTAAGGTCTTATCTACATGGCTTTGATTAGAGAATAAAATATTTTCCAAATAATGGGAAAAAAAAAAACAAGAACGAACCCCCAGGAGGGAAGCTGTTCTCTGGAGGCCTTGGCCCCGCCGCCGGGCGGGCAGCTCCTCAGTCAGAGGCTTGGGTCACCAGTGGTGAGGCTTTATTCCCCATGTCTGCCTGACCTGACTAAAGATGATGTGGAGAACTGGCCAACAACTACTTTTTTTTTTCCTTAAGATTTATTTATTGGGCCCATCATAGTAGCCTAGAGGCTAAAGTCCTTACTTTGTACGTGCGGGATTCCCATATGAGTGCCGCTTCTAATCCAGGCTATCCTGCTTCCTATCCAGCTCCCTGCTTGTGGCCTGGGAAAGCAGTCAAGGACGGCCCAAAGCCTTGGGACCTTTCACCTGTGTGGGAGACCTGGAAGAGGCTCCTGGTTCCTGGCTTTGGATCGGCTCAGTACAGGTCATTCTGGCCACTTGGGGAGTGAATCAGTGGACAGAAGATCTTCCTCTCTATATCTCTCCTCCTCTCTGAATCTAAGTTTCCAATAAAAATAAATATATCTTTTTAAAAAAGATTTATTTACTTGAAAGGCAGAGTTAGAGATAGTGACAGAGACAATCTTCCGTCTGCTGGTTTACTTCCCGAATGGCCACAACGGCCAGCCCAGCGCCAGGCCAAAGTCAGGAACCTGGAATGCCAGCCGAGTCTCCCAGGTAAGTGTCATGGGCCATCTGCTGCTGCTTGCCCAGGGAGCGGGAACAGATGTGAGCAGTCAGGACTTCAACCAAGGCTCACATGGGATGCTGGCATTGTGGCTAGTGGCTCTAGCTCACTGCAGCACCAACCCCCAAATGTCCCTTGTGGGTGTGCTATCAACTGGTGGGCTCAGTGAGTGTGCGGGATGTAGCCTTAGTGTGGGCAGACACCTTCCAGAGAACAGAGGCAGAAGAAGGATCAGTGTGCTTGCCACTATCCTCTTGCTCCTATCCTTGGATGTTGGAGCTCCAGGCCTCCCACCTGCAGTCCTCAGAGCCCTCTTTCGAAGCCCAGGCCTTGGACGGAGCCGTGACACACGCATGCCAGGATGTCTGGCCTGAGACTTTGCAGACACTGAACTGCCGGAGCCTCATCAGTACCCATCTGTTTACCCTTAGCTCTGTTCCTCTGACTCGGTTATATAGATTAAACATATCCTCTTTGGGTGCCTCATTGAGGAGGTGAGGTTGCTAATTAATTTAGCTGTTTCAGATGGTGACCAAAAGGCTGATAGGTGATTTAAGCACCTAGTTGTATGCTGTCCACATTTCCGGGGGCCACACCAATGGGCACTGCTGTGTTATCAGAGACATTCACCTCAAAGGCAGCCATTTCTCTTTTTCACTGACTGCACTTTTTTTTTTTTTTTTTTTTGGTAATATTAACCGTTCCAGGGGGAAAGGCTTGCGATCACACTCTGATGTACAAGATCTAACTCAGAAAGATACTCACGGCTTCTTCCCAGCCAGTTCCAATGACAAACTCGTTGGGCTCTCCGTCTTGTTCCAGCGTCAGGTCGCTGATATTGAGAAGACAGCACACGTGGGTCCTCTCATCCCTCTCGCCCGGACAGCAGGTCAGTTCCGCGTCTTCGGCGCCGTGGGGTCCGTTGCTGCCTGTCGCCTCATTCTTCCGACAGAGATCCATTACCAGGAAGGTCGCTTGTAGTTGTTAACATCTTCTTTCTGAGGTTTAAAAAAAAATGCAGATTGAACATAGCTTTATATATTGATTACTGTCAAAAGGAAATTCAGTAAGTCCAGTGAAATATCTGTAAGACACATTCAGAAATAAACTAAGAAGAAACGCTGCAATAGATCGATTGAAAGCAGGAAGTTAGTGCATTTTTGGAAAACCGTTTGACTGCTTCTCAAAAAGAGAATGCCCACATAAGTAATTGTGCCCTGGATGTGTACCCACGAGAAATGAAGACAGCTACTCAAATATATGTTCAGACAGCATTTTTCAGAATTGCCCCAAAGTAGGGGGAAAAAAAGTCAAAATATCAACCAATGGGTAAATAGATAAAATGTGCCAGTCATGCAGACAAACAATGTTCTAGAATATGCTATAGGGATTAACCTTGAAAACAGAATGCAAATGAAACCAGCCAGGCACAAAAGGCCACACTACTACCTGAAAGCACAGGGAACACCCCAAAACAGCCAAGTTCACGGAGATTAGGGTTTCTAGAGCATTGACGAGTGGGGACCAGACAGCCAAGATGAAAATGTTCTGGAATAAGTGATGACATTGAGTATGTTAAAAATGGTCACTGAGTGATATCTTTAAGATAACTAAAACGGTAAGAAAAAAAAATTGTTTATAACTAATCTGGGCTGGCTCAATCAAAATTAATCCTTAAACTTGTGTGCATACTATTGGGACAAAGGTATTCTCTTGGTGTACACACCACACACACACACACAGACACTCCAGGAGCCGCTTAAATTATCTCACACAACCTGACAAGCACCAAGGAATGCAAAGGCAAGGAGAAGAAATCAGGTAGGCAGTGGCTTCTGCTAAGACTAGTGTCTCCTTCCAAAAGAATGATGAAAAGCAGTGGAAAGCATGTAAGATTGAGCTCCCAAGGGTACTGGACAGCTTACCAGAGCAAGCTTTCTCTTGGCCAAATGTGACACGCCACCTGTCCCTGCTGAAGTCCAGGCACGTCCCACCTTTCCTCCAGCGGCCCGGCTCCTTCAGTCCCGTGGTTCTCCCCTTCTCCCATGGTAGCCCTGTCTGGAGGAGCCCCTCTGGTACCACCCAACGCCCGCCTGCCTTCCTCTGCTGGTGGCCACAACTCCCTTGTCCTGCCCGGCTTTCGGGTCCTGGCTTCCTCTCTTTCGCCCCTGAGGGTCACCTCCTTTTGTGACGAGCGGGATGTGGCCTTACCCGGTGAGGAAGTGGCCGCTCACACCCTCTGGAGGGGCTCAGCGGGATCCCAGCCAGCTGGCCAAGGCGGCACAGACAGCCGCTGGCAGACCGTTGCCCGGGGTTACAGACGCGTGGCGGGGTAAGAACCGCTGGTTTTCTCGCGGCGGATGTGACCGGCAAGCGGTCTCCAGCCACACAGTTGGGCGCCCGGGAGAAGACTGCATACACACCTCCCGCCAGGGCACAAGCACCGGTGCACCTGTTCCAGGTACACCGCCGCCCCAGCTGTGGGCCCAGTTTCTGTACGGACCCGCACAGCTACTACAGCTGCAGCTGCCGGGACAAAGCTGCACGGCCTTGCCCGCTTGACGTTGGAGACCCCTGCTAGTTTCTGTCGTCGTCACCCCTGTGACGTGGTTGCTGTATGCTTTATGCAATTGGGGAAAACAGACCCGCGTCCCTGGACCAACAGACCCACAAGACCTCGCAAAACGCCGCCTCATCCTCCCCTCACACGTGCCCCGGATGTCCATGATTCACTCACGGATAGTCAGAGCCAACCCACAAGGATACACAGAGATGAATTCCCATGGCAAATGGGTAATAAACACTTAATGGGAACAGAGACTGGCGGGAGGGTTGGTAAGACAGCCTTGGTATTGTCTTAAGTAGCCCCAGGAAAACTACAGAAATTTGGAAAAGTAATCAATTCGGACTTGCTTAGTTGATATGAGGACATCACCCTCATTTTTTATCCTCGTAAGTCAAGGCTGACAATTTCCCTCAACTACCTGCCAGGTGGTAACGATGGTTTTCACTTTCAAGGTGACTGACATCTCTAGTCCCTTACTAGAAACATTTTCAAAAGTTTGATTAAACAACTCTATTAAGGCAATTTAAGAATGCAAAAGGAACAGGACAGAGAAATGCTACCAATTTAATCACAGCCATGCACTGGGCAGCACTCTAGGCAGAAATGACAGTGGGATCGGCTTCATGCCCTGAATAGCACACAGAGCTAGTTGGCACCAGTGCCCTCTGTGAGAGCTTACAGGGGTGGCCCAGAGCGAAGCCTCCACCTCCTGTTGTGCAGCAAAAGTCATTGCAGCTTCCCCAATGAAATTCCCAATTATGTGAAAGTCAGTGTCAGAGAGGAAGATAGAGACCTTCCATCCTCTGACTCACTCCCCAGATGGCCATAACAGCTGGAGCAGAGCCAGAAATCCAGGAGCCAGGACCCTTTTCTGTAACACCCACATGGATTCAAGCCATCCTCTGCTGCTTCCTTGGGCCATTGGTAGGAAGCTGTGTTGGAAGTGGAGCAGTCAGGACACAGAACAGAAGCCATAATAGGATGCTGGCAGCACAAGCAGCATAAGCAGCAACTTTTCCCACTGCCAACACCAACCCCCAACTTCAGTATTTTTTTAAAAAGAGCTATTTTTCATCTTGTCATTTGTTTTTAAATTTTAAATTACATGTTGAAGACACACAGCAACTGCCCAACTGCTGGTTTAATCCTGAAATGCCCATAATGGCCAGGAAGCCATCAGGTCTCCTACAGGGTCATCCCTGCTCCCCTCCAGGATCTGCAAGAACAGGAAGCTAGGACTGGTAGCTGGAGTGAAACCCTGGCACTCCACATTCAACACAGCTGTTGTAGTACCCACTGCCTCCAGCACCATTCTTACCTGAGAAATGGTGGTAGTGACTGATATTTTACCTAGCTTGGGCAAAGAAAGTGAACAGAACACATTCAAAACAAAAAGGTAAATCAATGCTGATTTGGGACGTGGATAATGTATGGCTTGTGTATTCCCAAAGCAGAGCCAGATTATGTGTCCTAATCAATCACAGTGAACAGGAAGGCAGGTATGGCGGTACTCTGCTGTTCAGGATGCACAGATGGAGTCTACAGGGACGTGGCCGTTGCGAGCGGGGGAGGACGAGGGACAGGCCTGCACAAATGCTCTCTTCTGAAGACTCGCAGGTCACTTAGCCACCCACTTCCAAGTTTTCATAGTTGCTGTATGTTCGCCCCAAGGTGGTAGAACTGGAATAGCTCCTTTAAAATTTTATTTATTTTTATTGGAAAGGCAGATACACAGAAAGGAAGAGAGACAGAGAGGAAGATCTTCTGATCGTTCACTCCCCAAGTGACCACAACGGCCAGAGCTGAGCCAATCCAAAGCCAGGAGCCAGGAGCTTCTTCTGGGTCTCCCATGTGGGTGCAGGGTCCCATGGCTTTGGGCCATCCTCGACTGCTTTCCCAGGATGCAAGCAGGGAGCTGTATTAGAACCGGTGCCCATATGGGATCCCGGTGCATTCAAGGCGAGGACTTTAACTACTATGCTATTGCACCGGACCCAGAATAGCTCCCTTTTCTTACAGTAACTGGGAAAATGACCCAGGATTTTGCTCAGTGCTAATGTGTGTAATTATCCAATAAGTCCCCAAACTATCACAGCTGACTCCCTTAGAGAGTTTATTCCTTGTGTTAGCCAATTAAAAATACCATTTGACCCTAGATGAGCACCCAGAGTCTGAGTTGGTGCTGGGCCTCACAGAGCGCCACGCTGTGGCTGCTTGTATTCCCGCAGTGTCTGTGGAAAGGCAGCCGAATGCAGCCGAGCATGTCAGCATGTGCTGTGTGATCCAGGAAGGCACCTTGGCATTCACTGTCTTCCTCCTGTCCTCCCATCTAGCAGCATGAAAACAGTGATTTCTTTCACTTTATATCAATGATGACAAAAGCAAACACTACATTCTACCGAGTGATTACATCTTCACTCAAAAAGAACACGATTTGGAACCAAAAGGAAACATACTTTGTAACCTTTAATTGCTATGGCTTAAGATTTGTTTTAAAAAATAATTTCCTATGAGTTAAAATTATCATCTTCATAGATACTAAGCAAATCCCTAAATTAAATACGAACATACAAATATTAGTGAGGAAGTTGAAAACTGCATTGTTTATTACACTTTGCTGCGCAGCTGCTGCTTCACTGTATAAAATAGCACCAGCAGATGCAGTATATTACAAATTTACGGTGGCGGTGGTTTATCTGGCATTGTACAATTAACAAAAACTGTTCTCCATTCCCATTGGTTCCACTGGAAAGGCCAGTGCATTCCAACCCCCAATTCATGGTTGGGTATGAGCAAGTGATATTATGTAAGGCTTCAGGTAACAATGTCATCTTGAATTATTTATATAATTAGTTTTTACTAATTTCATGCATTCTGAACACTAGTGCCTAGAGCCTAGTGTAACAATCACGAGGTGTGAAAAAGGTGCATATTGTGTTCATCTGTGGTCATTATAAAGTTAGGGGACTTTTTCTTCCAGGAGCAGAGTCGAAAGAAGTATCTCTTGCCATCACTATTGCTAAAGGTTGCTACTGTGTCTCTGTCCACCACTAACTTAAAGCAGCAGTGCTGGATTCAGTTAATCCAAGACTAGTTCACGTGAGAGCTCTGCTTTCACTCCTCAATAGATTTGATGTATTTCTCATAGGCTTCTTCACTCATTAGCTCATCCAGTTCTGAAGGGTTACTCAGTGCCATCTTGATCAGCCAACCTGCAACCAAAAAATAATCTTATTTTCTGAGCGACAACTAAGGAACCCATAAATATGACATTATGAATTTTACAGAGTAAATTAAAGCTTCTAGCCTCAGGAATCTTTACCATAAGCTTATGTACATAGTTAATCTTTGTTTTGCTTTATTTTTTTTTAAAGATTTATATTTACTTTTATTGGAAAGGCAGATACACAGAGAGAAAGAGAGACAGAGAGGAAGATCTTCCATCTGATGGTTTGCTCCCCAAGCGGCCGCAACAGCTGGAGCTAAGCCAATCCAAAGCCAGGAACCTGGAGCCTCTTCCGGGTTCCAAAGCTTTGGGCCGTCCCTGACTGCTTTCCCAGGCCACAAGCAGGGAGCTGGATGGGAAGTGGGGCTGCCGGGATTAGAACCGGTGCCCACATGGGATCCCAGCGTGTTCAAAGTGGGGATTTTAGCCACTTGGCCACCATGAAGGGCCCTCTGTTTTGCTTTTTAAAGGAAAATTATGTCCAGTAACTAAGCAGCAAAGGCTAAATCACAGTTAGTTAAGGCTTGCTTGCAGTCTGCATTAAATGTTATCAGCAGCAGTAACCCTGTTGAACAGTTCCCGGCAGCCACTTACCATCTTCATAACAAGATGTGTTAATGAGGCCTGGGTTTTCTGAAAGAGCTTCATTGATTTCCGTCACTTCTCCTGACAGAGGAGAGTAGAGCTCACTAGCAGCCTTCACACTTTCCAAAGCACCAAATTCATCTAAATGGAAAAAATTAAAGAAAATATAAACACCAATGAGTGAAAAGTATAAATTATGGAAAAGTGGGCATTTCTCATGATCATTTAAAAAAATCTGAATTTCTTTAAAAATAAATGCACAGGTTTTGTCATGTTCATACTCACAAGAAGCACAAGCTAGCCTTAACAATGTGGCCCTGTCTGCTGTGGACACAGCGAGCAACAAGTGGTGCCGTCCCTGAATATACCAGATTATGCTTACATTCAGTGAAACTCAACTTTCAACTTACTGTGGCTCAGAAAAAAATGAAAACTTTAGAAGGTTCCAGTAATGGTGATGTACCTCATATCAGACCATCTTCCTGCAGATAACAAAGATAAAATCTGAACAAATACAAAAAACAATTATATGATGGTGTTGCAGATCGACAAAAAGGGGGCCGGGGGGGTTTGGTGCGACTGTCGGGATGTGCTGGCAACAATACCGAAGTGTGTGGGTATCAGCCCCCACTTTGCTAACATGTGCCCTGAAGAGGAGCAGATGCCAGCTCAAGTACTTGGGTCCCCACTACCCAATGAGACACCCAGACTGAGTTCTGGGCTGCTGGTTCCCAGGTGCCCGGCCTGGCTGTTGTGGCCATTTGGGAAAACCAGTGGATGATAGTTCCCTTTCCCTGCCTTTCAAAGAAAATTACTACTAAATCAGTAATTCAATTTAAACCAGGGTAGGGCAAGGGGAGTGATGGCAGTGGTGATTGGAGCAAGATCTTTATTACACCATTTCTCTCCTGGAAACTTTCTCCCACCTGAAGAACACAAAGTATCCCTTGCCTGAGGAGTCAGAGGATGGAGTGTAGGACTACCAGAGAGAATGGAAATTTAGGGCTGAAATCCTATTACAGGGAGCCACTTGGGCAGGCACCATGGCACAATCAGCTAATCCTTTGCCAACAACGCCGGCATCCCATGTGGGTGCTGGCTCAAGTCCCAGCAGCTCCATCTCAGAGGGCACTAAAGGACAGCCCGATTCCCTGAACCCCTGCTCCCATGTGGGAGCCCCAGAAGAAGCTCCTGGCTCCCAGCTTCCAACAGGGCCCAACTCTGGCTTTGGCAGCCATTTGGAGGGTGAACAGCAGATAGGAGATCTCTCGGATATTGGAATAATGCCTGTACATAGGAATTTTATAAATGGATACTCCAGAACTAGAAAGTATAATATCTTTTAACAGTTAAGCAACTGTTAGGCACAATGGCTCAACTGGCTAATACTCTGCCTGTAAGTACCAGCATCCCATGTGAGATCAGGAAGAGTCGAGACAGAGCTCTCACTGGAGATTTTAAACAAGCAAAGCAGCACTTCTTTGGAAGAACTGTGAGAGGAAAAGAACATGGCTTTCCCAGCGTGATCCTGAAGACAAAGCTCAGAGATGTGACCACCCAGCGGCACAAGTGGTTCAAGTGGTCACCACTCGGGTTTCTGGGGATGATCGGGCCATTCTGCTTGTTCACTCTTGGCAGGGCCAAGTACCAGTCACTTCTGCTTACTATTAGTTTTGAGAAAGCTGAAGATTTAGCAGAAAAATTCCAGGGCTGTTTCTTCTCAGTACCCTGGCTGCAGCAATATTCCTGCTAAGTCCTCCCCTCCAACAAGGGCAGCTCTGAGTCTCAATGGATCATAACAGGCATCCCGATTTGAGGCCTCTGACTGCTTCTTGAACTTGGTGAAGCTTATGCTGAGAAATTTACATGCTTACTGGAAATTCAGGTATATAGACAGGAGAAACAGGAAGATCTTCCATCCGCTGCTTCACTTCCCAAGTGGCTACAACAGCTGGAGCTGAGCTGATCCAAAGCCAGGAGCCAGGAGCTTCTTCTAGGTCTTCCATGCCTTGGGCCATCCCCTACTGCCTTCCCAGGCCACCAGAACATGAACCAGCGCTCATGTGGGATTCCAGTGTGTGCAAGGCAATCACTTTAACTGCTAGCCTACCATGCCAGGCCCATGAGAAATTTATATGCTTTTTGAAGCTCCCTTTGTTTACAACAGAAAAGAAGGCATACATTTACAAGCATGTTTATAGCTGTTTTATTCATGATTGCAAAAAGCTATAAATAACACAAAAAAATCAACTGACTAATTGAAAAATATGATCAATCCATACAATAGACTATGACACAGTAATAAGAATAAACTACTGATCATTCAATATGAATGGGTCTCAAAATGACAATACTGGACAGAGGCAACAAACTGATTGATTCACAGTAATTTACACAATGGTGCCCCCTCACCCATCTGTGGTGCAGAAATCAAGAGGATATCTCCTGAGGAGCTGTTTGTTTTGTTTGAGGGGAGAATTTCCATTTGTAGCGACTGACAGGAGTATCTGCATGGCTGGTTGCTACCCCAAGTGCCTGCACTGATGGCTAGACATAGGTCAAAACTGGGAGTCGGGAACTCAAATCAGGCCTCCCAAGTGGACAGCACAAGCCCAGTCATGGGCCTTCTCCACCACCTGAGGGTCTCTATCAGCAGGAAGCCAGGCACTGGTATGTGGGATAAAGGAGTTTGGGCTGGGTAAGTTTAAGGGGCGGAAGACCATGTAAGAAATGGCCTCCATTTCTGGTAGGTGCTCCCTGCTAAGGAAAGGCCAGCCCCTACATTCCCACTTCTGGACACCTACTTTTGTCACTGAGAATGTAAAGATTTTGAAGCCAAAAGGCAGCAAGGAGAAAAACAGGCTGTGCCCTTGGTGGCTTTGCTAGTCAGCCTTTACTTTCCTATCCTGAAAAACCATACACCTGTATTGTTCAACTACTTTCATGTGAATGTTTATTATTATTATTATTATTATTAATTGCATTGCATTATGTGACAGATGTGAATGTTCTTTTACTTGAGTCAAGAGCACTCCAACTGACCCCGGACTATTACTCAGTAAAGACCAGGTAATGAGGGCTCACGGCACAAAAACACTTACCTTGTTTTTTCAACTTCGTCCCAACTTCAGGCAGGCTACAATAAACAACATCCCCCAAAGCTTCCTAAACAAAAACAAAAAGCTCCTTAAGTCAAGCCCTTCCAGTAACCAGGAACAAGCCAGATAGCAAATCCCCTAATTCAAGCAGCACATATTTTTACATATTTTATACTCAACAGGCCACACTCTCTGGTTTTCCTTCTAATCCTTTAACAATGTAAAAACAACAAAAAGCCCACCAGGAACAACAAAACCATTCCTAACTCAGGAACTACAAGAAACAGGCCACTGGCCAGCTGTGGCCCCTTAGCCGTGGTGAGCCACCGACTGTCACACTGTGTCCCATTGGGTTCCCAGCTCCTCTGAGCACAGACCCGCTTCGTGCAGTTTGCCTGTGCATTTGCTGTAACTCCTACTCCTTGGCCCTACAAACCATGGCCCTCTTACCTGGCTGCCCTGAACTCTCCCCATGAGCTAAGTGAATTCCAACCTCTTGTGCAACAACCCCCCAATCAATTCTGTAATGTGTACTGCGTCCCTAGAGGTGACCCCTTCACGGAAGGGGTATCCAGCAGGCTGGTATGTGATGTTTCATGGATGCCCAGGACAGGACCTCACAGGAACCCCTGGGAATTCACCATTTCTGAAAGCCATTACTGCTTCCCAAGCCTTTACTAACATCCCTTTAGCCCCACTGCCTCAGTCAACAGAAAGGTCTAGCTGATGAGCCACTGAGCCTTGCTAAATTGAGCTTTACATTTTTAAAAAAATATTTCCATGTGGGATCAGTGGCATAGTGGGAATTAAAACAGAAAGTGTAGGCTGAATGAAAGGAAAGGCTTGCCTGTGTTCAAACTGTTCCTATTTGGGTCCCCCTTTCCTGTCCCTGACCCGAGTGTTTCAGTGAAGGCACAGAACACAGGCAACCCTCTGGCCCGTGGCTGACTCATTCTGTCTCCTAACTACCCAAGAAAAAACATTTCTCCCTTCAGTAAGATGTTTCCTACTTTCTTTGCTCTCAAATTTTCATTTTTATTTGAAATGCAGATTTACAGAGATCTTTCATCCACTGTTTCAGACCCAAGCAGTGGCCACAGCCAGAACTAAGCTGCTCCAAAATCAGGAGCTTCTTCCAAGTCTCGCACATGGGTGCAGGGTCCCAAGGACCTGGGCCACCCTCTGCTGCTCTCCCAGGCCACAAGCAGCGAGCTGGAGTAGAAGTGGAGCAGCCAGGTCTCACACTGGTGTCCATATGGGATCCTGCTGCTACTGGTCAAGGACTGGGTCAAGGTCAACCCAGCCTGCGTTTTGCTGACATTTCAGCGTCTCTCCAAATTGCCACACTGCCCTAACTAATGTTTTACTTGGTTAACCTCTGATTGATTTTCTTCTAAGGGTCTTTCAAGGGACACAAAGTACTACGGGCAAAGGAAGCCATTTCCAAAAGAGAGAGACAATCCAAAGTGTCAAAAGTTTCAAGGTGATACAGTACCTGTGCAAAATGGCTGATTCCCACAGTTCCGATACCATTTTCTGTCATGATCCATTCATGTTTCTCTGTGAATTTACGCACTGAAACAAAGAGCGGTATCTCAGAGGAGCGGTGGCTTCACTCCTGGACAAGCACTTTTTACGTCGCTGCATGGGGAACAGCTCTACCTCACCTACGGCCTCTGCTGCCCCTCTCGGAGGCTGGGGGACCTGCCTTAGCACGCACCCGGCCACTGAAAGAAAGCAGCACATTTCGAACGTGTCCTTCACTTGACTGGGCCAAAGGCCAAGAACTGACCAAATGTATTAACTACAAGTACTTGCTTGGCAGAAGAGGGTCTGTTCCTCTGAGAACGGAGAGGTGCTGGTGAGGCTTTAAACAATTTAGTTCAATATATATGTACATGTCTCCTTAGGCAGAGCTGGCCCATGAGGCCTTTATGGTGACTCTGATACAAAGTGAAATTTTACAAGGAAACTGACCCCATGAAAGCAACTGGATTGAATTCTTAGAGCTCCGCCTTAATCAAATCTAAGCTTCTCCCTGAAGAAAGTCATTCACTCAAGAAGATAAGAACTCAGCAGGCAGCTCAGAACAGCGCCTTTCACTGGCACCAGTCAAGCTGTGCACAGCATTCCTGCCGTGGGAGCCTGCCCAACCCTGCAAAGATGTCAGACTCTCCCTTAAGAGTTTTTGAAAAAGCATATACCATTTTCTGAAATGTGTATCACATTCTGAAAGCCAAGCACTTTTCTAAAAACAGGCCAACAGATTAAGAAAACATTTACTAATTGAGATGCCACTTCCGTGTGCCTTCTTCCTGACCCAGAAGGCAGTGGCACTGACCAGGCAGAGCTCCGATACAAAACGGAGCCAACATGGGTCCCTTGGCGCTTTCTGTCCCCCTAGTCATTACCCAACATTGAATGCTAAGTCAGTGGAAGAAGTTGCAAAATCTGTCACCAGGGAGCTCAGCTTTGCTTCATCCCACCTCCAACAAGTGAGTGCATCAGGTCAAGCCGACATTTACCTAAGCAAGGTTAAGGATTTGTACACAATAGATTCTACCAGAAAACACTTCCCCCCACCACTCTTCCATGCACTTCTGCTCCCTGCCTCTGGGCTTCCAGGCCGTGGCTGCAGAGTTTAAGCCCAGGCACACTGTGCACACACAGCCTGCAACAGCAAGCACCAAACTGTTCCGCATTATAATGCATCTGCATCACGATGCATGTACCTTACCTTTGGAAAGTACATGACCCCTGAGGACACCACTGTCCCTTCCCTGGCCATCGCGGGGGTTACCATAGGTTAGAGCAGGCAGCAGCATGACCAAGCTGAGGAACGGGCCCCTGGGCTTGGGTCTGCTAAAGAAACCAGCAATCCCCTTCTGCTTTAACCCCTGACCCTACACCTACACGAAGAAATGGACAGAGGAGGTACATCATTACTTTCCTACAGGCTAGGGGGCCCTGGAAACTTGTGTTGTAATTAACAAAAAATGTTCTGTTTTCCTCCTTCAAAGTCACCAACCAGACAATTTCATAGCGACACTGGCTTTCCCACACCATTTATTTGCTGCTATGCATTAAGTAACGCTTATTGATTGTTAAGCTCAGGCTATGCATATATGTGGGCAGCAGTTAGGATGTTCCTTTTTTTCTCCTAACAATTCTGTAAGGTGGGAGGTGTATTATCTCCAATTTTCTAGGAAGGCGCCAAACTTAGGGAAGTTAGGAACGGAATAAGAACTGTGCGCTGTAAGTCCCCATAAAATGTGTGCTGATTACAAAAAAAATAGTAGCAATATGATAAAAACAGAAACCTTAAACAGAGATCACTGGACATTTGTATTTTAGGCAACATTTCACCAAAGAACACAGCCGTTCTTTGTCGTTCAGATGGCCGAGTCACTGTTGTCTGCCTATGCAGAGAAAGAGGAGCTAACTGGAAAAAAAGTTATCCGTTTTGATCCGATCAGATTTTAAAAACAATGGGTTCAGAGTTAAGCTCGCAGCCACAGAGCCAAGCCTAAGTCTCCCCGGGGACACCCAGTGTCCCAAGCATTTAACTGCTTCAAGAAAGAAGAGCACGGAACGAGATTCGGAAGCCCAAGTGTCTCAGCTACTGCAGGAGCTCAGGGCCGAGGGCTTCATCTTAACCATTTCAGGAAGGAGCTGCGTCTGCGAGGTCTTCTTGGTCTTGGACTAGGTTGTCCAGACACAAGTCCACCGAGTACCCGATCCTCAGGACGCGGAACCAGCTGAGGGCCCAGAGCGCCGCAGCTGACCGCCAACCCCGCGGGGGTGGGCGGACCACTCCACCCAGCCCCGCAGCGGCCCGCCAGCGGCTCCGCAAGGCCCGCCGAGCAGGCAGAAGCGGCGGCAGAACGAGGTGGAGAGGTTCCGGCGACGCGCGGCAGCAGAGAGCAGGCCCAGCCTCACCACGTGCCCATCTCGCTTACCCGAGAGCAGAGCCCGACCGGTGCGCAGCGTCCGCACGGCGCCCGGCCGCAGCCGCCAGGACAGAGGCGGACAGGGAGCGGCGGGCGCCGACGCGGCGAGCAGGTTGCAGGCCGCGGCCCGCACGCTCCGCGCCACTCGCAGCGCCATATTAGCAGCGGTGCTAGGGTGGGGGGTCTCGGCACCGGGGCCACCGGGGCCGGCGGGGAGGACGGGGCGGGGATGAGGCAGATCCGGGAGGCGCGGACCGGAGCTGGCTGCACACGCGCGACCGGGGCCCGGGCGAGGGGCGGGGCAGGGCCTGATTGGGCAGCGCTCGGGGGTGGCGACTCCCGGACCGGGAGCGAGCTCGGATAGGACCACGGGCAGGTGCGCGGTGGAGGCGGCGTGGGCGAGGGGCGGGCGGAAGGCGGGATCAGCGCTCCGGGAGGCGCCCGAGCTCCCCTTGGTGGCCGTCGCCTGAACGGCGTGTTCAGGCAGGGATGGCGTCCTTGGGTCCCGCGCTCTGGCCCTTGTGGGTCAGAGCTGCCCAGAGGCGGGTGCACAGCTATCCCTCGCCAGAATCCGCTCCCACGCCCCGGCTGGTGAGTTTCGGCTAAGTGGAGGCCAACACAATTGCAGTTCCAGTGACTTAATGAAATACTGAGCAGCAGGGCGTGAGTCCTGCTTTCCCCACTGTTGAATGATGTCCCCACACGGGACGGACACAGCCGAGAAGCTAACAGGAGGGAGGGCGAGGACCATCCCGAGTGTCACTGTGGCGAGACATTCAGAGGTGGCAGGAACGCCCCTAAGGCGGAGGGAGTCAAGACCCTGTGTGGACAAGGTCTCCAACCCTATGATGGAGGCCTTCCAAGAAAAGCCCAAGTCGTCATTCTGATTCAATAGAGAACTCATATCCAAAGCTGATTTGTGCAGTTAGGGGATGTGAGTCAGCAAAGAAACGCTGGTATGCAAAATGCCTCCAGTTCCACAGCCCCTTACAGGTGGGTGTGTGTGTGTGGACCACCCCCTTCCCTCCTGCGGGGTTGCACTGACTTATAAACCTGCTCTCCGCCCATCCGGGTAATTGCCCCAGAGTTATCATGCTCCCTCTGAGTAAGCCACCACCCACCATGCCCCTTTGGCACATGTGTAGAGCTTGTTACATGGCTGTTTTGTTTCTGTTTCCCTTTAAAGTTATCTGTGCCGGGCCCAGTGCAATAGCCTAGTGGCTAAAGTTTTCACCTTAAATGTGCTGGGATCCCACTTGGGCACCAGTTCATGTGTTGACTGCTCCATTTCCCTTCCAGCTCCTTGCTTGTGGCCTGGAGAAGCAGTGTAGGATGGCCCAAAGCCTTGGGACCCTGCACCCATGTGGGAGACCTGAAAGAGGCTCCTGGCTCCTGGCTTCAAATCAGCTCAGCTCTGACCATTGCAGCCACTTGGGAAGTGAACCAGCAGATGGAAGATCTGTCTCTCCTTCACTCCGTAAATCTGACTTTGCTATAGAAATAAATAGACCTTTTAAAAAATTATGCATGCCACATTTATCTCTTAATTCCATGTCCACAAACTCCCATTTTTTAAAAGATCTATTTATTTATTTGAATGGCAGAATTACAAAGAGAAGGAGAGGTCTTCCACTCCCTGGTTCTCTTCCCAGATGACTTGTAGCAGCCAAGGCTGGACCAAGCTAAAGCCAGCAGCTAGAACTCCATCTGGGGTCTCCCGCGTGAGAGAGGCACCTAAGCGCTTGAATCATCTTCTGCTGCTTTCTCAGGCAGATCAGCAGAGAGCTGGATTAGCAATGGAGCAGCCCAGACTGGAACGAACATTCATATAGGATGTTGCCACTGCTCAGGAAGCTTAGCTTGCTACTCCATGGCCTGGCCACATAACTGCCTTTCAAATAAATACTATTTAAAAAGCAGCATAATAGTTCATAACCTGGCATTTTGTCCATTTGACCCATAAATTTTTGGGGGGGCGAGGGAAGGGAGAGAGTTGGTGTAATGCCAGTTATGGATCAGATTGTTTCCTAACGAGATATGTGAAAATGGTACTCCCAGTCCTTCAGAATGTGGTCAAATTGGAAAATAGGATCATTGCAGATATAACTAGTTAAGAGGAGGTCATGCTGCTGTAGGCTCCCCTCATCCACTCTGCCTGGTGTCCTGATAAGACGAGAGAGACAGAGCAGTGAACACGTGACAAGGCGGGGACCAGAACAGCGAGGCAGTGCCTACCTGCTGCTCAGAGCCAGCAGCAGACCCGGCAACACCAATACAGTGCCGGTTAGCATCTCAGGCCCAGTGTGAAAGCCTCCAACCTGCATCGTTCCAAGGCAACAACTACTGACAGGCTTTAACTAGTCTTCATTCAGTATTTGTTCTGTTTCTCAGAGGTGATACATTGAACGCACAGGTTTTCACGGTCGTGGCCGTTGTTTTGCTTTGTTTTATTTGCTGGACTAGGTGGCTTTGCTATGCACACAAACAATACGCTGGCAAGACTACAGCATGCTTGCAAAGCACAGCCCACAGTGCTGGCCCAGCTGTGTGGTGGAACAGCTTAAACCTTGAGTGAAGCAGGTGCTGGTCAGAGGCCAGAGTCTTGGACGGTGCTGAGGGCAGCTCTCGGCTGCTCTAAGTCCCATCCTTGTTTTTGCATTTCATGCCCAGGAAACTGAGTATTTTCATCAACAGCAAATCCATAATCTCTCTTTCCTCAGAGGGCTGCAAGGGAAAAAAGAACAGAGTGATGTGCATAAAACCAACCTTTCTGGGGCTTTTTCTTTCCAAAGGGAAGCACGGTAAATGTGTGGTTTAGTTCCAGCCTGTGGGGTGCGGGGGGTTGGAACGACCTGGGCTCCTGGGTAGCCTCTTCTGAGCTATCACCTGTTACCCCCTAGGGCAGTTTTGAAAATGACTCTGTGTTCTTTCTGATTTCTGCTTGCTCTGTTTACTTTACATGGGAGGAATGAAAAGCTTCAGCTACCCATGCTTTCACAGATGATTTTGTTTGCAGTTCCCTCAAGCCAGGGTGCTGACCACATCAATCCCAAGATAGGGACCCAGCTAGCAGTGGGATCTGTGGCAGACCTCCCGCACTAGGAATACTCTTTGTTTGACTGTAGGTAGGTGGCTAAATCTGTGTTTTCCTGCATAGACCCAACCCTCTCCCCGTTTGGAGAGAAGTTGGGTGTGGAGGCATTAGGTTGTCACTTCGCTGGCTGCCGGCATCCTAAATAAACATTCTCCCTTCCTTTCCCCAAATCCTTATCTGCTGTCATTGGCTTCACTGCTAGGGAGCACCTGCTCTTGAAGCATGGTGCCTTGGCAGTGCTGCTGGGAGTGAAACATGGTGCAGTTCTCAGGATAGCAAATGGGCAGTTCCTGAGACTATGGGACCTAGTTCCCTCATGAGCCAGAAACTTCACTCCTAGGAACGTGCTTGCAGCAATGAAACCCTCCATCCACACAAAATTCTGCACCTGAATGTCTGTTATCATTCATAATAACTATGGAAACAATCCATTGTGTTTCCTACCCCCAATGGGATATTAGCCATAAAAAGGGAAGATGCATTAATACATGCTGTGACATGGATGACCCTGAACATGTGATGTTGAGTGGCATGAGCAGGGACCAAAGGCCATATAGTGCATAATCTCATTTCTAACAAATGTCCAGAAGGAAAACCAAAAGAAACAGAAAGTAGTGGTTTCTGGAGGCTGAAGATTTGGTTTGTGAGGAGTGATTATGATTGGGTATAAGGTTTCTTTTTGGAGTGATAGAAATGTTATGGAATTAGATACTGGTGATGGTTGCACAGCTCTGCAGATATACTGGAAATACTGCATTGGTTAGGTTCAGTTAGTGGATTTTACGGCGTCAACAAGTGTTTCCCCCAAATCTTGGAGTTGTGCTGATAAATCAATCAAGTTTAAGGAGGTAGTTGTAGGGGCGAAAATATGGGCGATAACCTCTGATCTGCAGCTGGTATCTGGGATGAGGGCAAGCCTGGGGTGGGACATAGTCTCCAGAATGAGGACTGAGTCATGAGATTCCCAGTCTGTCCCTGGCAGAATTGGTGGTTGGTGTGTGTGGTCCCAGAAATCTGTGTTGAGCGAGAGAGAATCTTGTAGGACACAGATATCTGTTTCCTCCTTTATAGACACATCTGGGACACACACATCATCAAATGTGCTGGGCCCAGACAGCAGCAGGTGGAGCTGGCACTCCCTCACCCTTCACCCTGTGACCAGCACGTTCCTGCCTTCCAGGATTCCAGGAGTGCTCCTCCCTCAAACAGAAAAAAAAAAAAAAAAATCTTTTACCATGGTGGGATGCAATTTATGTCTTGCTTTGAAATTGAGAAAAACAATCACAAAACACTACTTTGGAGGGCAGAAACCAAGGGAAATTAAAAAAAAAAAAACCAGCATCATAGGGTTCCTTTGTTAGGCATTCAGCTTGGGTAGGATTTTAAGGAATCTTCTAACCCAGAAGAGTTGGATGTAGTGCCTAAAGGCCCACCCTTAATACAACCGTAGCTTTACAAGGACTGGGAAAACATACCAATCCATACTGGGCGAGCTTGGGTTCAAATCCTGCTATTCCTACTTTATCTCTGTGGTCCACAGCTCTGAGCCACAGTGCAGGATACCCATTCCAGGATTAAATCGAAGAAAATGTATGATGTCTTTAGCCCAAAAAGTGCTCTGTGGAAATCATTCTGCCAGTGATGAAGGTGGTTATTAATGCAGAGCCTGCATTAACACATGGTGGACAGACTGTCTTTCCAGGGTGTTTGCTGTCCTGCAGCAATGTACTTGGTGCACGCAGATGACTGATGGTCAATAGCCAAAGTTTATTAGTGGCATCAGACTTTTATAGACCGAGGATCACACAGGATAAGGGAGGAGGTATTGAGCTTATCTATGGGATCCATCAATTGTTTCCATACCCTTGTCCATACTCTTTTGTTTTGCATATCCCAAGTGTTCTGATTCAAATGATCTCCATTTAGTTATACAAATGGTTACCCACTCAGTTGCCTCATACAAATGATATGCAATCAGGCACACAAATGGTATCCATTCAGTTGTTCTCATACAGATGTTATCCTATCAATTGTAATCCTGTGTTCCCTGACCTTCTAGAATCACAATGTAATCACAGTGTTCTACACCAGGGCAGAAGGTTGCCAGTGCTAGTAAATGCCCTTGGAATGTAAGGCTAGTCAGCCAACCTCTCCATGGTTCAGGGTCAACGAATAGGCCAGCGGGACTCACCTGACTGCACTTTTGCTCCTCGCTGAAGGCCACCAGGATCACTGAGATGAACAGATTCAGCACCACAAACGTCATAAACACAATGCAGGAGCCAATTAGAAAGGAGCCGAACACAGGGCTGTGGTCCAGGACCTGTGGGGGGAGGTCCAGATCCATCCCTGGGATCCTGTGTCAAGATGACTGCCCTGCAGAACTGGGCAGAGCCCAGAGCCCTGAGGGCCGCCTCGGCCTAGCATGGCTGGAGTGGGAATGGCCAGCTTTTGGGCTCTCCAATACCACTCCCTCAGAAGATGGGTGCCATCTTCTGGGTAGGGCCTGGAGATGTCCTCCATGGCCTGCCCTCAGGCCAGGCTGCAGGCACTGACATGAATGAGGCAGTGTGCCTGGAGGAAGGGGAACTTGTTCAAAGCTGCCCAGTGTTTTCCAGGCTCGAGGTAAGGGGTGGGGTGCATTTTTTAGTTTTCCTAAAGGCTTGATGGAAGAGGCCAAAACCCTGCCCTCCCTCTGCCCCGTCACCTCCTCATAGTTGAAGATTCCTAGCTGAAGGCTGATCATTGTCTCCGCTGCGTCCAAGAGGGTTTTGTAGGAACGGAGTTGCCAACCAAAAAGTAAGTTTGACTGTTGGAGAGAGAGTCCTTGTGAACAATAGAAGCAGCCATGAAGAACCTCACAGCCTGCTGTTGGAGTCAATAGTGTGCATACAGGAGCGTGTGTGTGTGTGTGTGTGTGTGTGTAGGCCTAGCCTGTCTGCCTCTGTTTCCTTCTGCATACTCCTGTGGCCATCAGCATCTGCACATATGTGTGTGTTTGTGTTTGGAAAGTGCCTGACCCAAGGAACGTTGTGCAGGATCTTGGCTGAGCCCCAGCCTCTGACAGTGCCCACCTCTGCATCAAGCAGCACAAGGGGAGGGGAGTGGGCCTCCTGGCACTTCTGTAGCTCCAAGCTGTAGTAACTAAACAGGTGCCTGAGGCTACAGCCTCTATGTTTTGGAGCGGTTGGATCAGATGGGCAATGGGCTGCTTCTGCTTGGCAGAAGCCTCCCACAATTTCCCAGGGAAATGTGGTATAACAAGACCCAGCACTCTCGGTTCTGAGCAGGTGATTTCTGCTAGAGGGCACTGCCCTGGCCTCTTATCCCATTCACTGCAGATGGAGACAATGGATCCACATGATATCAGCACATCCCACCCTCTCCATCTGTGCCCTCCAGGGAGGGGGAGAGTAGGGTCGGAAGGGCTAGAGATGGAAGGGAGTCAGCACTGAGGCGAGAGTGAGGGAAGGGGTGAAGGTTGGGGTAGACATGACTGGGTATGAGATGTCAGCGTGATCCAGGAGTGAGGGGACTAAGAGACTAGAGGGGACTATGATGTGCTTGGGGATGGGGTAGGGAGAGAGCAGAGATGAGTGGAGTCCAAAGTTCTTGGGAAGCATAAACTTGTTGAGCATCTATATGGATGGAGCTTGAGACATGGCAGATGGGCCATTGGAGGAGGGTCCTGGTTCTTCATGGTACTTGATAATGAGGAGTTGAAAGTTGACAGATTAGAATCCCTTCCCCCCACTAACCCAGGTCACAAGAGCTGTGATTGTCAAAAAGTGCTGCCTGGGGAGGGACTGAGTGAGTGAACCACGCATCATGTCTCGGTCACCAAGCGCTGGCCTATGGGCTCACTCACTCTCACATCTCCTCTGCCCAGCTCAGAAACGGGTGGCCCAGTTCACTGACTCTGTGCACGACTGGAAACAGACCCCAGGCCTCTGAGCAGGACCTCCTCATTCCTGTCCTACTGAGGTCCCTCCTTCTACCTTTTGGGGTGAACTTCCTGCTGAAAAACCCGACTCAGAAACTCCTCTCCCATCCAGGGCTCCCAGAGTCTCTCTTACCGAAGTGACCTTGGGGTCCACAGAGCCCCACCCTGAAGGCTTTCCTGAACAAGCCACTTACAGCGAAGGAATAATCCAGGAGCATGAGAAGGACGACGAGGACGAAGCCAGAAATGTCGCCCCAGGCTCGGCGCAGGGCCATGGTGATCAGCTTCAGCTTGGGGTTGAGTCTGAGTAGGTGCCAGAGCTTCACTGTGGACAGGAGGACGAGGAAGGCGATGATGTAGCCCAGGGCAGCGTCGGCTGCTGCCGTCTCACTGAAGCTGATGGCCCTGGGGGGACAGAAGTGGGCAGACTGGGTCTCAGGGACTGACTGGGGGCCATTCAGTGGCCGCTACAGATGCAGGCTGACTCGGGAGCATGTCAGAGGCCATCACATCCAGGTGCCCTGGTCCCCACAGCTGGGTGACCATGAGGATGGTGAGGTGAAGGTGAAGTGGCAAAGCTGGTGGGACTGTTAACTAGCACTCCTGACTGATGGCAGCTGAGTTATGGACAGAAGGAAGCAGTCCTCTCTGGATCAGCGTGACAGGGCCAGGGCCTTCTGTGGTCCTTCCTCTTCCTGAGCTGAAGTCACTGGAGAATCCTCTAGCACATTTGACTGCCTCTATGTCCCATGCTGCCCAATGTGCAGGTGCTTCAAATGCTTCATAAACAACAAGAAAAATTATGCATGCATTTCAATTTTTTGGTGACAAATTATCTTTTAATTCCTTTTATATTCTCCAGGAACTTTTGAAATCCCTCATATTTGAAAGGAGAATGGAAAGTCTTGCTTCAGTGGGAGCCTCATTTGCATTGTCTCCTTTGAGCTCCCAGACGAGGCATCCTATCAGCTCCGTTTCATGCAGATAAGGACAGAGTGGCACAAAATCACGTGGGGAGTGACAGAAACCACAATTGACTAAGGGTTGGAATCCAGGTGCGTATGAGTTCAAAGTCTAGTCTCTGCCCACCATCACATCCCAGATGTTAGCATATATCCTTATAAATGGCAATACCAGCATTCGACACAGTGTATTAATGTGTTATACAGATATGTAAATAATATAAATAAATATGGGACCATTGGGATGGTTCAACTGGCTAATCCTCTGCCTGCAATTGTTGGCATCTCCTATGGGCTCCAGTTTGTGTCCCTGCTGCTCCATTTCAGCTCCCTGCTTGTGGCCTGAGAAAGCAATAGGATGATCCAAAGCCTTGGACCTGCTCTGTGAGGGAGACCTGGAGGAAATTCCTGACTCCTGGCTTTGGATCAGTGCAGCTCCAGCCATTGCAGCCATTTAAGGAGTGAACCAGCAGATGGAGGATCTTTCTCAATCTATCCTTCTCCCTGTAATCTCCAATAAAAATAAATAAATCTTTAAGATAAATATATAAATGTAAGTATATGAGATAGAATTAGTTATATCATTGCTAAGATGTGGATGCCAATTTAGAATTTTAATGTCCCCCAAAAGCCTATTTGTTCAAAACATGTTCCCCAGAGTGGCCCTACCAGAAGATGGTACTTTTAGAAGGAGATGTTAGGTTACTTAGGGCATTCTGCCCAAAAGAGCTTTTGCAGGACAGTGGTTACCAAAATCTTGTCAGGGCCCCCTACTCTCTCTTCTTCCCAGCTCGCTGTGTGATGTCTCCTCTATGTGCTCTGCCAACGCCATTGGCTGTCCACACCGAGGCTGAACCAACAGGGACCTGCCCAGTGTCAGGTTGGGGACCTGCAGAACCAGGCACCAAGTTTGAATACCCCCGGCATTCCGTTCTAGTGACACAAAGCTGAACAAGACCATAGTAATTACAAACACCCACCAGGATTCTTTCCTCTGGAATAGATACTGGACTGGGGGGTTTCTCTTCTAATCCACAAAGCTGTATACATACATGTTTCTGGTGAATTGACAACTGGTGAGGGGCATCTTTCTGCTGATTTTGTAGGAAGAAGTATTTCTGAGCAGGTCCAGGAATACTTTCCCCAAAGGTTTGAGAGCTCATCTTAGAAACCCATGAGGTTCTCTCTTTGCAGGGCTGTTCCAAAGAGGCACTAGCATGGTCCAGACTTGGCACCATGGGATACCTTGCCAAGGTGAGGATACCTTGCCTTCTAAAACTTTGTTCGACTTTGGAGCTGCTGGGATGGCTGGTGGCTTTTTCCCTTTGGGGCTTGAAGCCCTTTGTTCCTGTCTCCTTAAAAGTATGCTGTCCACTCTGGAGCCATTCAGTTGCTCATATGGGTAGAAACAATAACAGCATGGAAGCCCTCCTTTGTAAAGGCTGTCAGCACTAATTAAGCCTGGTTTTCAGCTTTAGCTGGACAACTGTGGGGAACATTGCAAATACTGGTCTCTGGCACCAGCTTTGTAGGTCTGGGGTGAGGGCTGGGTAGGACCACAGGGCATGTCTCCCTGAGCCTTCCTGCTTTTGAGGCCCACCCCATTTTCCCTACACTAGGAATACATAGAAGAAAGAGGCTGTGAGCTAAGTCATTTGGGCTTAGAAGGCAATTGTGACATGCAGGCCCTGGCTGTCAAAATGCCTTCTCTATTTTAAAATGATTTCCAAGTTTCTAAAACAAACCCAGTATGTTGGTGAATTGATTCATCAAATTCAACAGAGTCTCAAGTGAAGTTCAAATTATCCTTGGAGGTCAGTCAAAAGTGGCAGATCTCTTTTCTGTTTCTGGCATCTAGTATGTAAAGAGAACTCTGCTGGAAGATTGTTGGATGAGAACAAGACATATGGTGTCAGTTTGTGTCCCAGCTGCCCCACTTCCCATCCAGCTCCCTGCTTGTGGCCTGGGAATGCAGTAGAGGATGGCCCAAGTCGCTGGGCTCCTATACCCACATGGGAGACCAGAAGAATGTCCTGGCTCCTGGCTTCAGATGGGCTCAGCTCTGGCCTCTGCAGTTACTTGTGGAGTAAACCAGCAGATGGAAGATCTTTCCCTCAAACTTTTCTTCTCTCTCTGTAAAGTTTTCTTCCAAAGAAAAAATTTTAAAATTGTCAACAAAAAAGGGGATATTCTAAGACTGTGCATGATGGTCAGCAGTAACACACTCAGTGTTGGTTTTTGTCTTTGCAGCAAGCAACACCAAGCAAGCAACACCAGGAAAGGAGAGGATCCTGTAGCCACACCAGCTGGGTTTCAATGACTTGTCCCTGCCATCTCTGCTGTGTGGCCTTGAGGAAGCCACATCTCATCTCTGAGGTGAGGGTGACCTGCACCTTTACCATTCCAGGAGGACTCCCTGGGTGCCCGGCATGCTGGGGATACTTGGGCAGAGGTAACGCAGTTTGTTGCTGACAGAGGCCAAGGCTCTCCCAAGAACGCTGAGGGGAGCTAAGCAAGCTGCCCTGGTCCCTCCATTTTGCTTGAGACTTGCAAAAGTAGGAAATAATTACGTTTTGCCTTGAAGAGTCCTCTCCAAGTGTCTGTGTCCCGAACCTAGGTGGCTGGTGCTCCTTCGGGGATCATACTCTGACCTGATTCCTAAAGCCTTCCCTGGACCCCAGACCTTCTCCCACCATGGCCACTTACTCTTCTCTGTGCTTCTGGCAGCGGCGGAGGTCTCGCTCGGCCAGGATAGCCCTCTTCACAAACACTGCCAGGGCACTCCAGCTCACCAGGATGATGGCCAGTTCTAGAAGGTTCCACTTGCTGCGGAAATAGCCCCACTTCTGCCTCCTCATGAGCTTTCCCTGGAAAGGAGAGCAAGGTTTTGCAAAAGGCTGTGTCCATGACTGCCATTCCCTGCACGTTGGGGGCTGAACTTGGCAGGAGCTGGGGAGCCCAGGAGCTTCCTGGGCAGGGGTGAAGGGCTGACCCCTGTAACTCTGCCTTTCAAATAAGTAAATTAAAATAAATAAATAAATAGGGCCTGGCACCACAGCCTAGGGCTAAAGTCTTTGCCTTACAAGAACCAGGATCCCACATGGGCACTGGTTCATGTCTTTTTTTTTTTAAGATATATTTATTTTTATTACAAAGTCAGATATACAGGGAGGAGGAGAGACAGAGAGGAAGATCTTCTGTCCGATGATTCACTCCCCAAGTAAGTGCAATTGCCGGTGCTGTGCTGATCCAGAGCCAGGAACTTCCAGATTCCCAAGCAGGTGCAGGGTCCCAAAGCTTTGGGCTGTTCTTGACTGCTTTCCCAGACCACAGGCAGGGAGCTGGATGGGAAGTGGAGCTGTTGGGATTAGAACCGGCACCCATATGGGATCCCTGCGCATTCAAGGCAAGGATTTTAGCCATTAGGCCACCGTGCTGGGCCCAACAGGTTCATATCTTGACTGCTCCACTTCCCCTTCCAGCTCCCTGCTTGTGGCCTGGAAAAGCAGTTGAGGACAGCCCAAAGCCTCGAGATCCTGCACCCAGGTGGAAGATTTGGAAGAAGCTCCTGGCTTCAGCTTGGCTCAATTCCGGCTGTTGCAGCCATTTGGGAAGAGAACCAGTAGATGGAAGATCTTTCTCTCTGTTTCTCCTTGTCTCTCTAAATCTACCTTTCCAATAAAAATTGAAGTAAATATTTTAAATATATAAATAAAAGAGCCCCAGCTAGGAGGATGGCTGTGTAACCATTGCCAACTCTGACTTTCTGGAAGGATACTTAGCTCAGCAGACACAGGAGCAGTGCCTGCCATGTCCTGTCCTGACAAGTGCCAACCTTGGCCCTTTTGTACCTGAAGCTGTTGGCAATAGGATTTTCCCACTGCTGGACCAGGAGCTGCCATGCAAATGACCAAGGCTAAGCCTCTCCTCCCTTGGCTTCAGGCCCCATCCCCAAAGAGAGGGACTCCCTACCAGCCCCCATCCTGACTTCCCGCACCCCATCCACACTCCAGGTCGGCAGCCCCCTGTCTCACCTGCACGGTCATATAGTAGAGGAGGAAGAGGAAGTAGATGAGCTCCGCGGCCACCACAAAAGGGTGCCAGCCATCTGTGAAGGGGTACAGGCGGAGGCTGTGCAGGGCCGTGTGTGTGAAGAAGGTTCCTGAAAAGCACAACACAGCTGGCTCAGGGCAGGTATGCATCTGTCCGCTCCGACCCTTCTGAGGACTGGCAGGGCAGGGCAGGAGCCAGAGCTCCTGTGGAGCCCCAAGGCAAGGAAACACCACTGGAGGGAAGACCCAGGCCCTGCTCCGCTGATGCTGTGGGCCCTGGGGTGACAGCCCCCTCCAGTCACAGCATGGCCACCCACTGAACCTCAGCCAACTTTAAGCCCGCTTGTGGAGCACCAGAGTTCAGGCCACCTGACACCTAAGCTTGTTTTTAAAGATGTGTATATGTGAGAGGCAGATACACAGCCCAGCTCCTGGTTCCCTCTCCAAATGCCTATAACAACTGGATTGGGCCAGGACAAGCCAGTGGCCAAGAACTCAGTCCAGGTTTTCCATGGGGGGCAGGGGGGCAGGGACCCCACCACCTGGACATCACTGCTGCTGCCCCCCAGGGTGTGCATTAGCAGGTAGCTGGGGTCATGTGCCTGAGCTGGGCGTTGTGCCTGGCCACTTGGCTGAGGGTCACAGGCATTCACTCAGCATCCTGATCCACCCCTCACCATTCTTCTGGTTGTTTTCTGTTTTGTTTTTGTGCCATAATGATGTTTGAGTGAGTGTTCGACTGGTAAGTATTCTACCTACAAAGTCAGCCTCAGGGATGCAGAATGAAGAGAGAGATATGCCTTCCAAGTCCTTGACCACCACAGGCAGCTGCGGAGGGTCCCAGGCCTGAAGCTCCTGGCCTCACACTTTAACATGTGGAAAGGCCCGATGCACTCAGGCACATTTGGGTAAGTTAACTTAAGAGATCCTTAAAAAAAATGGCAAGAGGAAATGCGACCAAAGACACACAAATAAGCCTCAAAACAGAATTTGCTACTATTGACAGTAGGGAATGAAAATGGAGACTTAACCTAGCTCTAAAGTTTGAAAAGAAAGCACAAAAATGTATTTCTATAATTGACCGTGAAGTGTAATACTTTGAATGTTTCTAATGGAGAGGAGATCAAGTTTCAGACACACTTATCATTAGTGGAACAGGGTTTTGGTTCGTGCTTTTCAGTAGGTTGGGATTAAGCTAAGAAGTAGTGAAAATGGGAAAAAACAGAACGCAAAGCATGGGGGTTATTCTGTGTGGTTAGGGTTAGTGGTGTCTGTGAAATTTACCTCAGTTGTGTGTGTGTGTGTGTGTCTGTATTTATTTAGGATGTAAAATGTGCTTCACACTCGGGGTTCATGTACAAGTTATGAACTCTTCCTTCAGGTGACATCAGTCATGACCAAGTCACCTGCCCCTCCCTGTCCACTGCCACCCAGTACCCTGCTGAGTGGATGGGCTGCCTTCAGACCCCAAGTGGTAGATTCCCCATCACTTGGGAGATGATGGATGTGCAGCCGCAGGGAGAACAAAGACTCAATCATCGATTTCCCAGCCCCACTGGGCCCAGCTGGGCCAGGAGCCTAAGCCCCAGAAGAGGTTCATAGGCGGGGTTGCATACCCAGGGCGCTGGTCTCCAGGGTCAGTGTGACAAGGCAGAACAGGTTGACATTGGCATTGTAGACAGTGAACTCTACGAACACGGCTCTGGTCAGTGTGTCCAGCCAGGTGTTGTCAAAGAGATACTGGAGGATTCTACGAAAAAGAGGGACTATCTTGCAGCATCTGTTCCATTCCCAGATGAGGTTAGGGCTTCCTCACTGATCTTCCCCTGCCTCTGCTGTGCCTTCTGTAATGGGCCACCAGGGCGGGTCTGTGGAGGGGTCATCCTGTTAGCCCTCAGGCCAGTGTCTTGGCACTCACAGTTTCCCAGACATTACCAAAGGTGTGTGTTGAGGGAGAGGGGGCGAGGAGGGGAGTAAGTTCCCAGACCAACAGTAGCAACATCATCCAGTACCTTGTTGGAAATGCAGATTACAAGGCTCCAGACCTGAATCAGAAACTCAGGGGCTGGGGCCCAGGGTGTCTGATGTTTTTATTATGTCTGATGGCTGTGGTGTCATCAGAGCCTCATAAGTCACTTGGGGCTTAGATGGGCAGCAGGTACAGCTGCCAAGGTCCTTGTGGGCTGGCAGCTCCTGGAATTCTGCCAGCCTGGTATGGTGGAAACAGTCTATGCCTGGCAGGTGGTGTGGGGACTTCCATCCTGGCTGCTTGTAACTTCTCTAGCCTTGGTTCCCTTCTTTACAAGAACCCAGTACCTCTGGCTCCTTGAGAGGGGAAAGTGGAATAGTGTGAGCATGTATACATGTAGTCATGAGAGTGTTAGCACTGTCGTCAATAAAGATGCACCTGCTTTAAAGCAAGCAGTGTCCCCAGGGGACCTGCATCCTACCTGTTCTTAAAAGCAGAGTGTCTCAGTCATCCCACGTGGCAGGAAAAGCACCCTTTGCTGTGAGCCACAGGCTGCTGGACTCCAGGGATCCCCTTCTACTTGCTCTCCTCTTGGGGATGTTGGCTGTTCATGTAGCCAGGGGCAGGCTACATGCAAACCCAAGCTTCTCTGGCACCAGGGTATGTTGGCAGTGACAGGCTACAGGGGCCTGGAGTATCCCTGCATGTCCTTGCTGTGCTCTGGGGACTCAACAGCAGGGTCATTTCTCAGGGCTTTTGGCAGTGATATCTTCCCCCAATCCCCAAGGGTAGATGTGTTTGCACTGCTCTAAAAGCAGGGAATGCAAGCTCAGTGTTGCAGGCATCGGCCAGCATCTATTACAGCCTTTGGTAGGGAACTGACTCAAATTGATGCAATATTCTGTGGCTGCTTTTGCTCTAACAAGAGCCAGGAGTCCCATGTCTTCCAAGACCATCCTGGGCTAGCTTGCTGCTTACAGGAAGGGTGAACTTCGGCTCTTACATGATGTTCCCTCTTGCCTGGTGATAGGTTTCCTAGTGTGGCAATGAGCACCCCATCCCTGGACTGGCCAAGCTCAGATCACCAGGCTGAGAATGCTGGAGGGCTTCCCTTCTGACTTTGAGGTGGCACAGTATCCAAGCATCTGAAAATACCACCTAATTCTGAGTCCCTCAGCCCCTCCCACAATGACATGAATGAACATAGCATTCTCCAGTCAGTCCCAGACTCCAGCAAACAGCTTTGCTCATGTGTAAAGGAGTCCAGTGAGCCTTACCTCGATGCATTCCCGCGATCAGTGCCCAAGGAGACCACATAGCCTCCCCCTCCATACACAGCAATTTTCCCCCACGTGGGATATCCTTGATGTTGGCTCTGACTCTGGTACTGCCAGGCCTGGTGGAAATTGTTGCTGTTATTGAGGGCAGAGGCATTCCAGCCTTCCCCATAGTCTGCCAGGTCTTCCACCTGCAGGGAGTATGGCACATGGCATCCATAGAGAGAAGCTCGCAGCTGCGGGGGGCAGGAACCTTCCCGGACCCTCACTTGGCGGATTTGGGCACTGCCAACCAGCTTGGAGTTCCCATCCGTGATGAAGCCTGAAGATGGAAAAACCAAGTGGACAAAGCTGAACTCAGAATCATCATCATCACGTGTTCCAAGCTGCCCACACCCCATGCTAATGTGGACTTCTGCATACCCATTATAGAGATGGCCAAGAGAAGCTTCTGGACAGCTGCAGGCCACTGCAGGTCATCCAGATGGCCTGTCTCTCTATCCCCATAAACTGCTCTCCTCCACACGTTGTTTGCACTTGGGTGAGTGGCACACAACACTCACTCACCTGGACACACTCCATGTGCTTTTGCTTGCTAAGGGCCTCGCATCCCATCTCTCCTACCTCTTGCTGCTGTCTCCATCTGTGCCCTTTCTCTGCCTCCTGCTATCCTCTGTGCCTGCATCAGCCTCCAACCTCTCCCTCCCAGTGTCCTAACTTGCCTCTAACTTACCCTCCACACCAGTCTCCAGGGTGGGCGCTCTTCAACCAGATACATCCCTCTCTCAAGTGGAAGCTCCCCAGGTGCCCCATTGTCTCTAGGATATGAACTTGGGAACTCCCTCATCACATGGCCCCTGTTCTGTTCCTCCACCCTGTAGCATAGTCTGACCAGTGCTTCATAGTTCTTGGTACACATGCCTAGGTGTGCCAGGCTTCTCTCACACTGTTTTTTGAGCCTGGTATGCTGCCGTTGCCCAATTGCCATTGTCAGTAACAGACATTGTGACTTGAATGAATCCTGTTGCCTGCATCAGGGGTGACCCTCTTGTGCATGCAGGCTGTCTGAGGGTCTCCTCTTCAAAACACATGATCCTATGGCTCTCAGATTTCTTCAGATGCTGTTGATGACCATGGTCTAAACCTCTTTAGAGACACAGGCACATACCTGGGGCCTGGAACTGTACCTGGAGGATGACTGAACAGGTTGCTCATGAGGGTGGTGTTGGCCCACTGGAAGAATCCTTGGAAGCTCAGCACAGCTGAAAAGCCTTGGGTGAAGCTGTGCTCGAGGTGTTTGTTGAAGTGGTAGGCGCTGGGGTCCCTCTGGCCATAGGCAGCCAGCAGTAGCATCCATAAGAAGACCACGTATGCTGGGAGGGGAGGCATGACCATGGGTTAGGCAGGGTCCCCAACTCCCACCATGTCCAGGGCAGGGGCTGGGACAGTGGCAGATAGCCTGGAACAGTGGAAGTCTAAGCTCAGCCCCTCACCCCTGTGGGATAGTGGAACCAGCCCTTACAGCCCTAACAAGCATTGAGAAGTGCCATTCCTAGCACGTGGGGCCTTCTGGCTGGGCTCACTTCGCAGCTCTGCAGCTTCTTACTGCTGTGCCCTTTGGAGTGACTCCAGCCCTCCTTGGCTCGTTCTCCTTCTCTAGGAGATGGGGGTAAGAATTCTACAGCACTGGCTCATGAAGGGGGCACCCACTGATATTTAGGAAGCAGAGCTGGTGCTATTATATGATTCCATTAAAAAGCAGTTTCCCAAGGGAAGCTGCTGCTGTGACAGTGAAGCAGACACCTGTGTTCCTGGTCCTCAGAGCCCACACCTGTCCAACTGCCAACGGTGCATGCGCCAGAGGGACCCTGTGAGTGCAAGGACTTCCTTTAGGAGCTTTCGCGTCACAGTCCTGTGGTGGGTGCAGATAAATCGTACTAAACCAGAACCTTGTGGTCTGGGCATCTGCATTCCAAGAGCCTCCCCGCTAGAGGACGCAATGATGATGGGCACTGCAGCCAGTGGCCAGGCCAGCTTGGGACTACAGACTGCATGCTCTCCCTCGGGTCCCTCATGAGACAGCCTGAGTTGCCCACAGGGAACCCACTTGTTGCACACTTTCTGTAGGCTGAGTACCTAGTCATTTGAGGTGTGTGGGACCCAAAGTGTTTAGGATTTGGGATTATTTGGACATTAGGATATTTGTACGTATGTAGTGAGATGCATGTAGGGCTGCATCAATGTGTAAATAACGATACACAGAACCTGCAGTTACCCCTGACAGTGCTTTTAGGAACCATGTGTGAGGCACGGTTTTCCAGTTTGGGAGCAATTGAGATATCAGAGTTTCAGCTTTGAGCTAACCGCCGGCTTCCTTCCTTGTCTAGTCCACTTTCTCCCTATGGGTCCTTCCCAGATTCTCCCAGATCAGCTACCCTGCTCTCAGCTGTGCCTCTGGGGAAGCCCACCGAGGGCACACACTGAGGCTGGGCAGGGCATCCTTCTCCACACACACGGTGATGAGATTGCAAGTGAGAGGAGGGGGCAGAAGGGGGGCAGGAAGAAGGGGGCCACAGTCTGGTCCGAGGTCAGGAGAGGACATGGGTGCTCAGCAGCAGCATGGGTCCCGGCTAGAGCTCAAGGGCACAAGGAGCCCAGAGAGGGCAGTGGGGTGGAAGTTGCCCCAAGGCAGTTAACTCTTTGTCCCCAGAGGATTTTAAATGTAGGGAAAGCAAGGTGAGTTGACCTCCAGTGGTACATGGCTGAGGCAGGACAACATGTTTGCTCGAGTATCAGTGCAGAAAACCAGCCATGCGAGGGTGCCTACCCAATATCTCTCTGATGAGGGCAAACGCCTTCTGTTCCTGGAGGCGGCTGGTCCTCAGCTGCATGATAGTGGCAGCAGGAGGCGGGTGGTAGACCGCCCCACTGCTGCGCCTTCGTCCCCGGAACAAGGTGTAGGGACCTGGGGAAGCAAGAATACTGAGGGAACCCCTGTCTCACCAGGTGTTGTCACACGTTTTCCCTGGAGCCATTCTGGCTGGTGCCCCCAACCCAGCCTTCGTTCTGATCTGCTCCTTCTGCCCACCTTACAGGCATCCCTACTGGCCTCCCTGTTTCCACCTTTGATCCAGCACTGTCAGTCTCTAAGAGCCACCATAGGGATCTGCCTAAAGTCACAAGAAAGTCTGTCACTCTCTCAGGCAAAGCTCCCACCCCAAAACCCAGCAGGATTTCCCACTTCCCACCCCCTGTCTTTACTGCCCTTCCCAACCCCTAGTTCATCGTGCCATAAAACAGTATGTTCTGTCCTACTGCAAGGCCTTCGCACATGTCAAGCGTGCAGTCCCTTCCTCCCATCCTACAGGAGAAAGCTCAGGTATCACTCTCTTGTTCTGTCCCCAGAACATCTGTTTGTGTGTTTACTATATACTGGCATTCCTGCAAATGGGCTGTTCATTCCAGGGGCAGCTAGTGACCTGTTCAGGGGCCATGTTGGCTAGGAGTGGGATCTGGGGCTGACTTCAAATGGGCAGAGGGGAATGCTGTGGGGTGGTTGCCATTATCATTATCAACACACTGTGCTTTCAGTGTGGGTGGATTTAACGTCATTCATATTCCATAGCTGTCAGGGCCTGGCTCAGGGTCTGCCTGCTTAAGGAACTGCCAGGGGCTTGGTTCAGCCAGGTTGGCTTGCTCGGTTTTTATTTGTTTGTTTGATCCTAGTACTGTCAATACCCTCAGGAGTTGGGGTTGGGGAATGTGAACTCAGTTCTGTAGGAGGGGCCTGGTCAGTGGACGCCCACATCAAAAGTCAGCACAATGGTGTTCCAATAAAACTTTATTTGCAAACATATGTAGCATGCTAGACCCACTCATCTGCTGGGGATTGTACATTTGTACTAGAGGTTTAATCTATAGCTATGTTCTTCAGCCTGCCAGTAAGCTGCTGCTGAATTTGTTTATCTATTTCTGATTTATTTATTTATTTACTTATCTGTCTATTTTTGGTTTTGTTCTCACACTCAGGGATATGAGCCTGGGAGAAGGAAGCTACTTGGATACTTGTTCCTATTACACAGAGAAGGACAACCAGGCAAGAGCTGACCCTACCATGCCTCTTCTGGGGAGAAGCTAGAGAGAAATGCCCACAGGTTGGCTCACGAGACTAGAGGGGTGCTTCCGGGTGGAGGGCTCAGAGAACCCCCACCACACACAAACACACCAAACCTCAGCTCTGCAGGCCATGCTCAGTTTCCTGGGACCACCAGAGTACCAGGTCCCCACCTCACCCACTAAGGCCTCATTACCTGGACCATCGAGATGTCCCGGTAGCAGGGGCACAGCCTCCTCTTCCTCCTCTCTCTTCAGGACCAGTGCAAAGAAAGCAGCGAAGCCCAGCACCTGGAAGAAACACATGTTGGCCCTGGGACTGTGCAGCAGAACTGGGCCACATTTCTGAGTGTGGTGGGTACAGAAGCCCTGGTAGTCAGGTGGCCACTGTCTCTTCTACAGGAGAGTGGCAGTTAGCAGGAATGAGGGCCAGCGAGCAGAGGGAGTGCTGAACTCCCTGAGCCTTCTCACCTGCTGGGCAGGCACTGCTTCCTGCCTCACATCTCTGCCCCCTCCACACCTGCTGTCCCACCAGACTACGTAAAACACGCCATGTCCTCCTCCCTGTGCCTACTGCACATGCTTGCAGCAGGCTCTATGGTCAAGTTATGAACAAAAGGGCTGGGGCCGTAAGTCTGTTCTTGGCCGTCCCTGAGCCTGGTCTGGAGCAGGTTGGAAGTTCTGTTTTGCTCGTATGCTAAAGCTGTTTTGGTGAAATGGGGAAACCCCCAAGTAGAGTGAAGGATTTGGAGGCTTTGTCTGAGGAATCAAGATTCGCTTTGAATGTCCCCTCCTGCCTATGATTTCCCGCAGTGTTCCCTCTTCCGGGGGACCCCCAGGGACTCCCACCTGGCACCTCCCAGGGGAAGGTACAGGTCTGAGCCCAGCAGGTGTGTACTATACCCTGTTCTTCATGTGATTTCACGTGCAGCTTTTCATTGCTGCACACATGGCTTGTCAATCACAACTTGCATGTTGTTCACTGTCATCCACATCAGGGATGTTCAAAAGGATTGTGAAACATGTGGAGTATGGGAAAGCTGTGTGTGGATTTTGTAAAAAAAATTTTCCACCATAAAGAAACATCTTCCAATTCTGTCTTTCTAGAAACCTTTTGGAGTGCCTGTACTTGTTTGTGACTTGAACATCTTCACCTCAGCTTTCTCGCTTGTAAAATGGAAGGCAAGAACCCACACAGGGATGAGCGTGACAAGCAAACACAAACACCGGACAGCACAGAGCCTGGCCCAGAGTGAGCATCCAATAACCAGGACTGTTTGGGTAATTTCTCTCATTCTCCCGCCTGCCCCAGGCCCTGTGTCCAGGGGGTGTTTCCTGAGTGTTTGTTGAGTGAATAAAGGAAGCCTGAAGCCTGAGGATGGTGAGGGTAAGCAGGGGGAGGGGTGCAGCCATGTGGGGTGGGGGCTGACCTTCAAGGGCTGTGTGACGAACACGCTCTCCACGAAGGAGACCACCATGGACAGGAGCCAGCGGAGGGAGGTGGCCCTCCCGTAGTGCAGGCCGTAGAGCATGGTGAAGAAGGCTGCCACACCACTGGTGGCTGCCACCAGGAACCAGCCCACCAGGATGCACCACCAGGGCAGGCCACGTGGGGGCTTGCTGGCCCGCAGGGTGCTGCCAAGGGAAGTGGAGGCACAGGTCAGGGAACAGAGGAAAGCTCAAACCCAAGCCCGCCACCTGCATGATCTTGAGCTCCCAGACGCTCCATTTTGTCTTTGACTTTCTCTTTGTCATTCCCAGGGCTGTCCTATCTTCTAACTCACTGAGGTCACACCCACCTGCTGTGCTAACCACACAAACTGGCTCCATTATTCCTTCCAGCAAGCTGGGAAGGCTGGCTCGGTATGGATTTTAAAAATTTCTATTATGAAAATGTTTCCTGATTAAAAAAAAATTAGTGAGAAGCAACCCCCAGACACTCACCCACCCCCAGACTTCAACTGCTGTCATTACCATGTCACATTTATGCCATTTATCCCCACGCTGCTTTTCAGGAGCAGCGGTGAAGGGGTGGTCTGGAATCTTTAAAAATAAATTCCAAATGCATCACCAGTCATTCGGAGTGACTTGACATGCCTCAGATGATCACTTTCTTCCTGAATTTTCTTTCTTGTTCATCATATTTAATATAAGTTCATGAGAACTCCTCCTGGTTGGAAGGTACACAGCCAGGAGTCAGCCCACGTGGAAGCAGGAACTGTAAGGTGCTGTACCAAGGGCTGTCAGCATCTGCGAGCAGGTGGGTCTATCCAAACCCTACCTTCGAGAGTGTGCAGGAATCTCAAGTCACTTCTGTTCGGGGAGGCTGGTGTGGATGCCCTCCCACAGCTCCCAGGCGAGCAGCTTACCTAGTGCATGCTGGGGCCTGGAGGCCCCGCTGTCCATCCAGGTGTCCTTTCAGGGTCTGCAGCTGCCTGAGTGCCCGCGCGTGGCTGTGACGCTGAGGCAAGTCCTGGGGCCCAACCAGACTCAGTGCTTGCTCCACGCGCTCCAGCTGAAGGTAGAGACACTGCCCGTGGATGCCATCCTTCCAAGCTGCATTTGGGGCCACCTCTGGCTTGTGGTGCTGCCTTCTCCCTAGGGGCCCCGGGGAAAGCCATCAGCTGGTGGCAAGTGATGACACATGTAAGCTAACCCTACTTAGCCTCATGCTAAAGATGACATCTCGGGATTTGAGCGGTAAAGACGGCGTCTCAGGATCTGAGCTCTCTTTAAGTTATGAGTACTGTCAAACACACAGCAGAAGATGGGGTGCCGAGATGGCATCTCGCACACTCACTGTCTGGCTTCAGCAGCTTTCGTTGCTTTGCCTGTGCCTGCCCACTCTCCATGTGGATCATTTTGAAGTGTACTTCAATGTTTAATTGAAAAGGAGAAAAGAGTAGATTTCTACAGAAGATAAGGATTCTTTTGTTTTAAGACAGTAACAGATGGCATTATCAGTCTTTTTATTTAAAACAAAGACTTGCGCATTTATTTGAAGTAGAGAGATATTTATCTTCTGTCTGTTTGTTCACTCCCCAGATGGCCACAGCAGCCACGGATGGTTCATGATGTGGCCAAGAACCTGGAGCAGGGAGTTGGCCTGGAGGCAGAGCAGTCAGAACTCAAACCAGCAATCGAATATGAAATGCTGTGTTGCAGGTAACACCCATTATTGGTCTTTAAAATGAATAATACTAATTGATGGTGAGAGATTAATGAGTAACCTCTTCACAGCACTAAATGTCTTATCAGTGGTTGAGTTTCCTTTGGGTACATTCTGGATTCTTTTCTATACTTGGTTTGTTCAAATTTCAGATTTCTAAAAAAAAAAATTAAAACTTTTTTATCTTCAATTATAGAGATAATACATGTTCACTGTAAGAAAACAAATTTAAGCATTTCCATCATTCCCTATGCCTTTTTAAAAAACACTTATTGATTTATTTGAAAGAGTTTCAGAGAGAGGGAGGTTTTCCATCTCTTGTTTCACTCCCCAAATGGCCACACTGGCAGGGTTGGGCTAGGCTGAAGCCAGGCGCCTGCAACTCCATGCTGGTCTCCCATGGGAGTAGAGGCTAGGGGACTTGCACCTTTCTCTACTGTTTTCCAAGTGCATTAACAAGGAGCTGAATTGGAAGTAGACCAGCCAGAACTCGAATGGATGCTTGTATGGGATACTGGCATTGCAAGCGATGTTTAATATGCTGTGCCACAACGCCAGCTCCTCCTGTACCTTTCTTAGAGAAACTTGGCATGTAGAGGAGGAGGAGCCAGGCCTCAGCCCTCACCTGATCTGGGAGGTGGCCACATCCAGGGACACATTCTCCTGACTTCAGGCGTCTGCCCACCTCCTCGTGGAGTGTGCGGCTGGGTGTATGAAATGGCAAAGTGGAGTCCCTCTGTCCTGTGCTCTCTCCCTGGTCATCAGAGTGAGGAAGCACCACTTGCACTGAGAGAAGACTGAAGCTGTGGCATCACTGCCCCTTTGCAGGCCATCACTGCCCCTTTGCAGGCCAGGCAAGGAGGCAGGGTAAGCCTGTGGGGCAGCATCACCCCTGCCACCTCCCTCTGACTGGCATCTTCCTCCCTCACCCCCTGCAACTTGTGCCTCCCTCCACTGAAGATCTTAGCATCAACATGCCTTGTGTTGCAAAGCTTTTTGTTCGTACTTTGCAAGAATTTGTTATTGCCAGTCATAATACTGCTGCTGAATATCTTCTTTGTGTCAGGCAAGTATTGCAGCATTATGTGTGTGTGTGTGTGTGTGTGTGTGTGTGTGTGTGTGTGTGTGTGTTATGATCTCATCAGTCCTCACAATAAGCCAAAGAGCTAGGTGGATCAATGGAGGAGGAAACCAAGTCTCAGAGAGGTTGAGCAATTTGACCTAAAGTTGCACAGCTGTTCCTGGCTCTCGGCCCATGGCTAGCAGGTGCAGTAGTGAGTGTACAGTGGGACAGTCCCTTGGATGACCTTTACAGACAGTAAACACCCAGCACCCTGGGGCACATCCTTCAGAGCAGGTGTGGCAGAGTGAGAGACAAGATCCCAGCTCCACAGGGGCATGCCATGAACATCTCAGTATAGCAGTGAGAAGTTGAGTGTGCATGGTATAGATAGGGGCTGGTGGTGAATGGGCCAAGCAGAGGCTAATGAGGGAGATCCCAACACGGCCTCTTGACCTCCTAATAATACCAACATGTCCTGCTTCCACCTGGCTCTAGAACAATTCCAAAATATCAAGGACTTACCTTTGACCTGTACAGACCCAAAAGCAAATGGTTTCTCAGCTTCCTCCCTGAGCCCCTGGCCTGCCACGTTCTGCGGACATATGAGATCTTCCACCAGGGCTAGGAGAGTGTTAATGTCCATGAGGCTAATGGAGTCACAGCTGGAGGCTGTGGGCAGCACCCTCAATGCTTTGAACAGGGAGCAGACCAGTTTCCGCAGCTCCTGCAAGGTAACCCCAGCCAGAAACAGCATGAACCACAGGTGATGGGCACTTAGGGGTCAAGAACATGCGCCCTGCACTGGGTACACTGCCTTGGAGACTCAGCTCTGCCCACTGAGACATGATCTGGATCTCCTAAGGGTTTGTTCTGTTGCCTCTGAAATCCCTCTTCCAGGATTTGAACTGACTCCTTCCAGGCTGTGTTCTTTGGAGCATGGATCATAATAGGTGCTCAATAAAAGCTTGTAGCTTTTATGAATGCAGAGAAAGGAGTCTTTTCTATGAGGGAGTGTAGTCTGCAAGATTAAAGTGAGGGTGGACTACTTTGCATATAACAGGTACTCAAAAATGTGTATGTACATGGATGTATATAAATGTAGGATTATATTCAGTTCATACATCTTGATGACTGACACTGTTAAACAATAGGGGGCTGCAGGGCCCCAAGCCCCGGCTTGTGCATCCCTGTCTGCTTGGCTGCAGCCACGCCCACATGGACAGAGGTAGAGAACATACTTTGGTCACCATTTCAGGTGTCAGGAGGCCCAGGTCCACAGGTTGGGATGCAGAAGTCAGATCTGGGGTCCTGTTGTCCCATCTCCCAGGGTTTGACTCCTGCGTGGCCCGAGGACGGGAGTGCCGGAAGATCTGGACGATCAGCAGGTTGATGGGAAACATGAGCATGGAGCTCTCCAACCCAATCATCACCTCCTGCCACGTGAATTCAACCTTGCCTAGGAAAGGCCAGTGACAACAGGTCAAGGGGAGAGGTCAGAGCCCCATCCCCCCCACTGCTCCCAGAAGGCAGCTAGGCAGTGAAGGGCAACCTTGGCCCAGCCCCCAAGAGCTCATCTCTGAATACTTCAATATGCTGTACCATAAAAGTATCTTTATCTGGGGCCATGGATCCCACACATGATCTCTGCTGACCTGCGTGCCTTGTGATGGGGTGCAGGTATGAGTGTGACCTCTTCAGTGGCTGGAGCTGAAGACCAGCCAGGTGTGTAGTCAGCCATGCCTACCCTGGATGCCAAGGCCTGGGCAGACTTCCCTGGCTGGCAGTGCTTAGCATTCACTGCCTCCACCCAGTTGGCAGGAACAGTTAGCACTGTTGCTGGCTGATCTGGGAGGCAACAGCAGGAAGCTCCATGCCTCGTCCCAGTTGGTCCTGCCCCATGAATCTCCTCCTTTGGCTGATTTTCACCTGCATCCTTGGGCAGTGATAATCCAGGGCTGTGAGTACCATGACGGTCTTAGTTCTATGAGTTCTTCTAGTGGGTCATCCCAAGGGTGGTCTTAGAACTCTGGAATTACAGCAGTACCACCAGGAGAATTACCCAAGTCCATCTTCTGCTCCGCTGGGTTCTTGGGGACGCCCCAGAACATGATGCTGGTGAGCATGGTGCACAGCAGCAGGGAGAAGCAGCAGGACACGCGCTGCACGCGGGTGAAGTGGCTCCGGGCCGAGCAGCTGAAGATGGAGTACCAGAGGTGTCCCTCCTGGAAGCCTGCAGAGGTCTTCATGAAAAACAGGTGGCTGTGGGCAAGCAGGCAGAGGGGGGCAGGCATTGAGAGATACCGGAGTGGGGAGAGCCTGGCTTCTTCAGGAATGGCTTGGGAGGGAGGAGGAGAGAGAACTTGCTTCTCAGGATGCATATGTACTTTTAATGTTGCAGAAGAAGCACTGTATCATGGCACCTGTGCAGACAGTGACCCTGGGGAGAGCTGGGTTGTGACACTAGATCGCCTTTTTCCTAGCACTAGATTTTATTCTTTACACCTTGATTTACTTATCTGTAAAATGGGGCTATCCCATTGGATTGTTGAGATGATTTAAGATGGTAATGTTTGTAAAGCATCTGAGGGTGGGAGCTGGCAATAGGTGTTAATAGTCAATAGGTGTTAACAAGGCGTCATTATTGACGAGAGAGGCAGAGAGAGAAGACATAAGAAAGCCTAAGAGAGCTGCTGTCTGCTGATTCATGCTGCTGGCGCCATCATAGCCAGGCTGGGCCAGAGCTGGCAGCAATGACCACAGTCCAGCAGGTTCAAGCTCCTGGTGCCCAGCATAGCCAGGCCGGGCCACAGCTGGCAGCAATGACCACAGTCCAGCTGGTTCAAGCTCCTGGTGCCCAGCATAGCCAGGCCGGGCCACAGCTGGCAGCAATGACCACAGTCCAGCCGGTTCAAACTCCTGGTGCCCATCATAACCAGGCCGGGCCAAAGCTGGCAGCGATGATCACAGGCCAGCTTTTTCACCTTGGCACTCCAGTGTGGGATAGCAGCCTCTTAACTGCGAGGTAAAACACTACTCTTTCCTGGCGACAACTTTAATGATTATTTAGTCATAGATTTTAATATGCTAATATAATGTAATATTAATGTCATTTCAATAAGATCCCTGATTTTCCAGAGGGCTTGCAGAGCTAAGGTTCCCAGCTGGTTCTTGTTCTGGTAAAAGTCAAAGAGGGAGCAGTTATCAGTAACTGTGACTTTCCACATTGCCCTTCTCATATCCTGTGCTCTGCTGGGCACCAGGGATGCCAGGGGAGGACCGCAGGAAGCTCCCCACCTGCCTTCAGTCGGCACGCATGCTCTGATATGCTTGGTGACAATAGTTGATGCTGACTCTGAGCCATGTCCCCTGCCGAGAGCATTATAAACATCATTTCGTAGAGTTTGCTCTAGAGCCATAGAAGTGCAGGGGACACTAAATAATTCATTTTCAGCTGAGCCTGTGACAGTTCAGGCAAGTCAATGGCAGGTGCTAGGCCTTCTGTAGGGTCCGTGTCTCTCTGATTCAGCTTTAACCCTCGTGGAAGCCTAGTTGGATAGCTGGGAGGATGGACCTCCTGAATAAATGGGCATCTGTAGTGTTGAGAGGGTAAGTACGCATGTGTGTGAATGTGGGCCTGTGATTGTGTCTGTGTGTGCACACTGTGCCTGCTCATACATGTTTGCAGGGCAGGGTAGAAGGAAGTAATTCAACAGGCAGGGGGTGGGCAAGGGAGCAAAGGGCACGCAAGTGTGTCCACTGGAAGAACCCTTGAAGCTAAAACAACATGACAAGGAGACCCAAGGCCAGGGGTCAAACCTCTTCTAAGTCAGTCTGCTCACCAGTAAACAAGCAAAAGGCTCTTCCACAACATCTGCAAAGAAATGGAGTGACTTCCCAGCATCCTCACGCCCCAGAAGACAATTCTGACCTTAAAGTTCATGTCTCAGCAGCCCAGGCCCCCAGTCCTAACGGGACAAAGTGATCGGTCAGGGCTTCCCAGGCCTGCTGGCTAGACTCAGGATTATCATAGCACAGAGAATAAAGCCAAAAACATTTGATTAGAGGCAAGAGGTCGCCTAGCTGCTGTCTGTGACACTTGCAACCCAAATGGGCACCATATGGGGGACCCAGAAGAAGCTCCTGGCTCTTGACTGTGACCTGGCTTAGCCCTGGCCACTGTGGCCATTTGGAGAGTGAAAATCCCTCTTTCTGCCTCTCCTTCTTTGTAACTGCCTTTCAAATAAAGAGAAAAATTCTTTTTAAAAGAGAGAGAGAGAGAACATACACATACTTTTGAAAAAGCATTTGCTTAAAAAGGGGAAAAAGAAAAAGAAAAAGCACCTGAATTGTTTCCTGTCCTGCTCTGTGGCCACTGGAAACACCTTGTCGAGGACACAGTCTGCGACATCGACTGACAGCCACGAGTTGCAGAGAAAATGCCACCTGCGGTCCACCGCCGGCTCGTAGACCAGCACGCGGCTCACGTACCTGGGGAAGGAACCATGCTCCTGAAGCCAAGGGAGAGGAGAGTCTTGCACATAGAGGATGGGACATCTTTGCAAGCCTGAACCCCAAGAATAGCTGCTCCCTGGAAAAGAGACTTCCAGGTTTTTTTTTTTCATTGTTTTCAGGACCCTGGTCAAGTTTGGTCTCCTACAGAGGAGTTTAGTTCATTGGAAAGCCAGCTCTGGGCTGATATTTTGGAGCAACAGCTGGCATGGTGCTCATGGGATGCCAGCCTCGCAGGCTGGGATGACAGACTCAACACTGCGCGGCCAATGACAACGCTCATGGTATTGACAGCTGCTCGGCACTGAGCATTTACCATGCCAGGCGTTTACCACGCCATCAAGCGGGAACCCTCTTAATGAGCATGGTCGCATTTCCAATACGGCAGCCCAGTCAAGGTCACATGCCCTCGTAGGGTGGCCGATGTGATCAAGACCCAGATAGCTTGGGCCAAACCAGGACAATCCCAGAGCTCCCCTAGGGCCAGCACTTGGGGTGGTGTCCTGGCTCAGTATCTACTTCTGCTTCCCTCCCTGCCTACCTGTGCAGGGGCTGATCCTGCCACATCTCAGTCAACCCTGGTATGCTTCCTGCCATCTCAGTCAGCTTCCTGGGCACAGCCTGTATCTGCAGCACTTACAGTACTGAAGTGCAATTCCTAATGAATTGAAGATGCACAAAAATGCTGTGAGTTTTCTAAAGCTGCCAGCGGCTCATGAGTGACCAGTCTGGACATTACTCATTTGGGCCACTAGTTTAGGATTCGGACACCATGCAGAGAGGCCCTGGCTCTGAACTGGCCAGCTGCATGACCCTGGGCAAGTCAGAGACCAATGCTCCAAAGGATCAGATGTGGGGCTGGCCCTGGACCCATGGTTATGACCACCAGTCCTCCAAGCTACTGGCACAGTCTGTATAGACCTTGAACCTGGGGGGCCTCTCTGATGCTTGGTTAGCTTATCTGAGAAATGGAGATCCAGCCCATGCACCTTGCAGAGGCCGTGAGGACCTGGAATTAGAGCATTGCAGTGTCCAGCCTTGGGCCTGGCCCTTGACTCACCAGGATGGCCGGTCACCGGAGTTGTCATGCCACAGCCGGAGGCTCCGCAGCTCCCCAAGGGGGAACAGGGTGGAGAGCAGGAAGACATCCACTCCTCCTCGCTGGAAAACTGGGCTGCTGCGGTCTGACAGGTGGTGGGGTTCACTCTCGCCATCTGACCCGTACAGGGTGATAGTCACCTGCAGGCCAGACATCACGAGTGGCCAGCTGAATCTGCCAGCCTTACTTCACGAGAAGGGGCAAGAAACAAAAACACAATCGCAGCCCTTTTGTCCCCTCCCATCCTGGATGTGCTGCATTATTTTTTCCTGTCATGTGCATCCCCCATTAAAGATCCATTCTGCCTTGTGGCAATCCTTGGCACTGTGAAATGAATAATAAGCACTCATCACCTTTGAAAAATGCTAGGGATGGGCCTGGCACAATAGCCTTGCATTGCATGTGCCAGGATGCCATCTAGGTGCTGGTTTGTGTCCCAGCCACTCTACTTCCCATTCAGCAATGGAGGATGGCCCAAAGTCTTGGGACCCTGCACCCTTGTGGGAGAATTGGAGGAAGTTCCTGGCTCCTGGTGTCAGATTGGTTCAGCTCTCAGCTCTGGCCATTGTGGCTATTTGGGAAGTGAATCAGTGGGCATATCTTTCTGTCTCTCTTTCTCTCTGTATATCCGCCTTTCCAATAAAAATAAATAAATCTTTAAAAAAAAAAAAGAATGCTAGAGACTTCGCAAAAGGGCATGGAAAAATGCATATGATGAAAAGCTGTGTGTATGTTTCAGGTATTTTTTCACTAAGATAAAACTTATCCTTTAGCTACTTCTTCCTATGAACTTCTTGACACCCCCAGGGCCAGCTACCCTTGGTCTTCCAAGGAGAACCAGAGTGGATCTCTTTGAACCACTGCCCCTCTGCCCCTTTACTCCTGGGATGACGGTCTGATGAAAAGGTTCTCACCTCTAGAACACAAAAAGCCAAAGAGAAATAGAAGACCCAGAATCCACCGAAGTGAGCCTACAGTGGCAGAGCCAGTGTTGGGCTGATGAACCAGAGCGCACTGCCCAGTCGGGTACCTTTGAGGAGGTGGCTGCCCCTCGCCGATGTCCCGTGTAGACTGTCACCAGGTAGTGGTACTGGGCAAAGGGATCGTTATCCTCCAGCACCGTGAGCTTCACCTGCACAGAGACACGACATTAGGAGGGCCCTGCCGGGTGAGCTCAGTCGTTACACGAGCTACAAACGTGCTGGGCACTAAGGACAATAAAAGGCGAAAGCAAGATTATGTATGCTACACTACTCATTTCATTGATGTGAACTGTTCTTGACAAAAGCAGGATTTGGGGTTAAGAAACTATAACTACAAGCACAAGTGCATTCTCCATTGAGCATGGCTGCACTCCTCAGTTGGATATGAACTTGGTGTTAAGCCCAAAGTGTTAGGTGATGGAGCTGATAAAGCACGCAAATGCTGTTGACATATTATATCTGATAACATCCGTAAATGGAACTGTGCTAATGGGGGATTCTGGAAGGAATGAAATGTTAGGATAATGTCAGTGAGCAGGAATGGGTCAGGGGTCAGGGTGGCTCAGAACCCCTCCATGGAAGGCTTGGGTGCTGGTTGCTGGGGTGCGATTGCCAGGGGTGCAAGGTTACATGTCTGTTGAGAATAGACCCTTGGGGAAGAAACCGACGTCCAGTGACCACTGGTGGAGGTTATGGACCTGACCAAGACCTGACCGTCTGAACTTGGGACAGCTGCAGAGCTTCACAGGACCAGTTGGGTGGTGATCTGCCCATCCTGTGCCCTCTTCTTCCCCAGGGCCCTCGGTGAACATCCCCTGTGCCCCACACCCTGTGAGGCCGCCTCAGTATTCAGGGTGGCAGTGTAAACCCCAAGGCTCCTGCATCTTCACCTGTGTTGGCACGCTGGGTTGGGGAGAGGGTGTTAGTCTGTGTACCTATGCAACCTGGCACTTGTGTGTGCATTTCCTTCCCATGTTCCTAGACACTTGCTGAAGACCTACTGTGTGTCTGCCATGGACGTGTCTCAGAAATACAAACATTTTGTTGTGGCAGGCAATTGTCTGATATCATTTCAGACCTGTCTTAGGCTTAGGCGGATTTCAATGTTTGGCTGAATTAGCCTAAACTAGCAGCTGGCTTCTCTGCTCCCAACCCTGGCTCTCATCACCACAACCCCTGCCAGGAAACATCCCGTGTTCTTCAGCTCACCTTGTTTTGGTCCTGCACATCCTTCCTCCTGGCCCAGATCACCACCAACACGTAAATCACACATAGGCAGCCCACAGTGGTCACCACCACAGGGTTGTCCTCGAAGGTGGCAAAGAACTCAGCCGTCTGGCTGACGTCTACAGTGTTGGGCAGCACCAGGAATGAGCTTCCAAAGAAGGTGAGGTGGTTGCAGAGGCAGTGCGTCTGGGAGGGCGTGGTCTGAGGCCCCACCTGCAATCCCAGAAGAGGCCAGGGGCAGAAATGCTCTGGGGTTCGTCCCAGCTCCCAGAGCCCAGGAGAAGGATTGAGTAACTTTTGTGTGGCTGGCTGTGCTGGGGTGTGGAGCTCGGAGGCGACCCCTTTGAGCTTTGTCATTTAAGTAAACATGAATTTTAAAATGCAGAGGATGTTTTGTTTGCAGCCAACATTGTATCTGTCATTCTCAGGGGACATGTCTGTATAGCTGTGAATGGGCCTCACCTTGCAATAACGCTGACTTTACTCTTTGACCAGCATATCTCCAGAGACCCGAGATTGCTTTGGCTGTGTGGGAATGGAGTGTGGTTTTCTCTCTAGGCTGCATGACCGAATTTGCTGGTGTATGATTCCCCACGATCTCCTTGTGTCTGTGGCTCTAGCTGCCCCTGTCTTGGACACCTGGGACTATAATGAGTATCAACTGCATGTGGTGGGGCTAAGCATAGATTCTGGTGCTTGACAAAGGCGTGGAAGCAGAAGGGACAGTGGTGCCCCAGAGAAGGATCTGATGTCCTCAAGCCCATGTGTCTGCCTGTAGGATGCTGCCCCAGCTCCTTGGGGGCATGATGAGCTGACCTGAGATGGCTCTGACTGCCATGAGGCAGAGCCAAGAGGCATCCCAGGGCTCATGGGGACAGTACCAGGCTCTGTAGAAGCAGCCAACTAGCATCATGCTCATGTTCTGGCTTCAGGTCCCAGCTCCCCCACTTACCAGACGGTGTGGGGGGCTTGGGATAAGTTAGTTGAGTTTCCTGAGCCTCTGTTTTTAACACCTGTAAAATGAGGGGGGCGGTTGGAACCAACTACCTTGGAGACCATGGTGAAGGTTTGTTAAGATAGCTCAGATTCAGCATAGAACACTGCTGTACCCAGCACAGAGCAAAAGGGTCATGGTGAGTTCATTGCCTTGGCAATGACGCCCTGGCCTCGCTCGGCCACAGGAGCAGCAGGGCATCCCAGCCACTCAACCACTTGTGTGCAAGGATCATGTGCTCCAGCAGCAAACAGAATACACCGTCCTGGCCCGGAAGAGCTCGTGGTGGGCCCAGGGACAGTCATCATTGAAATGATCTGTGGAGGAAGTGTGAATGCTCAGAGGTTTGTAACTGGGAATCTGGGGGAACAGGGTGTGGGCAGTGTTCCAGGTACAGGGATCAGCATGTGCAAAGGCCCTGCCAGGGACACAGGGTGCTGGCCCAGGGGCCCTAAGAAGGAACCCAGATACAACCAACCAAGCTGCCCTGACTTCTTGATTCCTGCTTTCTCCATACCTGGCACCCAGAGTTGTCCCAAATTTCCTGCACTTCATCCCAGAACACACAGTGGGACACGAAGGTGGTGATGCCGACGGTGAGGTTCCTGTGGGGGGTCAGCCCCAGGTCAGACTCGGGGGTCACGGTCAGGTAGTAGACACCTTCTCCGAAGCGCAGGTCCTCAGGGGCCAGGAGCCACGTGAACTGCTCTTCTGCAGGGGCAGGCTCTAGGTCAGCTGGAAGTCTTGTTGGGAGGGAGCTAACATCCCTGGAGAAGGGGTCTAGGGTGACTCGGCAGGGGAGCAGACCCTGGGGTCTCCCGATGTCCTAGGTGTGCCCAGCAGCACAGAAGTGCCACTAGCTGGTCAGCCTGAGGATTCTGCCCCTCAGTGGCTGTGTGATCTCAGGCTGTTACTTAACCTCTCTGTTTTCACATCTCAACAGTTGCTACTCCAGAGGGCTGTCATGAGCAGATGTTAACCTCAAGTTGGCAAATACTCATGCTAACCATTCCCACGCAAAGAAGTGGCTGCATGTGGCAGGTGGATTTTCTCCTTAATTTTTCCCCCTGTGGTGTCTAATTCTTATTTCTGAAGTGGGTCACACCACCCAGGAAGCAGCTCGGGAGAGAGCCCTTGGCCAGAGCTACCTTCCGGAGCAGCCGCCGGCGGGAGGCGGATTTGAGCATCGTAGTTTGTGATGTTGGGGTGGAAGCCAGAGCCAAGGCTGAGTATAAGTGGGATGCCGGGACGCCAGTGCAGCTGGATGCCCAAGGCCGCCTGCCCTGAGGTCACGTTCACTTGCAGAGCTCCTGGAACAGTCAGGCTCAACTCAGTCAGCTCACGGTGTTCTTGGGGATGCTGGGGCAGCAGGATCTGTAATCAGAATGGTCAAGTTAGGGGAGGTGTGCAGGAGCAGGTGCCCCTAGGGAGTGTTGCCTGCTGCCTAGAGCTGTGCAATGCAAGTGCTGGGTGCTGAGAGCTGCTGCACTGTTTTCCTGGAATGGATGACCGCCCCCTGGGTGGCTGTGGCAGCCAGGAGGCCAAGGCGAGTCGCAGGGCTCACACCAGCTGTGCTGGCTTCTTCTGGAGGCCCCCAGGAGAACCTACCTCTTCGCCTTTTCCTGTTTGGAGGTAGCGGGAATCTGTTGGGTCGTGCATGGCCCCTTCCTCACAGTATTCTAACTTGTTCCTACCATCACATCATCTTTGCTTCTTTTGGGGTCACCCTCAGCCCCCTACTTTTTATGAGGAGTTATTTATTTATGAAAGAAGTTATTTATCTGTGGAAGAAGAGAGATCTTCCCCTGCCGGTTCACTCCCCAAATGACCTCAGCTGCCAGGGCTGAAGCTGGGAGGGAGCTTCCTCCTGGTCTCCTGCATTAATGTGCCTGGGAAGGCATCAGGTGACAGCCCAAGGATTTGGCTCCCTGCCACCCACATGGGAGACCAGGCTGGAGCTGCAGGCTCCTGACTTTGGTCTGATCCAGCCCAAGCTGTTGTGGGAGAGCTGTTGTTGGGGGAGTAAGCCAGGGGATGAACATGTGAACATGTCTCTCTCTCTCTCTCTCTCTCTCTCTCTCTATATATATATATATATATATATGTAACTGGATATTTTGGAGGCTATGTCATGGGTTGGTTTATACAAGTAAGATGATTAAAAGTTCAGGCAACAGATTTAGATTTGTAGACCCAGGAAAGCTTCGCAATCAGGCACCCGGGGATTGGAGAAAGAACACACGTTTATGGTTCTAAATCGTATGCCATGTGTAAAGCAAGCTAAGGATATTTCAAGCAATTTTTCTCTACTTTTTTTGAATGACTCATCAACTGTTGGGCCAAGTGGGAAAAGAAGCCAGAAGCACCAACCCCCCAGCCCCTAGTTCTGACAACACCAGTTACTACCTCAATGTGTTCCGACAGGTTCTTCACAGGGATAAGCTGTCCACCAGGGTGGGTCAGACGGAGGCCAGCGACGGTCCCAGTGACGTCAAAGCTGCCCCTGGCTGGGAAAGGGCTTGTGGGGAAGCTTGCCATCTGTGACAAGAGCAAGGAGTGTTGGCCCGAACCCCTAGGAGCTGGGGGTGGACTGGTGCTTGGGTAAATGACAGGTCCTAAGAGGAGGCAGGCAAGGAGCCACAGGGACCAGCCCTCAGCTGCTGCTGGCTTTCCTGGCATCTTTCTGCCCTTCAGGTCTCACACAGCAAGCCCTGGAAAGCCCGAGACAACCTTGCTTCAGCTAAACACAGGAAAATGAAGCAAAGCAAGTGCTTGCCCAGTGAGCTGTGCTTGGCTTACAGGTTCCACCTTGGTGGCTTCAAACAGCTGATGGAGAGCATGACAGAAGTACCTCTGTACTGAAGGTGAGTGCACTTCTTTTCTTTTTCTTCTCATTGTTCCAGAAAGACAAACATGTAGCTAGTATCTGCACGTCCTTCACTCTGCATCAGGCATCGTGAGGATGTGGACGGGCCGTAGTGTTCATGGGAGGGGGTGTGTGGTTCTGTGTAACCACTGAACATCTGTGGGCTGTGAGGAGGCCTGGACCCATCCTCCTCCAAACACACGGAGGACAGGCTGCAATCTCTAAGAGGAGGATGGATTTGGACATGGGGAGTTCCGCTCGCCACAGCTCTGGCCGAGTCAGTGAACCTGACTTGTAAAATGGGTCCAGTAAAACTATGTGATCAGCAGGGTGTGTGATCAACAGAAATGAGCAGATATACAAGAAGACAGTTTTGCAAACTGTCTAGGGCTGTCCCCACTGTTACCCTGATGTCCACAGGCTCCCGGCTGTCCTCTGATGAGCCAAGGGAGGCGGCAGGCAGAGTGAAGGTCGCTGAGCCAGCAGCAGCGATGTGCACAGAACATCCTCGCCAAGTCTGTGGCTGTATTCTGACCGTAGGGTGGGAACGAGAGAAGAAAGTTGGATTTGAAGGAAGAGGCCCCATACCACGTTTTCAGGGAGTCCTAGCTCTGCCCTCAGGGTGGGCAGCTGTCCTGCAATGTCCTGAAAGACCAGAACCGCGACTCTTTTAGCAGAAGCAGCTCTGACAACGTCAGGTGCTCGCTGTGGGCTCCAGTGTGTCTTGAGTCCTCAAATGCGTGGAGCAGGGGACTGGTCAGACACACCTCTGGCACAGCTAGCAGGGGGCAGGTTCCATTCATTCAGCTCGGCATCACACGCTCTGACCCTGGACTTGGTATTCAGCTGGGCTCTGCCTTTCGCAGGGTCATGGGGTATGGATGGGTGAGGCTGGGGGATAAGTCTTCTTGGGTTACCTGTTTGTGTATATGGAGATGGAGGGGGTTTCCAGCATGGCAGGAAGGCCCCCAGGCAGCATCCCAAGCAGGAGGGCAGTCTGCACTTGGTCCACAACTCGGAGCAACTGGGCCACTGGGGCCATCTAGAAAGGGAGGCAAGAGACTCCACTGAGGACACTGTCATCAGGCCGGTGTGGGGCCTTCAGAGATGACCAGGGAAGCAAGTGAGGGGAAGACAGCCCTGGAGGGGGTGGAAAGAGCTCACACTGCATGCATGTGCATGTGAGTGACTGAGTGTGCATGTGTGACTTCTCAACTCATGGCTGACCTTGGATGAGTAGAAAGCACCCATTGGCAAATCAGGAACTGAGGCTTAGGGAAGCCGCAAGGCCTGCCCATGTCACAGGCTTGCGAGTGACAGAGGCAGGGTTGGAACTCAAGCTGCCTTGTCTCAGAGCATGAGCTGTCCACTCTACCACACTGCCTCCTGGAACTCTGCTATCAGCAACAGTCTAACCCCCATGCCTCAGTTTCCCCATTGATAAGATGAGGGAAAGAGCCACCTGGGAAGCCGAGTGGGAGCTAGGCACGTGGGGCTGGGGCTGGGGTCGAATGCCTCTGGAACACCCACCTGGCTACCGCTGAACCCTGCAGGCTGTTCAGAGCTGTTGCTCAGAGAAGCTTCCAGCACGTTGCCCGCTGCTTGCAAGAGGTTCTGGCTGGCTGACTGGCGCCTCTGGTCCTCGGGGTGGGTCTTGGCACTCATCATCAACAGGGCCTCACTGGCCTGCAGCAGGGCCCAGCTGGCCACCCGCTGGGTTCAGCCAAAGGAGAACACTGTGAGCCCCTGCCCAGCACAGAGCATCCACTGTGCCAGTCAAAGGACAGTGGCCACAGGGCAGGAACACCTGCCATGGAAGAACTGGGCCAAAGCCATTGCAAAGGCTGCCTGCGTCCCTGGCTTGACCTCAGACCCTCCCTCATTACAAGGCTCCATTTGCCTCCCAGGAAGCAAGCTGGCATCTCTGAATCCATTCCAGAGTGCTTTGCACTGTGCCCTGCATCTAGTGGGCATTTGATAGCACTTGCTGACTGGAGGGATGGGCAGGCAGATGGGTGTGTGAGTGCATGAGTGGATGGATGGATGGATGGATGGATGGATGGATGGATGGGTGGGTAGTTGGATAGTGGGTGAGTGAATGGACCCTACAGGGGTGGGTGGCTGGGAGGAGGCCGGATGAAGGATGCTATACTTTGAACATGCTTTAGCTCCCCAACTCCTACAGATGTTTAAACTCCAGTGTCTTACGTTAACGGCACTGGGAGCGTGGAAAGGTAGGATAAGAAGGTAGGATTCCAGGGAAGTAATTGGACCAGATTAGGGTGCCAGGGTAGAGCCCTGTGGCCAGCTCAGGTTGGCTTCACCAGGAGGTACCACAGAGAGGCCTGTGCTTCCTCACCCACGCTCTGCCACCCTCCACCCAGGACTATGAATCTCCAAAATCATGAGTGGAAACAGACATTTTTTTCCTTCCTAAGTAGTTTCTCTCTGGCAGTTGTTATAGTAATGAAAGTTAACTAATACAAATGGATGCAGGGTTCAGTGGGTGGGTGGATGGACTCAGCACTTATTCTGGTTTTGTAAGTGTGTATATGTTTGTGACAGTATCTGTCTAACATGTACTGCCCCAGGCGTCTAAAAGTGCCCTGAAGACAGAAACGGTCTATGCAGTTGGCTGCTGACTTTGCAATGAGCTGCGTAGCCACTGGCGCATACGACACATGCGGGAAACACGTGTTGAGTGAATGAATAAAAACAGGATCAAACAGAAGGACTGAGGTAAGGGTGTGTGCAGGTACATGCATAGATGCCTCGAGTGAAACAGGTGAGCAAGTAGGCACGCAGGTGAGAGGTGTCACCAACAGCATATGGCTCTCGGCTGCAGAGGGGAGGATTCTAGGGCCAGACTGGGGGTGGGTTCAAAGAGAGGGAGAAGTTCTCCCCTCCTGTCATTATGGCTTAAAAAACAAACAAAACAAAAACGCATTGCCACAATCTTGGGAACATGATATGTTCGAGTTCTCCAAGAAGCAGCTCTTACGTCAAGAATGTGATCTCAACTAGTTTATCTGCAGGTGAGAACAGAAAACATTGGAAAAGTGGAAACGTGAATAAGGGAAGTGTAAGAAGCCAACATAGTGACAAAAATTAAACCCTCGCCTAGGGCTCAGTCCTGCGTGGGAGCTAGCCATGCATACTCCATTTGTCCCTGACATCAAATCAAGCCTCTGCTGTGCGGACAGGTAGAACAGCCCTCGATGGGTTCAGGGAAGACTCTCAGAGAAACAAAGGCAGGAGTTGGCCACTCAACATCAGGCTGGCATCCTGAGCTGGGAGGAGGGCAGGGGAGAGGGCATGCACGGGCAGCTCTGGACACACATTGGACTACCCAAGGATTAATTTGACTTAGTTTCTCTCTGGAGTTGCTTGCCAGGAATTGGGGGAGATAGGAGTGTGGGCACAGAGGCTGTTGTATTCAGCAGGAGCCATGGGGTCCCACCCATGCAGGATCCTTGGAAATAAGATGGTACAGGAATCTGACTACGGGACCGCTGGTGTTACCCACCCATTGAGAACTGCTCAGCACCTGGGAATCATTCACCTGGGCGGCAGGTGTGAGCTCCTCGCTGCGGTGGGTCACCTCTCTCAGTGCCTCAGCCAGGCTCTGCACCCTCTGCATGTCCTCCAGCCTGGCCATGACTGTAGACAGTGACCTTAGCACATGCTCTCTGACCTTGGCAGAGGGGGAGAAAGGGAGGGAGAGGAAATGTCATTCTAGTGGTTCCATGAAGTCATTGTAGAAATATTGGGGTCAGAAGAGTGCCTGGGTTCTTCTGGGGTTCTCCAATACCCTGTAGATACTCATTTGCTTCAGTAGGATATATAGGAGGCACGCCCATGGCCTGTCCTTAAATCTCCCAAAACTGTGGTAATGTTACTTTGCGTGGAAAAATCACTTTGGAGATTTGGTTGTGTTAAGGATTTGGATGGGGAGCGGGGGATAGAATACCCTGGATTAAGTAGTGAGGCCCGTGTAACCTCTATATAATCACAAGGACCTTTGTAAAAGCGAGGTAGGAGGGTCAGACCAGAGGTTGATACGTGAGGATATAGGTAGAGACGGGAGAGATGGAGGGAGGCTGGGAGGAGCGGGGAGGGCTTCCAAGATGAAGCAAGGAACCATGAATCAAAGAGTGCAGGTGGCCCCTAGGAGCTGGAGAAGCAGGGAATGCACGCCCCCCCTGCTCCCGGAGCTTTTAGCAAGTCACAGCCTTGCCCAGGCAACCTTGACCTAGGTCAAGTCCTTTTCTCCTTTGGGCTTCAATTTCATCATCTTTGATAAGAAGAGGTCAAGGGTTGATGTTTTGGCACAGTGAGCCAAGCTGCCATCTTCAATACAGAAATCTCATACTGGAGTATGGGCTTAATCCTCACTTGTGATCCAGCTACCCGCTAATGTGCCTGGGAAAGCAGCAGGAGATGACTCAAGTGCTTGGCTCCCTGCAACCCACACGGGAGACCTGGATGGAGTTCCAGTCTCCTGACTTCAGCCTGGATCAGCCCTGGCCATTGTGGCCTTTTGGGGAGTAAACCAACCAATGCGTAATCTTTCTCTCTCTCATGCTCCCCTTCAAATCAATCAATCAATGTTTTTTAAATAGGAAGAGGCTACACTGACATCCTCTAAACTCCTTCTGGTCTCAGAAGCCTATGACTCTGAGGGTGAGCAGAGGAAGCAGGTCACTGGGAGTGACCACAAGGGACAATGATATTGAGCACATGGGAAACACTGAAGGCTTTTCCGCCAGCTCTCACTCTGACCCCACACAGACCCTGGGGTCACAGGGGAAGGGCATGAAGTGAGTGCCCTCCGTACCTTCTGTCTGGCATCCCGTCTCAGCAGCTGCCCAGCACCCTGGCCCTCTTGGTTCAGTGCAGAAGATACGGACTTGGCCAGCTGCAGAAGCTGCTCAGGGCTGTCCTCATTTTGAAGGTTGGTGGTGAGTCTCTCCAACATGGCAGCTGGGAAAGCCATGTCTTCAGCAGGTGTGTCTTGGATATGCACCTGATGGGGAAGCCAGAAATGTGCTCAGGGTCATTGATAACCTGATGCCTGAACTCACAGATCTTGAGGGGAACCAGAAGGGCCTAGAAGCTCACAATGGTTTTCCAGGATGTCCTGAGACTAGGGTAAAGCTGGACATTTTTGCACGCCTCATGTCACCAAAACCAGGCTGTGGGCATTCTGTGGCCTCCCCTCTTACTATGCTTCCTTCACTCTCCGTGCCTCCCACTTCTGCTTGGCTTCTGCCCCTTGACAGGTGTGTGAGGTTCTGTCTAGGTTCTGCCTGATGTTCTTCTTGGCTCACTTTGGTCCTCGTTTCTCTGGGTTCCCTGAAGCTGTGGCCTCACTCAAGGCACAGTCCTCCTGCTCTGTACCTGTTGTAGCCACTAAAGTCACAAGATCTGAAGGTAAAAACCAATATCCTCTGTGCCCCACTATAGACCCAGGACTAGCCACATGGCTTGCTCTCCAAGTGTCTGTTGAATGAATCGCTGATGCACTTGACTATGGCTTGGCCTGCCTTCCATTCGGGCAACCTTAGGGTGAAGTTCAAGAGTTGAGAAGCCAGGAAATAATGGCTGCTGTCACCACCAACCTTAACTGTAGCCTGTGTCTGCCATCTGTCCCCTGCCTGGTTGGTGACAGAAATGACCACTGTCAGCATGAAGTCATTGTCTTCTTTTCCAGGTGGTAGATACACTGATGGGAGGGCAGGGTCAGGGCCACAGTGGAGGCAGGAACCTGGCAAAAAAAGGAAATGGAATAATAAGTGGACATCTCTAAACCCTGGGGATGTTGTAACCTACATAGGTAGAGGGAGGTTGCCACGACACAGAAGCCACAGCCTTCCAAGATGTCGGGCACTGGGGCATGTCACACTCAGTGAGAAGACCGTCATCTCACACTCAGAGAAGTAGTTGGCACGGTTGAACTTCAGAATCATTTTTCTAAAGTTGATGAAACACTGCAGAAAAAATCTTCTCTTCCCTCCCCATTACAGATTTAAAAAGAAGAAGAAGCCAGAAGAGGAGAGAAGGTAACTAACCAAGGCAACAACAAAACAACTGAAAATGTCACTCCAAATATAGACTGTTGCAGAGCCTCCCTAGGCCACTCCACCTAAATCACAGCCCTGACACCTCTTGGTTTACCAGTTGTCTGTGCCACTAGCTGGTATGGTGTCATGGAATTTCTCTGTTTTGAGGATCTGGCACAGAGGAAACAGCCCACATTCAGTGCACCCTTGTGGGAAGGAAGGAACGTCCTTTGTAAACAGAAGCCATCGAGTGCTGCAGCCACTCATTGTGCAGGGTGCACATGGTCCTGTAGTGACTGTTCTGCCATGGAGAACTGAGTTTGCTGTGGCCACACCTCTCCCTTTCTGCTGGCCTGGGGCACATTACTGAAGGGCAATGGTCAGTAGGAGTTGGGGCAACCACTCTGGCTTCTTCCTTTGGGAGGACACAGGTTTGAAGTGGAAGCTGCTTGCTTTGCCTCAGTCTTCGCCTTCCAGGCCATGCCCCAGTCTCCATCCTGGGTCTCCCAGTCCCTTTCTCAGGACACTACATGAAAACCACACCCTCTTGGACCTCAGAGTAGCTTTACCCTCCTCGCCCCAGTCAAGGTGCACAGTGCATCATGATGGTACCTGAGGCTGGATCCTCAGACCCGGGCGGCCGAGTTCCAGTCCAGCTGGAACCACGTTAGAGCCCCTGGGAAGGAGTCACAGCATGCCCAAAGCCGCAGGAGGAGGGATGGACTCCCGTGAGCCCTGCAAACTCTGGCTGCCCCATCTCCCACCAGTGCCCTCACTGCTCTCCTGGGCTGCAGCTTGTTACAATAATGGGCGAGGCAGGGACTGCAGGATCTCTGTTACGTGCATGTTTGTCACTTGTGTCACTGCCAACTCCCTGCTGCCGCTTGCAAAGCAGAGCCCATAAAATATCTAAGACCTATCTCCATCTCTCTGAGTAGCTTCAGACTTCTGAGGGTCACAGTCACTCCAAGTAGTGTGTGGGGCTGGCCACCCTGTAATGACCACACATGATCCTGCTGTGTTTTACCCTTACCACGTCCCCTGGCTTCCAGCTGTGGGGCAGCTGCTGCACCCACCTGTCCTGGCTCTTGGCTGTGAGGGCTGGGTCTGTCTTATGGTCCATGTGTGGGTGGGGGATCACGGTATGGGGAGTCCTTGTCCTGGAACCTTGCCCATGGCCAGAACACACTCTGCACAGCTCCAGAGAGGGGGAAGGGTGAGGCCCGGAGCCAAGCAGTCCTCAGCTGCTACCTGATTCCAGGCAGAAGCAGTGCTCCAGACGGCCCCGGGTGGAGGAGGTGTTGCACAGGATGGCGAAGCTTGTCAGAATGGTGCCCTCCTCCGGGACAATGGCACAGGCCGTGACCCGAGGGGCAGGCAGGGTGCTGATCACGTAGGTGTCCTCCCCATAGGCGCTGCTGGTCAGAGCTAGGGCGAGAAGGCAGGTCAGGCAGGCAGGCTGTAAGGGTCACAAAGCTGACTGGACAAGCCCTTCTCCAGCCCTGGAGGCAGGCACAGACATGTGCAAATTCCACAGCACCCCCTGAGCGAGGGGACCCTCTGAGGGAGGGGACCCTCAGGGTCTCGCTTGGAGAAACTGGGCTGAGAGTAACAGACTCAGTGCAGCCTGGAGCCCACTTCTGCCATTCACCTTGGACTGGGCATTTGAGACTCAGTAACAGAGGGGCTAGGACCCACCTCCCAAGGGGAAGCACTAAAATCTTGTAGAAAGTGGAATCAAAAGTTTAATTTGATTAAAAAAAAAAAAAACTCCTGGATGCATTTTTTGGCACCAAAGCCAACTTATCTTTTTAGGCCCCTCCCCTCTTGGAGGGAGGCCACAGGTGACCCTAACAACCACCTAGGCACATGCCTGTGTGTGTGTCTCGCGGGTGAGCCTGGAAGAGCTGATGTGTGGCAACTGATTGTGTGGCATAGACGCCCAAAGAGGGCGTGGACCCTCCTAGGTTACCCTGCTGAGGATGGTCTAGGGCCACTTCGGGGAATAGAGTCAAAGCAATCCTTCCCCCCAAAGAAAAATCCTCCCTCCCAGCCCTTGCTTGGAGGCTTGTTGTCAGGGAGAGGGCAGCCGGCACAGGTGCTAGGAGCCTGGAGGACCTGCCCCTGCCCCGTGTTTCTCATCCTGCATAATGAAGATCCTACCTCTGGCGTGATTGGTGGATCCCGTGTGAGGAAACTGAGGAACGGAGACACAAACCTCCAGCCTGAAGTCTCCCAAGAAGAGGGGAAGGGACAGGAGTGGCTACCAGGGCCCCACCTTCTGCTCCGCCTCCGTCATCCCCCATGCCCCCGCACCTGTGGCTCGGATCCGGATCACCTCCCCCCAGGCGTGCAGCATGGAGCTGTTGAGCAGCAGCGTGGAGGCGTTGCTCTGAAGGAGGGTTAAGGACCTCGGCCAAAATCCTTGGAGTCTGCAGGCTGCCGGCAGGGGTTCGGCCTGGGGGAGAACACGGCTCAGAGACTCGAGGGAGCAGCACTCAGGAGCTGCTGCCTGCTGGACCGTCCCGGGCCCCAGGGAAACAGCCCGTCGTTAAGGTGTGTGTCTGAGGTCGGGGGTTTATTAGCCGCGGGAGGGAAGGCCCGAGAAGTGGGTTCCAGGGGTGTCCAGCCTTAAGCCTGGCCCCTCAGGGAGACCTGCAGCAGAAGTCACAGCACAGAACTTGCCTTACACTGCTGGGATTGGGAAAAGGTGCCTGGGCAAGACCCCCATGTCCACCGGTGCTTGGGAGACAACTGGTTCACCAACAGGTTGGCTGTAGCATCCCTCCTAAGCCCTCCTGCTTCTCCCCCGTCCCTGCTGACCCCAGCCCCACTGCTCGGTTCCTCTTTCCCTGGCTCAGCAGTGGGCACGCTGAGTCCATCGAGGAGAGCAGGTATCTGATTTGGGGCGGCTGTCCCAGTCCTCACCTTCTCTGACGAGGTGTGATCCAAATACCAGCTGAACGTGGCCGCTGAGGAGGCGTTTCCCACTGTGACCCAGAGCAGGACGCTGTCATGGGCGTTCACTGGTCCACAGTTGTGCTCACAGCTGAAAGGGAGCCAGAGGACGGAGTGAGGAAGGACTTTGCATCTACCCATTCTTTGAAGTCTATGGGAGGGCAGGGGCCAAGGCGCAGGGGACTGCATTCTCCATTCACTGCACAGGGGAGTGACACAGGTGCACACAGGCTGACAGGACCCTGCCCTCGGTCACCTGCACGACTCGTTGAACCTCTCTAGCCTTGGTTTCCCCACTTACGGAGGGAGGGGCTGAGGACAAACAGCTTCTGTGGTTCTCATTTTCATTCTGATACTACTAAGTGATGCTGTGGTTTGGTTGCACGTGCGCCGTGCATAAGTGACTTTGTTGGTGCTGGCACCTCTGATGCTCATGGCAACCCTGGGAGGCTGGCACAGGTCCCGGGAGCTTATGCCATCTTTCCCAGAGAGCTCAAGCTCCTGCAGCTCTCTCCCCTCACTGCGCACCAGGGAGGAGCCCTTGGGTCATGGAGATGGGTCTTGTTTGACCACCCTGTACACCCTTACCTACAACTGACAGTGACTCCAGAGGGTTCTCACATGCCCTACCTGATCCGAGGCTTAAGCTCCCTGGCAGCAGACACATAGAGGCACTGCTCCACCTCGTGGTCCAGTTCCTGTCCCTTCGTGATGGCCAGGCGCAAGGTGACAGCTGAGCTGGGCGGGGGCAGGCAGGAAGGCGGGACCACCAGCTCTCTCTGGTCGGTCCTGAGCAGGTGCCTCTCCACACAGTCGTTCCACTGGGCCCAGCAGCGCCCTGGAAGTGAGATGGGCAAGCACCATTCTTTATCAAAACACAGCTTTTACACACACACACAGACACTCTCTGGGAGTTTGAAAAGGAAAGGGGCCAGAAACACCAACAGAAGCTGTAGAGGGAGATTTCTGGTGTTATAGGTGGTGCTGGGAGAGGATGTTCGGCAGGGCAGGGAAAGGCTGCACAACTCCATTGGATGATGTTTATCCAGCAAGACCCCACTCCCTGCTACCTCCAGGTTATGTTTGGGAGTCATACTCCTCAGCTCAATCAACTAAAAACAGCTTAAAAAAAAACTTACATTTTTAATTACTTGAAAGGCAAAGATAGGGAGGGTGAGAAAGAGAGAGAGAGAGAGAGAGAGACTTCTTCCCCATCTGCTAGTTCATTTTCCAAGTGCCTATACCAGTTAGGGCTGGGCTAGGATGAAGCCAGGAGCTGGGAACTAAGTCTGGGTCTCCCATGTGGGTGACAGGGATCCAAGTACTTGGGTTATTACCTGCTGCCGCCCAGGCTGTGTGTTAGCAGGGAGCAGAAGTCAGGAGCAGAGCTGGGACTTCAACCCCAAGCAGCATCCTAACCAAAGTGTAAAATGTTCATCCCTAAACTCTACTCTTGTAGCCTCTGCATTCAGATAAGGAGAACTAACATTCAGAAGGATGTCATGATGGTACAGTAAGTAATGTCACAGGTGTTTGTATGACTTTCGACACACTGTTTCTAGAAATCTGTTTATGAAAGTAACCACAGACAGTGATAAAGATGGAACTATAAGGATGTTCATGACAGTATTGTTAATAAAGGCGAAAGCCTAAGCATCCAAGAAGGGTACACTGGTAATTAAAAGGTAACAGGTCACCTATAATTGATTATCTATTTTGCAGAAATGATGAAAATCAAGAATATTCCACAGCATTAAAATATGCAGGACATATGAGGCATTTTCAATGAGTTAATGAAAATGTATTTTTAATTTTATTTCTCCATAAATTTTTAAAAGTACCGTCATAGTGTTCAAATAAATGAAAGGTCAGGCTCAAACCTTGTGATACAGTGGGTTAATTCTGCACTCAGATGCCTGTATTTCATATGAGAGAATAGGTTCAAGTCCCAGCTCTTCTACTTCCTGTTCAGCTGCCTGTTATTGCACCTGGGAAGCAATGGATGCTGGCCCAAGTGTCGAACCCCTGCCATTCATGGAGTTCCTGGCTCCTGGCCCTGGCTTGGCCCTGCCCCAGCTGCTGAAGCCATTTAGGGAGTGAACCAGAAGAAATTAATTTCTCTCTCTCTCTCTCAGAAAAACAAAATAATACAAGATGAATACAAACAATACCGCATGCCCTGATTTCATTTCCCAAGGGATGTGTGTGTGGCCAGAGTGCATACATTTACAAAAAAAGGTTGCTCATTCCTACAAGATGGGCATCAGTGTTGTTGTCTTGGTTTCTGGAAAGTGCTGGTCCCGTGCCTCTTCTGCTCATCCCGGTGATGAGTCATGCGGAGTGAGGGGAGGGAGGGACCCACACCAGAAGGGACCATTTGATAGCTGGCAGCGTTGGAATTGCCAGCACATCATGGTAATAGGCAACTTTCAAGGCTTTGTTATTGTTTTAAGTTTTTTCTGTCCGCTTGTTTCCTGAATTGGGGACTGCTCTCCCCTGTGGTTGGTTCCTTCCTGTTTCCATGGCAATTCCACCTCTGCCAGGTGTGAACTACACCAAGTGCCACATGAAGAAAACAGAAATGGCAGAGAGCTCCCACACACACCTACCGCATGACCACTGGAAGTGTAAATCCTCGTCATGGTCTGGCCAGCCCATGGTCACGATGGTAAAAGGATCCACGTATTCACTGGGGTCGACAGACACCTCCATACCCTCCTTGCCTTTCTGCAGAAAAATCAGCCGCTGGTGAGACACCATGCACACATGCCAGTCGGCCATAGAATGCTGGCCAGACCACCCTCTGCTAGCTGGCATTTGTGCTGATTTTTATGCTAAGTTGTTTGTTAAACCTCACCCACTGGGATCCATGAAACAACCACATCTGAGTATTCCCAAGACCAAGCCATGAGCGCTGTAGATGCAAATAAGCCTCTGTCACTGAATAATGCATGCATGAATCATTTCAATGTCAATGCGTTAAGGACTCAGTTGTATTATCAAAATGGAAGTTTCCCATAATGAGCATCAAAAGCTGCACATATCCGTCTCAGTGCTGATTGGGATGCACATTACATGTGTGGGTAGATAGTACTGTCCTTGACATTCGGTTAGAAGTATTTTCTGGTTTCCCCTGTGATTTCCTCTCAACTCATTGATTTTTAGGAATCATGGTGTTTAATTTCTGTGTTAACTAAGTGGTCATTACACATCCTAGGCCTTGTTATTGACTTACAATTGTGTCATAGTCGGAGAACATGCTTTGTTGGAGTTGAGTCCTTCTGGGCCTTTTTTTGAGTAGAAGAAGGGTTGGGGGTCCCTAGGGCTCTGACTCTCAATACTGACAAACCAGAATTCAGAACTAGAAGGGAATGCTTGCACGTCTCACTCTTGTTAAGACAAATGTGTAAGAAAGACACTCACGCTCTCTTCTTCAATATTCCTTCCAAATGGTTCTTGGAGATTGGACGCAACTGTAAACACAGTGAGAATGAGCATTTATCTACAGTGGACAAGCTAGAGCAGCTGTCAACGGGCAAGCCCAAAGTCATGCTGAGGATACCCCAGGGGCCTCCGCCTGTCTTTGGAAATGACAGCGCATATTTAGGTCACAGGAGAATAAGTCAGACGTAAAACCACCATGTCCATTCCTGGGGCTAAAGGCCCCTCGTTAGCAGTAAAGAAAAATTCCCATGGTATAAATATTCCCACCAAGGTAGATACCAAACTACGTCCTCAGCCAAGTGTCAAATGACAAGAGTGATTCTAAGTTATTCTTACTGAGTGCCAATTTCCTCGTCTAGAGCCAAGATAGAAGGCAGTCTCTCTCAGGAGCCTAGGACCGGCTAGTACTGAGCCGTTTATACTATGGCTCTGTAAAGCATACCCTGTAACTAGTGGTAATGTGCCAAGTAAAAACTCAGGGCAAAGGCACTCTCAGCTGATGTGCTCTGCAGAGATCTGCTGAGTGCTGCAGAGGAGAACCCTGCGTCTCCTGAGGTGCCCCAAAACCTCCTTCTGCACATACTGTGCCCCAGCCTAATGGGGAACCCTGACCTTAGGTTGTGAGCGTCCAACCTCTACCCTGAAGGGCTCCCTGCTCTTCCCTAAGAAGCTTATCTCAGGTATTTTTAAGTCATTTGAGGCTGATGGCTGCAGAAAGCCAATATAGTCAGGTGCATTCAGCCCAGGGGGTCAGAGGGCTTTACCACCAAAAGAAGGAAAACTGATTCAAGATTCCCGGATAAGGCCCAGGTGGTAGCCCGATGGCTAAAGTCCTCTCCTTGCAACTGCCGGGATCCCATATGGGTGTCTGTGTCCCAGCTGTTCCACTTCCCATCCAGCTCCCTGCTATGGCCTGGGAAAGCAGTCAAGGATGACAGCTCAGGGCCATGGGACACTGCATCCCCACATGGGAGATCCAGAAGAAGCTCCTGGCTCCTGGCTTCGGATCAGCTTAGCTCCAGCTGTTGAGGCCGCTTGGGGAGTGAACCAGCAAACAGAAGATCTTTCTTTCTGTCTCTCCTTCTCTCTGTAAATATCCCTGTCACATAAAAATAAGTAAATCTTTTTTTAAAATATATTTTTTTTAAAATCCCACATAAAGAAACCAAGAGAAATCACCATTGCCACTCACAGGAATTATCTGGGCAGCCCTGGCCTCTCTGGGCCTCCCATCCCATACACAGATAAGGAGGGCTGCGAGCAGTAGCGTGGACATCTGTGGATGTCTTCTTCCCCTATGCTTACTAACACCCCTATCCAGCCCACCTTAGTCTTGGTACAAATGTAGCTGACCCACAAGCTTGGGCCTGTGAGCCTGGGGTGATGAGATGTGGTCCCAGAAGGCTCTCTAACTCTCACTGCTCAAAAGGACTGCAGTCTGGAAGTATCCTTGTCAGTATATAAGAAATGGTCTTCTTCCGTGTGTTTTTGTTCTTACTTATTTGGAAGGAGACAGTGAATGAGGGAGCTCCCATCTACTGGCTGTTCGTGTGGTTCTTTGGAGCCTTCTGGTACTCATGCCATGCCCCTGCTCCAGCAGGGAGAGGCTACTAGCCACCAGCAGGCCTTGGCCATCTGCCAGCTGACCACCGGTCCTGCCTCATCTCAGCACTGGTCTGTAGGAAGGGACATAAATCCAGCTCGGGCCAGTGGGAGGCAGCCTAGGGACTTCTGGTAATACCCAACAAGAGGCACTTTCTCTTCGGGGGTTAGGAAGTAACTCCTAGGACTAGTTTCACCACTTTGGAGGAGAGATTCAGAATGAAGCCAGCCCAGAACCAAGCGAGGAAGGGAAAGGCTTCAGCAGACCCTGCTGGAGTGATGCAGGCAGGCACCTGAAGCCTGGTCCACCCCTGAACTTTTCAGATCTGAGTAAATAAACATTTCCTTGGACTCAAGCTCTTGGGAGCAGCTTCCCAGCTGCCTGTGGCTCTAGGAGTCCTGGAAAACACATTCAAGGTGACTCCGAAAATCTGTGCTGGCCCTCGGTGGTGGGCTCCCAGCAGCCTGTCTTCCAGTCTTGGTGGCAGAATCTCCTCTCCTGCAGAGGCACGACCTGTGCTTTCCAGCATCTTCTTGTGTCATGGGCCCAGGAACCTACCCTGGCCAGTGGTCCTTGCTGGGCATCACTGAGCCATGGAACCAGTTCTGGAGCTGCTTATCTGCTTATGTCTGTGTATGCAAGGCAAAAGACGTCCTGGCTTTTAAGCCTTTTAGGTTGGACCTTCCGTTACTTGCAGCATAAAGCATCCTAACTAATGCAGGTTCTCCTGTCTCAGAGTTGGGTGTCAGTGATTTTTACACTGCGTGCCTCTTTACAGAATAATCAGGGAATTCTCAACACCTATGAGTGAGACGCATCTCCAGAGCTCTGTTTGGGAAGAGCAATGCCATGGGACCCCATGGACAGGTTTTGTGCCCCTTGTAGGAATGTCTTGCCTGTGACTGTGATGTTCCCAACTTCCAAACTCAAGTTCGAGAGGGCATTCCTCACCAGCACAGTGACCAGGAAGGTGCCTGTAGGACAAAGAGCAGACAGTTAGGGGCCTTGCTCTTACCTGTCCCAAGACAGGTCCCTGATGGCAGCATCTGAACTGCCCAGGCACATAAAGGGCAAGCCTTGGGAGATGAACACTGTCTCCAGGGCCTTGTTCAGTAGGCACATAGGGATGCCTAGGATAGTAAATGCTGAACTATGGTAGTCACGCCGCTTGGGAATGGGACTCCCACGGCGAGAGTGGGTGGTGTTCCAGGAGAAGCAGCAACTGGGAGGACAAGGGCAGCTGAGTGACAAATGCCACCTTAGACCAAGGGCTATGGTCCAGGGTGCCCAGAATATACCCAAGCTGCCACAGGAAGGCACCTCAAACACCTGCTGACTCCAAGAGCCAGGCCAGCCAGGACTGGGCCAACACACCAAATGCAAATATTCCTGCCCTGCCTGTCAATTCCCTTCCTCCCCTCTACTCCCTTGGCCGCAGGAATAATTCAGATCTCTGCTTCTCGAGAGAGAGAAAAGGCTGCTGCTCACCGATGAGTGCCCCAAGAAGCCCATTAGCAGCGGCCTCCCCACACATCCGCAGCGAGACAGCTGTTGTTGGAGCTATGGGACGCCAAGCTGTGCACATGTGGATTATGGATTCCAGATTTTGTGTATTTCTCTAATTTTGATAACCTCTGCATTCTTCCTGTCCCAAGCTAGACCACCACCAGTACTTGGCAGATTTCCCAAGATTTTCTTCCCAGATCTGTTATCCCTGCTGCTGTCTCATTTTGAGAGCACAGGAACCCCACGTCTTACTTCCTGATTGACACACCTCTGAGATGCAGGGGGAACCTCATCGCCTTCCCACCTGCTGATCTGCGGGTCTCATCCTACTGTGCTCCTCCTCCCCCACCAGCACCCTCAGGACTTTCTCTGTCCTGCCCACCCTTCAGTCTTCACCCCTCCATTCCCCCAGGATAAGGACTGCAGTTCCCAGGCCACACTCTCCCATAGAAATGTTGGGGGGGGGGATCAGGATATACCTGCCCACTTGCCCTGGTCCTCCCTGGGTGATTTTGCCCTCCAAGGGTAATAGACAAGGTCTGGAGACATTTGAGTTGTCCTGACTTGGGGCACTGGGACTACTGGCATCTAATAGGTGAGTTGAGACTCACTAATGCTATCAGCCCTATGCGGGGGAAAGAACACTGACTCTGCCATACTTCTTTTGTGACCCAGGCCGGATGCCATGAGCTACATGTGTGTGCAGAGCACATTAGGAAATGGACAGCTGCCAACCCCAAGTACCTGCAGCAGGAACCGCAACACGGTAAGTGCCAAACAGCTCCCTACAGCTCTCTTCCCTGTGAGAGAAGGTTGCACTGGGGCCAGCCACCTTGAAGATCAGCTCCTCAGGGGTGCCGTGGGCCACGGAGACATTGATCACCAGGTCCTGCCCGAGCTGTAGGTGGTCGGACTGCCAGGAGGCCTGCAGCCCCGACAGCAGCTCCAGGAGACGGACGGTTAAGTTTCTAGGGGATATGGAGGCAGTGGCATTGCTGCAGGCTTGAATCTCCAGGTGGTGCTCGCCAGGGCCCAGCTGGGCCTGGGCGTCCCGCTCCAGGGTCAGGTTGCAGAGCAATGAGCCGCTCGGGACACTGGATTCGGCCAGTGCCTCATTACCCAGGAGTATGCGGAAGGTCACCTCTGTGCCTGGGTTGGCTGAGAAAGACAGAAAAACGGAGATAACAGCCCTGGACCTCAGGATTCCAGTGCAAATTCTAGTGTAGACTTGGCTGTGGATTCAGATTGAAGGCAGTAAGTGAGCATTGACCTGGGTTCCGCCTCAAACACCGACAGTGATTATCTCCAAGTATGCTATAATGAGTGGCTATTTTTATGATTAAAACAACAAAAACCCAAAGCGTTTGGTTAACAAGGATATCCTCAGGTGGGGGTGGAGGGTAAAGGGGGAGTTGAGAAAGGTGCTGCCCTGTGGATAAGGGGCAGGGACTCATGTTAGGCCTGGAAGTAATTCCCACCTCCTTTTAGGTGGCTGCAGAGGGGAGCCATCTTCTCCCTCAGCCCGCGCCACCAGCTCTACTTGCATGAGCACAGGTTCTCTCCATTCGCCATCCACTTGGGGATGAGTGGTCTCCCTTAGAGGTGGAAATGGCTGTTCTGACTGGAGGCTGACTCCTGTAGCTGACTCCTGACGTTTCAGTTACACCAACAGTCAAGGACTCTGAAATATGTCCATGTAACTTTCCTTATTTGGATTATGGTGATATGATGGTGGTGATGGTGATAGGGGCGATGATGACGATGGTGTTGGCTCCTGAGGTCAGGAACCCTGACTTTCATGTTTGCTGATGTTGTTCCCCTTCATTGGGCAAGGAGTAGGCACTCAGCTGTATTTGCAGAAAGAATAAATAACTGGAGGAAAATGTTAGGTTCCCCCAGATACACATGTCAGCCTGTGAGAACAGGAAGCAGATCCATGGGCACCAGATGAAAGCACAATTAGGGCTCCATTAGGTTAGTGCCCGAGTGACACTCCCCGTGGCGAGTGAGGTCACAATGAGTCACATTCTGGTTTCCACCAACAGGCCCCTGTCCAGATCCCCAACTGGACCTGGGCCTCCCTGGATGATGCTGCCCAATGGGAGGGTGGCTCCTAGCCCAGTGGAAATGGCAGAGCACCAGCTGATCAGAATGGATGTTCTAATGAGTCAGAATGGTCACTGTGACCAGATTGGGCCCCAACCTGTCAGAATAGATGCCACGACTCATCAGAAATCAGAAGGGACACCATGGTCGGTCAGAATGGCCTCTAGCCATAACAGCTGGTGCAGCAATAGCAGTGTGTGCTGCTGAATCTCAGCCCTGCCTGTGCCAAGCTGGTTGGCTGTGGCTGTTCCGGAGCAGGCTCTGGCCTCACTGCTAGCACTCCTGAGCTTCCCTTCCTCCCTCTACTCAAGGTCCCCCACCGGCAGATCCTTGAGATGAAGTGTCAGACTTGCAGAGGACCTGGGAAGGGTGGGAGGTCCCATTAGAAACTCCTGACAGTAACTCAGAGAATACTCCTGAACCTCGTTGTGCCTCCAGGTCTTCATCAGCTGGAACTGGTACAAGTGTGTCCCGGAAAGACGAGGCAGCAGTGCAGTAAGGTGGGCTATCTTGTGCTGCCTTCCCAGGTGCACTAGTGGAAAGTTGGATTGGAAGCAAAGTAGCCAGGACTTGAACTGGCACTTCAGTAAAGAATACTGGCATTACACGCCACAGCCTAACCCACTGGCCACAGCAGTGGCAACTAAAATTATCTTTAAAAAGATTTATTTACATATGTTTCAAAGTCAGAGCTATACAGAGAGAGGGAAAAACAAAGTTTATCCATAAGAAGGCTGCAGCCAGAACACAAACCAGTGCCCACGTGTAATGTGGACGTCAAAGGCAGCAGCTTTACCTGCTCTGCCACACCCCTAGCCCCAAAATTTATTTCAATACTAGATATTGAACAAATGAACCAATCTTAGCTAAAAAACCAACCCAGTAAACAGTCACTATCATTGCTGATTATCCGTGGGAGTTTCATAGGCAGACCCAGAGGAAATCAGGGTAGCAGGGTGCCCAGTCCTGCAGACTCACCTCCCTCGAGCTCTACCTGGATCCACAGAGGGTCCCCGAAGGCAGCCTGGCAGAGTGGGGTGGCGCCTGGCACAGACAGGCCAGAGCACCCGATGACTCTGAGCCGCTCCACCTGCTCCCGGATGACCACCTGCTGCTCAGCCGTCACGTGCCACTCACTGGTTGTGCACTCGGCAAACACGATGAATTCCCCAGGTGACGTGAACTGGTGGGTCACACTGCTGGACACACTGCGGACCACAGGGAGAAGCGTTGACAGCGTGAGGGACATACACACGTCTCACGCCTCACACCTCCCTGGCCATTTAAAGCTGAAGATGCCACATGCCCAACCCGTCCTTGGATCTTCTGGTTCATCTGTGAAGTGCCCTATTCCCCAGCCTTGCTTCCTTATCTGTAAAATGGGATCACGTTTGTCTCTCTTGTTTCTGCCCTGCCTGCCTCAAGCTAGCCCATCTCTCAGTTCAGCACTGACAGTATCAGGTCCCCTAGAGAAAGCCAATATTTCCATTTACAGCAACCAATGCAGAGAGGACTCCAGCAGAGTGTGTGTGGTGTGGTGTGTGTTGGGGGGGGATCCTAGAGGAAAGCTCCAGCTGAGGGGATCCCCAAATTCTGTGCTTGAAAGCATGCAGCCACAGGCTCACCCCTAAATTGCGCATGTGCAGAGCAGACCCAAAGCAACCTGGCAAAGGCTTTGCTAAATAAACCACCACACACGTGACCCTGGATGGCACACAGACAGCTCTCCGCAGCCTCTGCCCACAGAAGGCAAGTCAGAATATGTGCTGCAGACCCAGAGGTGGCTAGTTAAAAGAGTGAATGCATTGAACACCCATACTTTGCAGCCAATTCTAGAAGGGCCCAGGGCCTCAGAACATGTAGTTCAAGATATCCTAAACACCATCCACATTTCTTGACAAAGAATGAGAAAAATGTGTGACCAAAATTCAAAGGCAACTATAATGGACAGAATTCAGCCTTGAGATGAATTGCCAGAGACTTTCAGTTGTAGCCATGCTCCATGAAATCAAAACAAACCCTCTTAAAGTGGACGAATTGGGTAGACGTCCTCTCTGGGGTGGGGTGGGGGAACTAAGTAAAAAAGAATGGTCATCTTAGAAATGAAAAGCACAACTCTGACTGTTGTCTTCCTCTTTTATAGTCTCTTGCACCCTTTAAAATCAGGCCTAGGTGTCCCATTAGCAATATTACCAGTAGACAGGTATCCACAGCTTGCCTGTCTAAGAGCCTACGTCCCCTGTGGAGGGCACTGTGGAGCTCTCCCGCGTGCCATCCTGAGTTCTCTCCAGCTCCTGGCACAAGGTGTTTGACAACGCTCCGTGCTGGCTCCCAAGCTCCCACTCTCGGGATAGTTCAGGGTGGGTGTGGGGGGTCTGAGTGGCTTCTGCACCCTCTTCCACTTCTCCCTCTGCCTTCAGAGTCTGTCCCCAGCCCCCACTAGGACAACTCTCCCAAGAGCAGTCTCCTCCCACTGGGTGGCATCAGATTCTCTTCATGACCATGGGCTGAGCTCCTCAGCCTCTCTCATTTTCCCACATGGATCTGAACCGCAGATGCGCCCAGCTGTGTGCAGCACCGGACTCCTGCCCTGTCGCAGTTCTCTCCCTGTGCTTGTGGGTGTCAGGCTCACAGGCGAAGTTTACGTTGTTGGGTGAAAGCACCGGTGTCCAGCAAGCCTGGCAGCCAGGACGGCAGAAGCAGCTTTGAATGATGCAAGAGACACCAGTTCCCAGATCTGCCAGGAGAGGGCGCTAAGTCACCCAACACTGACTTTGGACAAGCTCTACTCTATGCAAACCATCCCGTAGGAAAGCTTGCCAGACAAACCAGTTCACCTCTCAGAAAGGCATGGTGGATGCAAGGTGAGAAGGAGCTTCCTGTCAGCTTCTGGTATTTATCTATTACAGACATGGAGGATTCTATTTTAAAAATCCCTACCTCTTAGGCTAATGAAGAGGTGTGCAAAAATAACCCAGGCTGTTTGCAGTATTGGACTGCTGGGGTTAGGAGGGAAGCGTCACAAACGGCTCCTGTTGTTACACACACCATGCTAGAGAAGTCAGGTGGGCCTTTCAAGGTTCAACAAGGCCTTTTTAAAAGGAATTAACAGATATGCAGAAACAGTGTGTGTTTATGGAAACTGAGATGATGCATTACGTAATGCATTGTGTTCTGTCCGATAAGGGTGAATGTATTTATCCTTTATGTATTTAACATTTCTTCACAATGAAAGCATACCAAATCATATCTCCTCATATTAGTAGAGCAATGGGTCTTTAAATTGAGTGATTTGGGTAAGGTGATTGGGGAGGTTTCTTTGAAACAGGGAAATAAAACCGCTAGTGGATTTTGCTTAAGTTTCAAACTGCCTGGAGATTAACCACAGAGAGGATTCCAGGCAGTGATTCAATAAACACCCTTGGGCTCACCATCCAGAATGGGTAAATGTTAGCACTGGCTTCCATTTGTCTCCAGCGTAGGCCACTGGAAAGTCCTGATGTCACTAAGGCAAGGCTATACACACCTAATTTTGATTGATGCCAACTTGAAGTTGTGTGAGGTCTGTTGGGGCTAAAAGATGGTTCTTTTTTGCCTCCATTGTTTCCTTTTCAAGATGGAAACAGTGAGAACCTGTGCAGCAATGCTGGGCCCGTCTGGGTCACTCAGCTGTCCCTTTCTCCCTCGTCTTTTCTCTGTGGACTGCAGGAAGCAGTCAAGGCCATTCTCACTCCAGCTGTGACAGGGAGAGAAGCAGACAAGCCAGGGCTGCTCAGGGCTTCCTGTCCTACCAGCAGCCCTGGGGGCCAGAGACCCTGGCCTCCTTGTAGGAGCCCAGCCTCTCGGGGTCCTGTTGGCTCAGGGAAATTGCATGTGCATACTGCCTAGTAGCACAGATACGAATCTCATCACTCACATGTTTATTCTCACCAACAAAAAATCCTCCACACTCAATGAGTGCCACCTTTGCCTCATTCCTCCCTCAATAGGGAGCAGCCCCCCTGAGCTGTGGTACCATCAGAGCCAAGTCAAAGAGACCCCGCTCTTGTCTCTGATTCTCCTTAACGTCTCGGTAAGGAGACAGACTGTGTATGGAGTGTTTGTAAAACCAGCAGGCGTCGCTCTTTCTGGCCCCGTTCTTGGGCCTCGGGGCTCCAGGCTCCCTCTATCTACAGGCGAGTCTCCTCTACCTCTTGCCTCTGGTTGTAGACAAGGATTGGAAAATAGGATGCAGAAAGAGATGGGACCAACACTTGTGTGTGGGCCTCATTTTTATGCTGGAAACCCTTCTGTCGCCATGGGAACAACTCTAGGCTAGCCTGTTGGGTGCTGAGTGGCATGATGTCCCCAGCTCCCAGCCAGCCACGTCCGTGAGCCTTCTTAGGCCAGCCAGCCCCAGCTGAGGTCAATCCAGGGGAGGGGGCCGCTCTGCTCCCCAGAGAACTGTGAAGAACTAGAAGTGCTACATGAATCACCCTGTTTAGTTTGGGGTGTCTTGCTAATTGGCAAGCACAGCCATCATCCGCTCGGGCCTCAGAGATTCTTCTCACCTGGGGGGGTCGTAGGGATCCAAAGTGTGGCCGTCACCCGTACTGATGACGCAGGACAGGTTTCCCACATAGGGCGTGAGGAGCCACGTCAGGGAGATGGTGACGTTGTCAAAGATGACGTTGTCCCTGGACACTGCCAGCTGCAGGCCTGCGGGCCGAAACACAAATAGCTGTATGCCTAGAGAAGGAAAACAGCACTCTGCTGTGAAAAATTCTCCTGTCCTTCTCCTGGGTCATTGTTCTTATGCTTTTAAAATTTTATTTTGGCTTTTGAAAGTTCTTTGAATTTCATTTTTCATTCATAGGTAACACAAGATGTCCATGGTTTAGGATTTGGAGAGTCTCAAAGGTGTGCAACGAGCAGAGACCTCCTGAGGGAACTGGTTAAACAGAGTTGGGGATGATTTTTTTTTTTTTTAAAGATTTATTTTTATTATTTTTTATTGGAAAGGCGGATATACAGAGAGGAGAGACAGAGAGGAAGATCTTCCGTCCGATGATTCACTCCCCAAGTGAGCCGCAACGGGTCGATACTATGCCGATCCAAAGCCAGGAGCCTCTTCCGGGTCTCCCACGTGGGTGCAGGGTCCCAAAGCTTTGGGCCGTCCTCGACTGCTTTCCCAGGCCACAGGCAGGGAGCTGGAAGGGAAGCGGGGCTGCCGGGATTAGAACCGGCGCCCATATGGGATCCCGGGCGTGCTAGGCGAGGACTTAACCACTTGCGCCACCGCGCCGGGCCCGGGGATGATTTTTAACAGGATATATGTTGAGGTGAAAGACGGTGTCTTGGAAAGATGTGCAGGATAAATTCATAAGGGACAAGGAAGTTCAGATGTAGGCTCTCTTGTTTAATGTTATTTTGTAAATAAAAATATTCACACAGGGTCCTGTCTGTGAACATTTCTAAAAATCAGGGGAGAACTCATTCTAAATTTATGGTATTTCCTTATGGATAATAGAATTGTAGAACTGGAGGAAGGGACCTTTCATGCGCTACAGACATTTTTTAGGGGTTTAAAGTGAGAGTGTCAATTTGAAGTGTAGGACTGGCATTGTGATGGAGCAGGTTAAGGCACCGCCTGTGCTGCCGGTATCCCATATGGCCCCATTTGAATCTCGGCCGTTTCACTTTGGATCCAGCTGCTTCCTGCTGCTGTGCCCACGACCTCTACAAGTGCTCAGGATACTTGTATAGCTTTCAAGAGTTGTGTGCTTTGAAAGTCTCTGTATGTCCTGGGAGAGAGTTCTCGTGTTTCCAGTCAGGTGAGCTGGCTGTCGCCGTTGGTTGGGTTACCCCAACGAAGTGTAATTTCAAGGGTTCTGCAGTTAAAAATATTCCCTTTGTGTGCTCTGGCTAAACCTCTGCGGTAGGAACTTCAAACGCTTGACCCAGCTGCGGGGCCAGGCTGCAGGGAGCCCCAGCACAGAACACACGAGGCATGTGGGAGGCTGCCACCCCTGGTCCCGGGGAAGGCTGACACACCCCAGAAGCAACAGTGCAACTCCAACGCCCGAGCAAGCCGGGGACTCACCTTCCTGGCACTGGTACTGCACCCACAGGTAGCTGCCTTGAGTTGGGCACTTGTCTCTGAAGTAGCTCCCGTCTGCTGCCACCTGGCACGCTTGCAGCCCCTGGCACTGGCCTGGGGAACATGCCAGTGGAAGTAGGGACAAAAGAGGACACATTCAGCATAGCTACCCAGAGAGGAGTCCTCGCCCTCCTTCCCACTGTCCACCCAGCACGCGTCTGCTGGTGTCCACTGAAGCCAGGGCTTGGGGTGGGGCACTCAGGGGATGGAAAAGTCAGACTTCCGCCCTGAAGCAGCTCAGGCCCTAGCGCTTGGCTCTCAAACCCAGCACACACCAGCTCCCCTGGAGTGCTTGTGAAGACCCGGGGCACCCCACGCATCCTGGTGGGGCCCATGAGGAGGCATGCAGAGCAGCTGAGAGTCTGTCTCCCACAGCTCCCAGCAACCCTCACTGTGAGAACCACTGGCAACGCAGCACCTGCTCGGGTGACTGGGGCCCAGCTCTGCCCTCTGTCCTGGAGGCACTGGCTGAATGGAGCCCTCAGCTCCAGGCCTCAGAACCAGCCACAGCGCGTGGAACCTGTCCCACACTTGGACTCTCTCAGACTCCACTTCCTACGTCGCTTCTACTTGCAGCCAGAGAAAGCAGGCGAGGAGATCCTTGTTTAGATTGGGTCCAGAGAGAACATCCCAGATAAGCTCCCTGTTGTACAGCCAGCGGACTAGCAGTTGCTGTTCCAGCTGAAGACGGCCTTGTGCTGTGTGAGTTAGTATGGGGACTGGGGGCCCGGAGAGCTCGGGGCGTGGGTCTGGAAGCCAGAGTTGCTCACAGCAGCTCCTCTGTAGCTTCCACTTCCCCCACGCAGGCTCTTCCTCCTTGGTCCTGTCTCTCACAGAGCTACCTCTGCCGTGGTTCTAGCACTGCAGGATGGCCCTGGCTGCTGGTGTTTTGGCCAGCAGCCCAGTGTTTGAGGATGCTCTGAGGACTCTCGCTGCCACTCTCAGGGCAGCAGCTGTACCCTGATTGGATTCCTCTCCCCTTCCAGGACTTAGGAAACCAGTCCCCTGCATGAAACTGCATTGTTTCTCAATCGTGAGCTGCTGCTCTGTGCTCCATGACAATAACCCATCCCTGCCGAAAGAGCGTTCATAGGTGGGGGCAGATCTGGTCTGATTTACAACAGCAAAGTCCTAGAGAAAATCTTCCCCTGTGAGCAGGAGCAGCAGCAGCTCTGTCTTGCCCGGTATCAATCAGGCAGTGAGGATTAAGGTACAACCATTCATTCTCCAGCCAGAGAGGAGACGGTGACAGATGAGCTAGAACAGTGTGTGTCAAGGTGAATGAATCATGCGTCTCAGAAGCAGTGTGTGGCACAAAACACACCCACCTGCAGCCCAACGGGGAGGCAGGAAAGCACACTGCTGGTTGAGCTGTGTGCCTGACCACTGTCACCCACGTGCAGACCCTGTGAGACCACCCTGTGCCGTGCTCAGGGCTGCACGCAGGGCCAGAGCAGCAGCAGAGCCAAGCATGTGGCCCAGAGAGCTGTCGGGGGCGTGGGCGAGGCTCGTTGTTTAGAATGAGAGATCTTTAAGCAAATGCGACATACCATGAAGACTGGACCAAGCTCAGCAGTGGCTCTGTGGGAGTTTGTTGTACTGATTTTACTACTGTCTCTATGTTTGAAATATTTTATGTTTTTTAAAAACTTTTTTTTTTTTGAAAAAAGCAATGTTTTCTACATCCAAGCAGGGCAAGGAAGGAGAAGGCCTGAACCCAGGGTGATTTGATGTTGTGGCGTGGTGGGCCCTGCCCCCTGCATTCCTCAGTAGTACTGTGGGTAGAACCTGGCCAGTTTGCCTATGTGCTGGAGGACAGTCAGACATGAAGATGGTTAGGGGCTTCCAGAACCTTCTGTGAGCCCAGCATTCCAACAACTACCCTCTCACCCCAGACAGGGACATGGTACACTGAGACCCCACCTGCCACTTCGTCCTTAACGTTGACCCAGATGCATTCCTCCTCCAAGTGCGAGGGCTGCCCCGTGCCCTGGACACAGTAGTGGGGTGTCTGGCGGCCGTAGATGGCATCCTGGAGCTGGATAACATACCCTGAGCCACAGTGCAGGGTGGCGTTGAGGCCCCTGCAGGCCAGGCTCCAGCCGACCCCTGGCGACAAGGGAAAGCAACCCTTAGGGGACTCACAGGTATGGCTGGGCAGGTACCTGATTGGTGGGAAGCGGAGTGGCCACAGGGAGTCGAGGCTGAGAACCTGACAGGACAGCGTGCATGGAAGTGGGAGAGGGAACCAGAGACACAAAATGTCACATGGTAAGGGAGAGACACAGCTGGAGATGGAGACATAACGAAAGAGACAATGGAAGTCCCAGACAGGGATATGGGCAAACCACAAGCAGACATTCAGGAGGAAGATCCAGACAGGTGGAGACAGATGGGAGAGAAGCATGGAGAGGAGGTAGACAGGAGAAATGGAGCGAGAGGGAGGGAAGTAGGGGGAGGGGAGAGGCAAAGCTGGAGCGGCGGGGCAGGTGGCCGGGGAGGGAGATGGAGGCTCCAGCATGGGCCAGCTCACCGAACTCGCAGATGAAGGCGAAGGCCTGCGTGCAGTTCCCCGAGGTGGCCCACTGGGAATCCGAACCTCTCCCGATGTAGCCGCAGGTTTTGGGGCCAGGGGCCACCTGCCCTTTGCGCCAGTTGCTGTAACTCACATTTGAGGTGTCCAACCAGGTTCCTGGGCCTTGGGTGCAAACACAAGCCCGGGACATGGCCCCTCTCAGCCCCTTTTACAGAAACACGAGGCTGTGCTCCACTCAGCTGCTGATGTGCAGCAGGTGCTTTGTCGGTGTGGAGGAGCCGAAGCCCTCTTTCCCCTGCCCACGGAGGAGCCCTTCCCCACTATGGTCTTCAGATGCCCCACCGGAAAGGCCCTCACTCTAACCTGCCAAGCTCTTAAAGAAACAATGCTTGCAGCCATCTCCACCTGTGATCTAAGATTTGAGAGTGACTCACGGGCTGCTGGAAGGCTTTTCCCAGGAAGAGGGTTTCTTATCGAACACTTGGGGCCAGTGGGGAGCTGAGACACAAGCCTTGCCCCTCACTCCAGGTCCCTTCAGGACTCGGAAATCCCAGATGTAATTTGAGAAGAGGTAGAGAGAGGACATGCGTATGCACCTGTGTGTGAGAGCGTGCACCTGTGTGTGTGTAGCATTTCAGAGATGCTAGAAAGAAACACCTGACATAACATTTTGCAATGAAGATTGGAAATGTTGCTCGACTTTTTAAAGAAACTGGTGTTTTGTTTTTTTTTTGTTGTTGTTGTTCTGTTTTTAATTCCAATGGCACAAAGGGACATAGGGTGAAAGCCTCTTGTGAACTTTCTCCAGCTATGAGCCGCTCCTCTTGGTGTTGTATTTCTTGTCCGTTGTTCCAGGCTGGCTTTTAAGTGCATACCAGCATTTTAAAACATGTTTTTCATCTGTTTGTTTTTATGGGCTTGAAAACCTGAGAGAGAACTTGAGAGAGATCTTTTTGTCTGTTGCTTCACACATCCCAGATGCCCACGGCAGCCAGGGCTGGGCCAGGCCAAAACCAGGAGCCAAAAACTCCATCTGGGTCTCCCACATGGGTGGCAGGTGTCTGAGTACTTGGGCCATCTTTTGCTGCCTCCCAGGACACATTAGCATGGAGCTGGATTAGAAGTGGAGTAGCTGGGATTTAAATCAGCATTCGGACATGGGCACGACACCTTACAGGCCCACTCCACCTGCTGCGTCACAACATCTCTGTCCCTCCCCACTCCTGCTCTACCACATACATCATAATTTATGAATGTCTGAAGCCAATTGTCACAAAGGCTGTGGTATTAAGTCCTGTTCTGGTCTTTGCTTCCTACAAACCGTTAAATAGCAGAGCTTGCTGCCTATCAGTCTGGTTAGATCTGTCTCATTTTCTGTGACAGCTGTGCAGCATCCGTGGGGAGATTTTGATAGACCAAACTCCTTTAGCTGCACACAGGCAGACAGACGTTCAATATGCTGAAATGTCCAAGCTGCCGTTTCGACAAGCCAGGAAACCATTCAACAAGCGGTGCTTGAACTGGCATCGTAAGAAGTCAAACTCCCTTTGCTGTGAATTGCCTTGGTTGCACTTCCCCAATTGCTTGTGAATTAAGACATCCCCATTTAGTAGATTCCTGGGAGGCTCTATTCGCCTCTAGTTACCAGTAGCTCCTAAGGAGGCAGTGAGAACCCCGGCAGCCCTTGTGGTATGGCAGGTGTCAGTCTCGGAAGTTGTCCTTCGTGGGTGCGAGAGCTCACTGCACTTGTTCAGCTGTGTCATCCTGAGCAAGCCTTTTTCTCATCCATAAAGCAAGCCCTACCTTATGGGCTTGGAGTTGAGTGAAATACAAATGTTGTCTGTTCTCCAGTGTATTCAGGCACCAGGGGAACAAAACTGCCTGGGGCTATGGCTCTCCCCTAGAGATGGGGCAGGCTTTATCGCAGTTTTAGTTGCAATCTGATGAGATTCCGTTTTCTTGCTGGTTATTGTAAGGATGAACATGATAACAGCCAAGAGACACTCAGGATGGCGCCTGGCCCTGTTCCAGCAAGAATCAAAGAAACCCCAGCTGGGATTGCTATTAGGTGCAGGCAAAGCAATGGACATTTCTCAAGTGCCAGCTGTGTACCAGGTTATAAACTGGGGGACTGTACAGGAGCAATTTTGTTTGATTCACAAAACAAAACAGAGGGGACCGGCATGATAGCTTAGTGGCTAAGTCTTCACCTTGCAACAGCCATGATCCCATATCAGCACCGGCTTGTGTCCCTGCTGCTTCTCTTCCCATTCAGTTCCCTGCATGTGGCCTTAGAAAGCAGTGGAGGATGGCCCACAGCCTTGGGACCCTGCAGCCATGTGGGAGTCCCGGAGGAAACTCCTGGTACTTGGCTTTGGATCAGCTCACCTTCAGCCATTATAGTTGCTTAAAGAGTAAACCAGCGGATAGAGGATCTTTCTCTGTCTCTCCTCTCTGTATATCTGACTTTCCAATAAAAATAACTAAATCTTAAAAAAAAAAAGTGGAAGGCATCATTGCTGTAAGGCTTACAATATATGAATTTGTTCTGCAGAGCTCTGGGTACAAACTCCAGCCATGAGCTTCCCATAAGCCATGCACTGTGTCCCGGCACCTACCTCCCGAGGTTTCGTTCTGTCCCGAGCTCCCTGTGAGTCCGATCCACCATTCCCTCTCCTGGGAGATGTGCTTCTGCAGAAACTGCTGGGTGGCTTCATCGCGAATGAAGGCCAAATGGCCGCCCTGTCCCTCACACCAGCTCTGGGCATCGTGAAAGGTGTGTCCAAGTGGCACAAATTCATAGCAAGCATCCCTGAAGGCTGCCTGGTTCTTAGAGCAAAAACTGGCCTCCTCTGGCTTAGCAGTGGTGGCCCCGAGCCTCAGGGAGAGCCCCAAGAGCACAAACCTCACTGCGTTCATCCCTGAAGCACAGCTGAGCTTCTGCAGGGAGCTTGCTCTCGGCACCTATGTAGCTGATGCCCTCACATCCGTCCGTCCGTCCATCCATCATCCATCTACCCATCTTCCATTCTCTCTATGCAGGAAGTGACAGCAACCCCCTTTTGTTCAAGAGACGGCAGGCTCAGGGAGAATGTGTCTGCATATTTGCTTCACCAAGCTCTTTGTTCACTGCCTGTTCCAAAACCAATTAATTCATGACTTGGTCTTCCCAAAAGAGATAAAGTTGCTGCATCACCCATCTGCTTGTCTTCTGGTCAACTGTTAGAGGCTGATTAAAACTCCTTATTAATTTTATGTCATTACCCTGAGGCTGAAATGTTTCATGAGCAGTCATCAGCATCTGGGAAGGGTGTGATAAAGACCAAAATGGGCAGGAAAGTTAGACTGAGTTCCATGCATATCCAATCCCACACAATGGAGTTGGCAGCCATGGCCCAGTGATAAACATTCCGTCCCCAGCCTGGCTGGGATCCTCGTGGACATCTGGTCCCCTCATTGATGCAGCACATTGTTCCTCGTGTCTGCTGGAAAACAAGACTTCCCTATAAAATTGATGTGATGTCATCATCAAAGAAACTTCACTCAAAATTCAAACCTGCTCATCTTTATCCACTCCCTAAACCCCTGGGTTTTTTCTGGTCTGTGGTTCAAGTTCAGATTCTGTGTGATTTAGCTCCCAACAGCACTTACAAATGTACCTCCCAAATTTGGGAGACAGTCTGTCTTACCCTCTGGTGGTGACAGTATAAATGGTATAACCTCTCTTGTGGACAATATGATATTTGTAAAAATCTTGAAAATACAAAGCAGTACAGTGTAGACAAGTCACTGGCAGCTATATTCATACTTGTATGGAATGTCTTATAGCTCAGAGTATCCACTGGCAGAATTTCATGATAGGGAAAAATTAGAAGCAGCCCCTATATCCATTGATAGGAATCTAGTTAGCAGTATATGGTGCAACCCACCTACTCATTCAGAAACCAACAGATTGTTCCTCTACAGACTTGGAAAGATTGCTGAGATTCTTGCTGTTGTTAAATGTACAGTCTGTCCCATCTGCATAAAACACATACAAATGTTTCTTTGTGTGTGTCCAATCTAACCCATCAAGAGTCTCCAGGAACCTGGCACGAGGGGTTGGGAGGGGCACAAGGTAACTGGGACACGGAAGAAGGAGGGCAGCTGGGTTTGGTTGGGCTCCCTTGTGCAACTCTCCTCTTTTGTATCATGTGAACCCATTATCTGCTCAACAATTCATAAAATCCTTTGAGAACGATCCCATGGCTCCCTCATTGTCACAGTTCCTCCTGGTGCCAGCAACCCCCAGCTATAACTTTTCATCACCCCTCTGTGCCCTTGTCTGGGTGTCTGCTCGGTGGAGAACAACACCTTGTCTGGCTCTTCCAGACCCCCTCCATGTCCAATAAAACTCAAATGCCACTTTTCGGTAAAGGTGCAGCACCTGTTCCGTGTAACAGGCCTCTGTCCTCCTCGGTTCCTTCTTTTTGATAAATAATAGCTTGATTGAGATTATAACTTACTATCATAGAAGTCACTGTTGTAAAGTGTCTTGTGGCTTTTAGTATGTTTGCACGGTTCTGCAGTCATCACTTCTAGAACGTTCTGATCACCTTGCGCCTATGAAGTGCTTCCCCTACCCTGTCCTGACAACCATTTTTGCACTTTGTTTCAGGAATTAACTTCTGACCACTTCATGTACTGCACATGGCCTTGTGGGTCTGCCCTCCTGCAGTCAGCGCCATGTCTGCAGGCTCCATCCGGGTCATCCAGACCCAGAGCTGCCTTTGCTTCCTGCGGCGCCATTACTAAGAGCTCATGGACTGACGTCAAAGGTTTTACAAAACGAAGATGTGCCCACCTAACATCTTTGCCAGCTTGAAAATGTTGTCCATGACATATTCTAAAATTAGATTTGAATCTGTTATTTTAATGGTGAGGAGAAAATCCTTTTACTTTCTGCACTAGTGTTCTTGTTAAAAAGAACGGTCGCTCCGTGGCTCACTTCAGCGGGGTCAGTGCAGACACTGAATGTGTCTTGTATTGTTGAGTCCCAGAGCAGATGACATGGTGTGTGAGAAGTTGGCGTGCGGGCAGGTGTTTGGGATAGCAGTTGTCACCTCCAGGGACACCTGTATCCCATGTCCAAGTCCCTGGTTTCAGTACGTGTTCTGCTTCTGACTCCAGCTTCCTGCTAACTCACAGTAGGAGGCCGCAAGTGGTGCCTCAAATGCTTGCATCCATGTCACCCCAATGGGGGGACTGAGGCGGAGTCCTGAGCTCCTGGCTCTCACCCACTCCTGCCCTGGCTGCTGCAGGCACTTGGGAAGTGAACTAGCAGAAAAAAGATTTCTATCTCTGTATTTCAAATAAAAATGTTAAAGTTTTGTAAAAAAAAAAAAAAAAAAAAAAAAAAGCATCTGTTTTGAGGTGGATCCCATGTGTTGTGCTGGGTGTTGATAAAACATGTTGGTTCAACTGGCTAACCCTCTATCTCTAAACACTAGGATTGGCTGTGCCACCAGTTTGTATCCTGGATGTTCCACTTCACATCCAGCAATCTGCCTGTGGCCTGGGAAAGCAGAGAAGGATGGCCCAAAGTCTTGAGAACCTGTGCCTGCATGAGGAACCTGGAAGAATTTACTGGCTCCTGGCTTCAGGTCAGTTCAGCTCTGGCCATTGCAGCCATTTAGGGAGTGAATCAATTAATGGAAGAGCTTTCTCTCTGTCTCTTCTTTTCTCTATGTCTACCTCACTGCTAAATAAAAATATTCTTTTAAATGTCAGATAAGAAAAAGTGTGAGATAATGGATGGGCATTGTGGCACAGTGGGTTAAGCCACTGCCTGCAGTGCTGCATTCCATGTGAGCACCGATTCAAGTCTCAGATGCTCCACTTCCTACCCAGCTCCCTGCTAATGTACCTGGCAGAAGCAGAAGATGGCCCGAGTGCGTGTGCTCCTGCATCCACATGGGAGACCGAGATGAGGCTCCTGGCTCCTGGCTTTGACCTGGCCTTGGCTCAGGCGCAGCCGTTTCAGCCATTTAGTGAATGAACCAACAGATGCAAGATCTCTGTTTTCTCCCTTCCCCCCGTAATGCTGTATTTCAAATAAAGACTGAAAAAAAAAAGTATCGGTATTGGCCAGAGAGCCCAGCTGTGCAGCATCGGGGGTTGATTTGTTAGCTTCCCCTGGCACGGTCACTGTTTTCCAGGTGTGTACCCATCTTCCCACCCCAGCCCACCGATCTGTTTTCTCTCTCTATGGATTTGTCTGTCCTGGATATTGCTGATGAAACTCCTACAATTGTTGAGTTTTTGTTTTTTGCAGCAGGCTTCTTTTCCCGAGCCACGGCTTTCAAAGTCCACTCACGTTGCAGTGTGTGTTTTACTTCTTTTTGTGGCCAAATAATATCCCGTCAGATGGTTAGAAGGATTCGTCGCCACCTGGACACTTGGGTTGTTTTACTCTGCGTCTCAGGGCAGGGAGAGGGCCACCATCTCCAGCTCCGTCACCCATGTGTTCATCGCAGGACTCAGCAGCGTTAGCCAACTCGGCGGCCACTCCCCGGCCTGGGACTGAATCTGTGACCTCTCTCCTCCTGGAAGTTGCTCGGAACCCCTGTCTGATAGCTGAGGAGCCTAGTGTGGGACGCTGACTCACGGGCTGGGCAGAACAGGGCTGCTACCCTCATGGTGTCCGACAGAAAGCTGTATGTAAGGTGCACCGTGATAAGCTATCTCCCGAGTAAAGGCTTCCTTATGTCCTGTGTGGGACGTGCTTGGAGTTATTGGATGCTGAGAGCACAAAGCTGCAGGCTAAATTCCACCTTCACGTTCCTACTGTCCTCTGCTGAGCGGGCTGCCTGCTGGTCACGCCTCCACGCTTGCTCCCTTGCTGCTCCTCCCCAGGGACTGCTTTCCCTCTGATCCTCCTATACTGTGTTCACACTTTTTCATCCATAGCTCGGATGCGAACCTCTTCCTGAAACTTTCACAGGTCGATCCTCCGGTGTCCTGGGTGTCCTCATAGCAGTTCTGTTTGCTTCTGGTCCAGCACCATTTAAAGGTTCCTGTAAGCTTTCCAAAGAGAGTAAGAGTGCGAGAGAAGCCATAAGCACTTGATTGTAAAAACAAATCCTTTTCCGTCCCCATTTCTAAATGGCCTTGCCTAATGAGCACGGTGGGTTGAATGGTGACCCTCTGAGAGGTGGACTGAAGCCCCCACCTTGCTGCCCCTGATTGTGATCATACTTTTATCAGTGCAGTCAAGTAAAGGTGAGGTCATTGCTAGAGGAGGTGGGCCCCGTGTGTGCTGTCTATATGAGAAGAGTGGCACAGAGACACGGAAGGAAGGATGTTGCACGGTGAGGGAGAGATTGGGGTGATCCTTCCACGAGCCAGGGGTTAGATGGCAGGCAGCAGCTGGGAGCTCCTTCCCTAGAGCCTCCAGCTGTTGTTGCCGGGATCCTGCTGACAGTGGATGTGGACTCCTGAGAGTGCATTTCTGTTGTTTCAAACCATCCAGCATGGGACACATTTTTAGGACAGCCCTGGGACACTAATACAACAATACAATCAGATCACATGCTGTTCATTCGCTCATTCATTCAACTGGTATTTTTCAATGTCTGCTTTTGCCAGACACTGCTGAAATGATCAAGTACCTCGACCACAGGGTTGGGTTTCAACCAAGTCAGCTGGAGGCAGCAGCGAGGAAGGTGGCTGCAAGACATGGGACCAGAGGACCAGAGGCCCACAGGAGGCTGATCCCTGGTGCCTCAGTGGCTAAATCCTCACCATGCAAGTGCCAGGATCCCCTAAGGGCACCTGTTTGTGTCCCAGCTGCTCCACTTCCCACCCAGCTCCATGCTTTTGGCCTGGGAAAGCAGTAGAGGACAGCCCAAAGCCTTGGGACCCTGTGCCCTCATGGGAGACCCAGAAGAAGCTCCTGGCTGCTGGCTTTGGATCAGCTCAGCTCTGGCCAATGCGGCCATTTCAGGAGTGAACCAAAGGATGGAAGATCTTTCTTTATATCGCTCCTTCTCTCCACAAATTTGATCTGCCTTTCCAATAATAATAAACAGATCTTTTAAAAATCGAAAATTTTAAATGATAATAATAAAATAACCACTACTGAGGCTAGTAAACTGGACCAAGCAGGAAACCATTTTAGGAGGGAGAGATGTCAGGACTACTACCAAGGCGTTTTTTCCAATGGAATTTGTTTTTTTCAAGCATCACCAATTGGGCCGTAAAGGCTGTGGTAGCAACTTGAAGTCTATTAGAAGACTTCCAGGAAGGCCCTGGCTCTCAGCCTTGCCACTTGCACCTCCTAAGTGTAGCCCAGACTGTCCATCCCAGCACAGGCCATCACTGTCTGCCCTCTCAGCTCTCCCAGGAGCCTCTGAGCTCATGGCGTCAGTGCTGTGCTCACGTAGACGCCGTTGCTGCAGCTCGGAGACCTTATCCGCTGGCTGCAATCACGTGGCTCTTGTGCTCCAGGAACCACAGCGGGTGAGGCTGTCTGGCCTCTTAGACCTGTCTCCCTCCCCAGCCATGGAGACTTTGCCCATCACCTTGAACCCTGTTAGCAGAGATTGCAACGTTATCTGCTGTCCCTACTCCTTAACCCCTTATCACCCAGGCTAATTAGAGGCACCAGTTTAGAAGCTAGCTTAATTGGAAAATTGCAAACTAATTTAGATAGGATAACATTATCTCCAAAAGGGGAATATTATCTTAGGCAATAACTTGGTAATGGTAGATAAAGAATTGCAAAATAAGGCTGTTGGGTTTTCAAAATCTGCATTCATTTTCATTTTATTTGAAATACAGAGAGACATATCCACTGGTCCACTCCCCAAATGCCCAGGACAGCCAGGCCTGGGCCAGGTGCCCAGAACTCATCTGAGTATCCCTTATGATGGCAGCAACACAAGTCTAGAGCCAACACCTGCTGCCTCTCCCTCAAATGCACAGTAATAAGAAGTTGGATTGGAAGCCAAGTGTCTGGAACTGAAACCAGGCACTCTCTTGGTTGGCCCAAGACACCACTATGACAAACAGCCATCTCTTTTTTCTTCTCTCCTAGCATAAAAAAGTCCTTTTTAAGCTCTTCTTACATTCATAGCTGGGTTTTTGTTTGTTTAGATTTGTTTATTTATGTGTTTGAAAGAGTTACACAGAAAGAGGGGGAGACACAGAGGGAGATTTTCCAGCCATTGGTTCATTTCCCATATGGCCGCAATGGTCAGCGCTAGGCCAGGCTGAAGCCAAGTACCATGAGCTTCTTCCAGGTCTCCCTTGTCACTGGCAGAGGCTCAAGTTCTTGGGCCTCTTGCTGCTGACAATGGCATAGAGCACAGGCCAAACTACTGTGAGCAGTGGGCTCGTTTCAAAAGATTCTTGTATGTTGAAGGGAGAACAACAGAAAAGTGGGGGAGGGTGGGTCTTCCACCCAATGGTTCATTCCCCCAAATGACTTACAACATCCAGGTCTGGGCCAAACTTCAAGCCAGAAGCCAAGAACTCCACCCTGTCTTCTGCGTGGCTGTCTGGGGCCCAGGCTCCAGAATCATCTTCTGCTGCCTTCCCAGGCATAGCAGCAGGAAGCTGGATCAGAAGTGGAGCAGCCAGGACTTGCTCTGATATGGAATGCTGGCACCACAGGCAGCAGCTCAACTCACTGTGCCACAACACTGGTCCCATGAGAATCATTTTTCAGAGACTGATGAAGCATGGGCCAGGAGACAGACACTTCATCCCACTCTCCACCGATCATGTGTCAGCACTGAGATGGTTAAGAGAGTCAGCACTGTTAACTCGGGCTGGGGGCCAAAGCTAGGTCTCTGATCTCTAAGCCCTAAGCACTCGCTCTTCCACTGCAGGAGAAATCATTGTTGTATTGGCTGGCTTGCTTGCTTGCTTGCTTTTTCCTGAGCCTTAGTTTTTGCCAGACTTTCTAATTTAATCCTCACAAGAACACAGCTTTCACAGCCATGAATAAATAGCTCTGGTACAAATACACATGCTTACACCAGACAATGGGTAAACTCACAAGCGATTGAGGGCGGGGGTGTGGGAGTGGAAGCTTCCAGGAAAGGGGGGGTCAGAGGGAGGTGTCCCCTACAGAAATGGGAGGAGAGGCAGTGCCTTGGATGGGTGATCGTCAGGCGCCGGGTGCCTTCGCCTGCATTGCCGTAGCCTGGAGAGTCTGATTTTGCTGTTCCCACTTGATAGATCAGGAAGGGGAAGCACAGAGAGGATAAGGCAGGCAGGGCAGCCACAGAGGAAGGACAAGGTGGAAGTTGAATCTGGAATCAACCCAAAACATGGAGATTTTTTTTCCCCCTGTATCAAGGCTTCTTGCCCACAGTAGAATCTTCTGGAGACACAGATGGCCTAACTCCATTATCTGAATTTTGGAGTTGGTGGGTCTGGAATGGGACCCCCAGCAGGTGACTCAAAGGTGCAGGGAGTGGCTGGGTGCACAGCCTGCTTGGGACCAAGCAGCTCTGCTCCTGGAATGTTGGCACAGCCCAGACCTGACCGCTGTCCTTCTCAGCCTTTCCCTGCTTCACCCACAAGAGGAAGGCTGCCACTGTCTTCCCAGAGTGTGACTTTACCAGCTCGCACCCCTCTGGGCAGTGTAAATGTGGGTCTCCAGTGATGGCCTCACCTCACCTGGGAGTCCTGGAGAGCCCTCTCATCAGAGGCAGCCACTATTTTGTTCTCTTGATGGGGCAACAAGTTGGACTAAAGTTTGCTTTTCATTACTCTTCATAGTTCCTAAGCAAAGCTTTAGTTCTTGCTCTATATTTATTTGTTTTTTATGTATCTGAAAGGCAGAAAAAAGAGATAAACTTTCATCACCTGGTTCACTCCTCCAATGCCTGCAGCAGGTAGGGCTGGGTCAGACTCGGGCAGGAGCCTAGAACTCGAGAAACCTGTTTTGCAGGTGCCAGGAACATAGATACCCGTCACCACCTCCTGCCGGCCAAGGGGAGCCTGACAGGAAGCTGAAATCCAGCACGCAGTCTGCTAGGGGTTATGATTGTCCCAGGTGGCACCAAGTGCCCACACTTCTCTCTGCTTTTCAAATGGATACACAACGTTTTATGTTTCCTTCTCACAAAAGGGGCTGGCGTCGTGTTCCTGTTCCAGCTACCTGACTTCCTATTCAGCTTCCTGCTAATGTGCCTGGGAAAGCAGCAGCAGCAGATGGCCGTAAGTGCTTGGGCTCCCTCCCCGCGTGTGAGAGATCCGGGAGAAGCTCCTGGCTCCTGGCTCCGGCCTGGCTCAGTGCTGGCTGTTGCAGCTGTCTGGAAAGTGAATCAGTAGATGGATAATCTCTCTCTCTCATGCTACAAAAGAAAGAAAGGAAAAAAAAAAAAAAACTAAGGGAGAGAAGAAGCAAGGAAATGAAGAAAGAAAATAATAAATCCACTTTCTTTTGAAATGTGATATTTAGGAGTCAGAATCAGGGTTCTTTGTTAGAAACAAAACATGAAACATTCCCTGGCCTTGCAGATGCTGAACACTTCACCAGCCCTTACAGGAGTGTGAGCTCCACGCGCCCTGGACCCGGCTCCCTGGCATGGTTCTCTCTGCTCATGAGCATCTTCAGCGCCTGAAACAGACGCCCAAGCAGGTGGCTCATTTAGAAATGAGTGGAACGAGCTTTACTTGGCCCAGCCCAAAGTGAAAGCTGAGAGCACAGAGGATTATAGATTAGCCAGGACCCAGGTCCCAGGAATCGCCCTTTGAGCCTTCGGAGACAGAATGCCAGAGTGGCTTTCTTGGTCAACCAGAGACCTCAGTTCCTCAGCCAGCCAGGGGAGAAGACGGAGCTGACAGAGAGGGAAAGTCAAGGGACGGTGGGGCTGGAGACGTGAGGGGCAGAGTGGGGCAAGGGGCAGCTCCCGAGAAGGCAGAGCGAGATTGTGGCTGCTGCCAGTGTCACTCCATGTGCTAACAATGGATGTCCTGTTCGGCAGAAATAAGAAGGAACAGTTGGAGCCCGTGAAGGCCACGGTCACAGGTGAGCACTTGGTGTCGACAGCGGGCTCTTCCTTTGTGTTCAGGTGATAGAGGCGACGCTTCATGTGAAGTATTTTGGAATAGTCTAGGCAACAACACATGGGGTCAGTGATGCATGGCCCAGACTGTCACACTGCAAGTCTTCATGGAGGAGACTGAGGTGGTTCCTGTTCGTGGGAGGAGAGGATCGTGCATGTCACAACAGACTTCGTGGACAAGGAAATGGTCTGCAAGGTGACCCCTCTGAGTGTATGATGTATTTGTGCAAATGTAGGCATCCTAAGATGATGTCCAAATGAATGTGCAGGTGTGCACTTGCACAATGCATCTGCATCAGGCACCCCAGCAGTGAACACCTGCCAGTCAATCGCATGGCCCCAGGTCCACTTCTTTTGCTCTCTGCCCTCTGGGTCGCCTCTTTCTCGGGTCCCGAGTCCTCGGGTCCCCTGAGTGGCACTCCCCCCATCCTGAGGATAGCTCAGGAGTCTGCTCTGGTACACAGGGGGTTTGATTTTAGACACAGACTGCATGATTCTCAGGAGAAGCCTGCCGTGGGTGCACTTGTGCAGTGGGGAGATGGAGGTTTTCAGGGACTTGGAGCAGTCAGTTCCTAATTACGAAGCTAAGGAAAGCACAGTATCTGTTAGCTCCACGTAGGTGAGTATGACACGTGATTGATGCAGTTTGGAAGTACAGACGAGAACATAGAAGACAGCTACTTTTCCGTCGCTAGCGCTTGCACTACCTGGTCTGTTTCCTCTAAGGTTTTAAGACAGATGCACTGGGTACTGCATAGATGCTTGTTTCCAAAAGCTAACATACATGCTCGTTGCACTTTAATTCAGAAAGGGGAGCCCACATAGCTGCCCCTTACGCTCTGGGATGCCCTGGACCTTGTGCCCTGCCACTGGGTCTCCCTGGCAGCTCCTGTGTCCTGAGGAGGCTTGGTGGGACATCCTGGTAGTGGCTCCAGCCCCATCTCAGGGCAACACTGTCCCAGCAGAAGTGCAGTGCGTGCCCCATGTGTGCTTAGAGTCTGTTCTATTGGAGAGAAGGGGTGAGGTGCTCCCATCTGCTGATGTATCCTGCAGTTGGCCCAGGCCAAAGCCAGGAGCCTAGAACTCAATCCAGGTGTCCCACGTGGATGTTGGCCACCACTGCTGTCTTCCAGGGCCTGCATTAGCAAGAAGTACAATTTTCTGCTAGACACATTTAAACTAGGAGGAAGAAACAGGCAAAATGACTCACGCACGTGTGTGTCTGTTAATACCATGCCTGCGGGAGATGATCGATATTAAACACTGCTCATGAGATCTTTTAGCTTTTCCTACTCAGTCTTGGAAATGTGCTCTGTGCATGAATGCTCTCCCACAGCCCCAGCCTGGCCTGGCAGCCACGTTGAAGGTGCTCAGTGACCACGTGGCACTGCCAGCTGCCACACTGGGTCGCACGGCTCTGGACTGTCGTTGTGAGACAAGCACCCTCTGTCTGAAGGACAGCCCACATCCGAGTGAGGTTCTGTTTTCTCCGGCTCCTTTGCTGGGTCTGGAGTGTGGCTTCTGTCACAGTATGCACCGGGGCTCGTTTTCTTCTCTTTAATGAGATGATGTCTATACATCTTGGCATCCTTAGTACTGGCAAAATGCCAGGCATTTTATACATCTTCTAGAAACAATCCAAAATGGAGAGGCAGGTGCAGCATGCGGCACGGGGGGCTCTGCAGCCCCAGGGCTGTCCACAACACTTTCTTCCCATTTTGGCATCTGGCCTTTTTTCTCCCAACAGGCCAGATTCCTCCGTGGCTGCAAGGGACACTGCTACGCAACGGGCCTGGGATGCACACGGTCGGGGAGAACACGTACAACCACTGGTTCGACGGCCTGGCCCTCCTGCACAGTTTTGCCATCAGAGACGGTGAGAGCGCAGGGTGGGTCTATTGAGCCCTCTGGAGTTCCCAGGTGTGCACTTCCAGTGCTCTGAGGTCACAGGTCCAAGACAGGTTCTTGACCAAGCCCTGGCACGGTTAGCTTCCCTCTGGAGGCTCCAGGGATAATCTGCTCCCACGTCTTCTCCAGCTTTCCCCAGTCGCCTGCATTCCTTGGCCGGTGGCTCACTTCTGTCCCCAAGGCCAACAGCACAGCTTGCTGTAATCTCTCTGTCTCTCCTTGCTCCTGCATCGTGCTCTGAACCAGGCCCTCCTGCTTGCCTCCCACCAGGACCAGCTGGTAATATTAACAAGCCAGAATCATCTCCCTCTCTCAAGGTCTACCGAGTGGCTTTGCCATGCCAGGTGACAGGTTCCCGGGATGAGGACGTGGGCATCTCTGGGGTTGCAGAAGCGGAAGTACATGTCGAGTAAACCTCCCTGCTGAGATGGCCACAACTCCTTTTCAGGGAGTTCATGTGCATCTTCCATAAGGCAAACAAGAGTAGGTGGCAGCCCTTGGACTATGGAATCGGCCAAGGTCAAAGCAGAGAGCATAATCCAGAGCTGAAAAGAGCCCAGCTGCGTGTACCAGTCCTGGTACGGGCAGGTTGTGTCCCTCCTGCAGTAGCTGGCTGGGTGACTCGGGCAAGGAGCGGAAAGGCTGGCTCTAGGAGCGGAAAGAGCAGGACCACAAATCAGACAAAATTTTGGCTTAGGAGATGGAGCAGAAATGCTGCCGCACTGGGCTGGCTCTGGCACTCTTGTGACTTGCCTGGGGCGAGTTCTTAAGGAAGTTAGGTGGATTTGTAGGCGACTTCCACAGGGCTGGGTCACAGCATGGGAGAGTATCATTCTGAATGCTACAGGCTCAGTGCGTTTTTTCTTTTCCTCTAACTCCCATCCCCTGGCAGGAAGGAACCATGGTTGAGTCGGCCTCAGTTTTCTTCCTCAGTAAAATGGGCTTAATTCTCCTCCACTGGGGGCGTTGTAGACCCCAGCAGTGGTAAGACTGGGGTATGGAGCTTAGGGCCAGGCTATAGGCTTCTGTCCTACAGGCTCCCTGGTGAGTTCAGCTCATAGCCCTGGTTGAAAACTTCCTCCAAACCTAGAGGAAGACTTAGGGCACACCAGCCCACAGGCAGAAAACCGAGACGAACAAAAGCCTCTGTAAGGGAGGGAGCTGAGGGAAGAGAGAACGCTCGGGTCTGTGACTCTGTAAGGGTTCCAGACAGCCAAGCTCTGCTTCCTGCAGGCCTGCAGATGACAAGGTACAGGGATCACCCTCGGCCATGCCCGAGTGTTGCTACTAACAGACGGAGTCACCTACGGACAGGGTCTGAAAGCAGACACCAACATATGTGCGCATCCAGCTCGCTGCCCTGCCCCCACACCATGGCGCTTAGCCCAGTTCTCTGAGCAAGCTCCCCTCCCCTGCCCCAGGCAGGCACTTGCCTGTTTATTCTGTCCCTGCTGGAGGAATGAGGCTAATTGGGCAGTGCAGAAGGCGTGGTGGCCCCTTCTGTAATCTGTCTCATAGCCCTCATGTAGGCCGTGGGTGACACACTTTCATGAGACCTTCCCCTCCCCTTCTCCAGGCCCACTGAAGGGGCTCTGGAACAGGCTGCATTTTATGGGGAGTCTGGACTGCAACCTGGACTGCACCTTTTACTTCTCAAGGGAAGAAAATTCGGTATTGGGGCCACGCACCTTAACCAGTGCTTTTGTAGTGATGGCTCCCGGGAAGGGTGGTCTGCAGGAGGCAGGCCAGCTCAGGGGCTGGGCAGGGACAGGAGGAAGGGATGGGAGTGAGGGCGGAGAAGGCGAGGGCGGCCCTGATGTGTTGCTCTTGGGTGCAGCGTGTACCTGCAACCCAGCGTGTAGCATGTATAGACTCAACACTGCAGGCGAGTCTTTCCATCTCTGGATTTTTGTGGGTCAGAGCACAACAGGCCCAGCAGCTGTCATTCACCAGGGGCACACTGCATCCCAGGAGGCCATACAATAACCACCACTTCCTCTGCCTGCCCTGGGAAGAGAGGGAGAGAACCCCGTATCACAAAGGAGACGCTGAGGTTCAAGGAGAGAGAAATGTCTTGGTGACATCTAAAGTTGTCAACCTCCTAAGAACACCCGGTCACCTCCCACAGTCTGAGGGAGGAGCTAGTGGGACGTCCGTGTCTGCTCCAGTTCTGTTAGGAGCCCACTCTCAGCTGTTTGCCATGAAGTGCACTGGGTGTGTGTCAGGACCCCTGAAGCACACACTCCTCCTGTGGAGTCCTGGGCAGGGGCGGGTGATGCCAACAGGGCTGGGTGGGAACATCAGCCCATGGCTACGTGAGGACGGCAGAATCATCTGGACTGGCCCTGCCGAGGCAACCACAGATAGGACTTGAAATCCCATAAATCCGTAGCAGGTGTTGATTTTCCAGTGGATAAGCCAGGAATTCCATCGAGGTCTGTTACACGGGTACAAGAGCCCAAGAACTTGGGTCCTCTTGCACTGCTTTCCCGGATACGTTAGCAGGGAGCTGGGACAGAAGCGGAGCCAGCGGGACTCAAGGTGGCATCCGTATGGGATACCGGTGCTTAATCGGTGGCTTGACCCTCTGCCGCACTGCCAGCCCCGCCCCAAGTGCAGTTTTAGCAGCTGCACCAAATGTACCCTGTTCCCGCCCCTGCCAGGTTCTGCTCCTTGGTCACAGTGTAGTTTCTGCAGTTCTGTTCAGTTTGGGAAATGTCACCTGGCTGTGAGGTGCTGATGGCAAGTTTCTGGATCACACAGAAGTGGCAAACAGCTTGCTTTTGCCAAGGAAAAGGGCCAACTTTAGATGCTGGCTTTTTTCTTTTTTAGATTTGTTTTTATTTTTTACTGGAAAGTCAGATATACACAGAGGAGGAGAGACAGAGAAGATCTTCCGCCCATTGATTCACTCCCGTAGTGCCACAATGGCTGGAGCTGTGCTAATCCAAAGCCAGGAGCCAGGAGACTCTTCCAGGTCTCCCATGTGGGTACAGGGTCCCAAGACTTTGGGCTGTCCTTGACTGCTTTCCCAGGCCATGAGCAGGGAGCTGGATGGGAAGCGGGGCCGCCGGGATTAGAACTGGCACCCATACGGGATCTTGGTGCTTTTAAGGTGAGGACGATAGCCTCTAGGCTACCACGCTGGGCCCTAAATGCTGGCTTTTGGATCTAGATTATTGCTCGCTGGCTGTGTGACCCAAGACAAGGTACTTGACATCTCTGAATCTTGAGTTGTTAGGTCAGAAATGGGTCACAGGGCCTGTGAGTGTACACTTTGTACTTCAGTCGGTAGGAAATTTGAAGCCTTCGGGCATCGTTCAGGTTTTGTTTTATTTTCCTGTCATGCTTTTTCTCTGCTTGGAGTACCCTACCCGCTTCCTGTGTTGTGGGCATCAAACCAGATAATCCACAGGAAGTGCCCAACACGCCCGTGCCCCATTGGCGCGAGCTGGCAGTACCAGCTTCTTTGTCTTAAAATAACAAGGAGGGACTGCGCAAGGATCAGCTGGGAATGAATGCGGTGTCTCTCCCTACACGCAGCAGGATGGGGTGGGCATTTCTGTACCCAGTTCTCTGTTAAAACACTCCAGAACGAAACATCAGAGTGTCCAGACCTCCTTTTTTCTACAAATGCTGAAGACACACACACACACACACACACACACACACACACACACATAGAAGCATGTTCTCCAAGGGTAAAACGTCCACTAACAGGGCTGGTGTTGTGGTGTTGCAAGTTAAACTACTGCCTGCAATAACAGCATCCCATGTAGGTGCCTGTTCAAGTCCTGGCTACTCCACTTCTGATTCAGCTCCCTGCTGATGTGCCTGAGAAAACAACAGAAAATGGTCCCAGGCCCCCTGCACCCATGGGGGAGACCCAGATGGAGTTGCAGATTTCCTCTGTTAACTTGCCCTGGCCCCAGCTATTGCAGCCATTTATGGGAATGAATCAGCTGGCAAATCTCTCCCTCTTTCTCTGCCTTTCAAGTAAATAAATCTTTGGTGGGGAGGGGAATCAGCTTAACATCGTTTGCTAATTATCAGCAAAATGAGGTAGCAGCCTACCTCCTGGCTTCAAACAACCACTGAACAGCCCAGCACATGCAGAAGGCGCCCTGCTCTCAGCTCAGGCCAGCTGCCTCCACTCCTCCACCTCTGCTGGCGGCAGGCTTAGCTCCCACAGGGAACGGCCTGCACTGTCTCAGCTCTGGGCCTTTGCTCAGGGGCATCTTAGGCTGAATGAGTGGGACAACTTGTCCCTCTCCTACCTGCTGCCTCATCACTGCACAGGAATTGCATTCACCTCAGGCTTCCAGGGCTATTGCAAGTGCTGCCTCCTCCAGAAAGTCTCCGCTGATCTACTCCCACCTGGGAGGAATCCTCTGTCCCCTCCTGTCTCTTCCCCTGTATCCTTTCTCTCTCTTCTCTCAGAAGGAAGCCTTGAATATGCTATTTGCTGCTTCACAAGGCAAAAATGATCTTGCATGTGTGGTTAGGGGAAGGATCTTGAGATGGGCAGATCACCCTGGAGTGTGAGGAGGGCCTAGTGGGGTCACAGGGGCCTTAGAGATGAGGCAGGATGGACAGTGTCAGAGAGCAGAGGTGAGGCTGGCCACAGAGGTCAGGGTCGTGTGGCCTGGAGCCACGCGGTACAAGAGCCTTCTAGAAAATTGAAGAGGCAAGGAATGGGGTCTCTTGAGAGCCTCCAGGAGGAACTACTTTGTTGACACCTTAGCAGTGGTGGCTAAGTGAGACCCCTTCAGACTGTCTACAAAGCTGTAAGGAGACAGGCGTGTGTCATCTCCATCAATGGGTATGTGGCCGTCTGTTAGACAGCAGTGCAGCTGAGGGCCTCCCAGCCTGTTTGCATGGTTGGATCTGCAAATGGCAGATCCAGATCCAGTCATGCAGTGTGTTGCAGCCTTGCAGGGCCTGGCCGCATGGGGCTCCCGTCACAGAGCAGCTCTGGTCTCAGTATGGAGGTATCAGTGCTCCTCCAGCGGCTGGCACTGTCGATGGGCTGCAGAGGGCAGGGCTCCTACAGAACCAAATGGGATCCCACAGGAGCCCAGCCCGCATAGGCAGCCTCTGGACCAGTCCTGTTAGTCCAGGCCTTCCCTTGAGGGATGCCAGCATGGCAGCTGGCGTCGATGATGGCATGGGCAAGCCTGGATGGGAGAGCTGATGGAATATTTCTGAGCCTTAGTTCTCCTATATGGAAGTGGGGCTAAGCTGGGCACAGTCTCCTTGAGTGCAAACAGGAGCAAATAACGTGGCGTTCCAAATGCCAGTGTAGTAGGCATGCACGTGAGCAAGAAAGCAACGCGTCGGGGCTAATGAGCTGCTTCCTTTCCAGGCGAGGTCTATTACCGGAGCAGATACCTGAGGAGTGACACCTACAATGCCAACATCGAAGCAAACAGGATCGTGGTGTCAGAGTTTGGGACGATGGCTTACCCGGACCCCTGCAAAAACATATTTTCCAAGTAATTGTTGCCTTTGAAACTATGTCCCGTGCTTTCTTTTATCCACAAGGGTCAAAATAGCCAGGGTCAGCTCTTCTGGTGCTGAGGGCAGATAAGCAGAATGCCACATGACGGGCCTCTGACCACTCCTGTTAGGCGGTACTTGATGGCTGATAGCCAGAGGGGCAAAGGGCATTTGACAGATTATCAGATACCCTCCCGTGTGGTGGCTGGTTGGAAGTTTCTAGCACAATTACAGATGCACATTCCTGGTGGGCTAGAGAGACAGTCACTCGTGTCTGAATGAGAAGTATGCCGCAGGTATTGTTGGCGGCACCAGTGGTTGTAGAAAGAAACCAGAAACAACCCGGCTTCATCCACAGGAGAGTGGTTTCACAGTAACAATGGGACTGAGCAAGAAATTTGCCACGCAGGAGGGACGAGGGACTAGCATGCTCTCTGTGCTGTCTGCAAATGTTTCCCAGATGAACAATGAAGCAGGGAGAAGAGTGAGGAACGGAAGCAGCACACAGTAAGCTTTATTTCGTTCAAGAGCAAATTCAGACTTGTATTTGCTCACACAGGTACAAAGAAATTCTGAAGGATGCACTCAGAGAGGGGGAGCTGGCAGAGGACAGGAGAGGGGATATTTTCTACTGTGTCTGCTGTAAATCGGCTGGGGTATGATTCAACAGAGTTTCCAGCCAGGGACTTCTGCAACATGTCCTTTCTGCTGCTCTTAATACGTATGAAAGGATTAGGAAGAGGCTGGGCCAGAGATGGAAGACTGCTCCTGCTTTTCCAGAACTGACATCATCTCTCCCATTCCCGCACCTGGCCCAGGGCGGGCACATGCCCAGCCCTGAACTCAGGGGAGGAGCCCGTGAGAGAGAGGGGGGCATTCGTGAATTGAAAACCACACACTTGGAGCTTCCTTGCAGTTACAGAATCGGCCAGTGGGGGGAGCACTCCCAGCATACACGGCCTGCCCGAGGATTTTCTCGCAAGCCTTGGGTTTTCTTTCCTCTTAGGCTGATTTTACCTCTGGTTACATGAAAGTACTCATTCCTGAGTATTAATTTGTTTGGGGAAAGAACTGATTTTCTGGAGAAATGTATGACAACCATGATGAAATCATATTCCTGTCCAAGTGGGGCCTGGGAGTTTTCTGGACTTGGGGGGCTGTGAGGGGCACCTGGTAGGTTTCTGAAGAGCTTCTTCAAATCCACCCCTGTACCTGCGGGCTTTGGGCTGGGAGAAATTCAGATCTGTGTGTGAGTCCAGGAGGGGTCAGTTGGTCGCCATGCTGTCCTGAGGACTCAGTGTGGGGGTGTCTTTGGGGAACCTGTATACCTGAGTTCCCAGGATTCCCTGAGTGACCCATTGAGACCCAGGACTTTGAGTGGAATCAACTCCAGGGTGGAACTTTCTGGAGAGACAGCTGTCAATCTGCTTTCTTCTCAGGGCCTTCTCCTACTTGTCCCACACCATCCCCGACTTCACGGACAACTGCTTGATCAACATCATGAGGTTCGGAGAGGACTTCTACGCGGCCACGGAGACCAATTACATCCGGAAAATCAACCCTCAGACCCTGGAGACCCTGGAGAAGGTATGGGCTAATCTGTAAAGGGCACCACAGAAGAAAGGGACCTCCTTTAGGACAGGTGGGGGGGAAGTTGCCTGCAAGGAGCTCCTTAGGGTCCCCGTCCAAGGCAGTTCCCCCAACACAACCTTGTATGCAAAGCTCCCTGAGGGCACGGAGTGAGCCGTCTTCATCCCTGTGACTGTTGGCTCTTGTGGCTGTTGTAACAAAGCTGCACCGGTTAACCACCAGGTAGCCTGAAGCTATGCCGGGTCCCTCGAGATGGCAGCCACGGTGACGTCTTAGCATGCGTGAGTGCCTTCATGGTGTTCACAGGGTGACAAAACTACCTACGAGAGCTTTCACAGAATGTGCGCTCAGCCCTAAGCAAGGCATGTCTACACCATAGGCTGGGTGACTTGAAGCCACAGAATTTACTGCCTCGCCCGTGTGGAGGTCCAAAGCCTGAAACCCGAGTGTCTGAAGGTTAAAAGAGGGTCCCTCCTTGTCTCTTCTGGTTTCTGGTGTTACCAGTCCCCTTGGGCTGGACATGGAGACATGCCATCCCAGGCTCTGCCTCCATCGCAGTGTGACATTTTTCCTGTGTCCCTGTGTGTCTAATTATGCCACTTTTGTAATGGCACATAGCATTGGGTGAGAGCACACCCTAAATGCATTGTGACATCATCTTTTAAAAACATGCTAATTTTATTTGTTTGGAAGGCAGAATTAGAGAGAGAAATATTTTCCATCTGCTGATTCATTCCTCAAATGGCTGCAGTAGCTCAGGGCTGGGCCAGGCCAAAGCCAGAGGGCTAGAACTTCATCCTGGTCTTGAACTACCCTCTGCTGCTTTCCCAGACACATTAACAGGGAGCTGGGCTTGAACCCACACTCTGGTGTGGGCTGGCATGGTCTCAGGCAGCACTTAACCCTCTGTACCACAGCTCTGAGCCATGACCTCCTCTACCTTACATGTTAAAGCCTGCGTTTCTAACTGGGTCCACATTCCTGAGTCCCAGGGTTAGGATCTCAACATTATCTCCTTGGAATTCACGGTTCTCCCATAGCTATCTTCTCGGCCCTGCAGGAGCTCAGCTGCTGTTTGGAGGAGTGAGAGAGCTGGAGCACCTGCAAGGTCTGGCAGCCCTTCCTTGCACTGACCTGAAGAGGGAGGCATTAGCAGGGAGCCACAAAAGCAAGTGCCCCAGCAGATCCAGTCAACATTTCATGGCAATCAATAGACCCACTTAGGACTTCTTCCAGCCGGTTGCTCAAAGCCTGATGTCTCGGCAGTGCACTTGAGTGGGCTGGCAAAGCGATTGCCTTTCTTAGCTGGGAAGATGCCCAACTCCTTGTAATATGAAGGGCATGGGTCTGACTGATGCATGCTTTCCACACAGGAGGAGGCAGAGCTTGGGAGCAACTGGGAGCAACTTGGGAGTAGCTGGAGCTACTCTGGGGGGAGGAAGGAAGTGCTGGCAGTTAGTTTCCGGCCACCTTATGGTTCTGGGAGAGGGGCTCATTAGGCCAATTGTTCCTGAAGTTTCTTTCACTTTGATCTAATGACCTGCTCTCTGGTGGTCTCTGCCCAGGTCAGTGCTCAGAGCTCTTTACAGTTTCGGGTCAAAGGCAGGTGTCAGGCCAGGACAGCAGCCACAGAAAATAGTCCAACTTACCAACTCCCTGCAACCTGGTTGTTCTTGGAGCTTCCGCCCAACCCCATGTGATTTCCTGTCAGGTCCCATCAAGCCTCCAGAACGACTGAGGTGCAAGTTCTGCCTTAGTGTCCGATCAGGGAATGCGTGGAAAACAAAAGCAAAACCTTCCCTCTCTGAATCTGGAAGGGGTTGGATTTTGCCTTCTTCATTTAAAACTGGGTGGCCACTGTGTTCTGCAGGTCGATTATCGTAAGTACGTGGCAGTGAACCTGGCAACAGCGCATCCTCACTACGACACAGCTGGAAATGTTCTCAACATGGGCACATCCATCGTGGACAAGGGAAAGACAAAATACGTGCTGTTTAAGATCCCGGCCACGGTGCCAGGTAGGTTGTCACAAAGCAGAAGAGCCCGGCATGGCTCTTTCTAATGAGCTCGACTGTTGAGCTGGGGAGGATGCTTCCCTGACAGGTGGTTCAGATGACCACAGACCCAGTTTGCTTCTAGAGCAGACAGGAAGAACTGCTGGGATTCGTTGTGGAATTCTAACCTTTTCTTTAGGCCCCAGTTTATTTATCTGTTAGATGACCCATCCACCTGCCCACCCATTCATCCATCAGCCACCCACCCACATATTCATCCACCTTTTCTGCTACCCATCCATCCACCCGTTTATTCACCCATACACCCCCCTATCTACCCATCTACCCACCAAACATCCATCCATCTACACATTTATTTATCCACCCATCCATCCATTCACTCACCCATTCACCACTCATCCATCCACCTGTCCACCTGTTCACTCACTCACCCATCTTTTCTACCTTTGTCTTCAGGTTCTGGTACTTTACTGCATTCATATTTTCATCACTCCCCCTTCCCCCTTGTCTTTACCTGCAGACACACCTATCTGTACCACGGCTTGCCACCTACTTGCTCCCCAGTCCCTGCGGCCAGTCTTCTGGGGTTGATCAGAGAGCTTAGCCTGCTGGGAGCCATGCCAGAGCCCCACCCTGCTCTCGGGGCTTTCTGAGCCTTCTCTGTTGAGGGCCAAGATTCTGGAGCACAGTCCAGGCTGGCTGAGATTGCATGTCCCTGAGGCGGCAGAGGGGGAGGCTCCCAGCCCATGTTTGTCCAGAACCCTCCTGGGAACCACACCCAGGAGAGCAGGCTCTGAGGGCAGCGGCGCAGGCCTCGGGAGGCAGAGGAGGAACGGGAATGCTCGACTCGTCCTTCTGGTTTAGGACAGCTGTCTCCATCTGTCATTCCTGCCACTCCTGTGGAAACTCCCGTGCCAGTTGCCAGGCTCTGTCAGAAGATGTGAGCCCCTGAGGTCAGAAGGTACAATAAGCATTCTTTAAATGGAACCTCCCTGGTGGTAAGCCAATAAAATGATAGAGGGTCAAGTTCAGAATCCTAGAAGGTCAGACTGGGGGCTCATCTGGGCATTAGAGTTTTTCACATTACAGAGGAGGACTGAGGGGTGCAAGGGGGACACCGAGGGGCATGGCCGCGGTGACAAGCATCCACAAGCCACAGACATCACGCAGGCAGCAGCTATGAGCACCAGTGGCATGCTGGGGCAGCAGAGTTCACGCCCAGACACCCGCTCCCGAGGCAGGGTACTTTTCATTTCAGCATGCATTGTGCTCCATTTGTTTTGTGAAGAAAGGAATCAGCCCACAGCCCCACGGCGGCCCTCCCACCAGCCAGCTGGTTACAGTGTGCACAGGTGGCCTCCAGAGGGGTGGGGCTGTTTGCAGACAGCTCAGCACCACCCAGCCGCCCTGGGCCTGGGTGTGGAGGCCTTCTGGCCAGGGCTTGACTCATCCTGGGAGGACTCAGAAAACCCACGTGTGCCGAGCCCCGCTGGTGGCTGGGTGCCGGGTGAGCAGCTCACCCTCCAGCATGCTCTCATTCTGTTCCCAGCCTTCACCACCAGAGGAGAGGCTGGGTCTTCCACGTGTAATCCCGTGACTTTGACCGCAGTGCTGGGCAGCCCGTGCCTCGGCTCCCTGTTAAGCACAGGGACATCCTCCACCCTGGCTTACTTTCTCATGATCCCCGTGAATGTCCCTCGTCACAATAGGCCTCTTGGTCCTGTGCTTAGTTGTGTTGGAATGGACGGAGAATCTATTGAAAAAGCTCTCAAAAACGTATTGGATGATGGTTCTGGCACAAGCCCAAAGATGAAGCCTCGGAAACAAGCCTGACATGCAGAATTCCAGGCCCCATCCCAGCACATGGAGTCAAACCTCTCTCTCATCCCACTTCCAACCAAGGGCCGGCTTAGGGCTCTGCGAAATGCGTGGTTTCTGGGGACTCAAGCTGGACTCTGGAAAGCAAAAGCAGGTGCAGGCAATGTAAGCAGCAGTAAGTCCTGAATAAAGCTTTCTTTACAAAAGCAGGTGATTGCTGGGCTGAGCTCCCAGGCCCTGTCATCTCCCCTCCCCGCTCCCCTCCCCACCGGCCCCCAGGGCCTTGAGGCTTTCTCTGTGTTTCCCTGGAAATCCAGAGTGGACTGTGATGGCCAGGTCTGAAGGGATGGTGTCAGACTCTGGCCCCTGCCCAATTCCCAGGCCTTGCTTTCCCACAGAGGCCAAGGAGAAGAAGAGCCCCCTGAGGGGCGCCGAGGTCTTCTGCTCCATCCCCTCCCGCTCCCTGCTCTCCCCGAGCTACTACCACAGCTTTGGCCTCACCGAGAACTACGTTGTGTTCCTGGAGCAGCCTTTCAAGCTGGACATTGTCAAGATGGCAACTGCATACGTCAGGGGCGTGAGCTGGGCCTCCTGCATGGCTTTCCACCCAGAGGACAAGGTATGTCCTAGGAGAGAGGGAAGGAGGGAGGACAGCCTGTGAGAGATTCAGGGAGGGCGGAGGTAGCCCCCAACAAAGGCAGCAAGGCCTCAGTGCCCAGGGCTTGCCGGGCTGCTCACACCCTCCATCACCCATTGCCAAGGTGCGTCTGGCATCTTTGCTACCACTGTGTGATGTGGAGTTGGGAGACAAGAGGAGGTGAGCCAGAGGCTCCTGAGGCACTCTAATGATAGAATGCCCCCCCAGGTGGTCCAGCAGGTGCGCTAAAGGCTCCAGGTCTCTGTGTGTACGCACTGATGTGTAAATGTGTGCGGGGCAAACGTGTGTATATGTCACAGGATGTGTCAATGCAGAGCAAGGGGGGTGTCCACTGGGCACCCTCCAGAGAGGGGCAGCTCCTGACAGGCAAGGGCCTCCAGAGCACAGTGCCGGCCTTGTCAGGTGCACGTCTCCTTCCAGACCTACATCCACATCATCGACCAGAGGACGCGGAAGCCGCTGCCCACCAAGTTCTACACTGACCCCCTGGTGGTCTTCCATCACGTCAACGCCTACGAGGAGGACGGCTGTGTCGTGTTTGATGTCATTGCCTATGAGGACAGCAGCCTCTACCAGCTCTTCTACCTGGCCAACCTGAACCAGGACTTTGAGAAGAACTCCAGGCTCACCTCGGTCCCCACCCTGCGGAGGTTTGCTGTGCCGCTCCATGTGGACAAGGTAATGACTCCCGGGATGCCTCAGTTTCCTCCCGGGGACCTGAGTCCAGGAAAGAAGTCACACAGTCGTTCACTTGGTTGACAGTGAAATCAGAGTGACGCATGCCTACTGACAAGCCTGTCCTTCATGGATGCTTCTGGAAGTGATCTAGATAAGTAGCAGTATGTTTAGAAAGTAAACACAAAGGACCAAGTAAAATTCCCAGAGCTATGCAACTGTCACCACAATCAGTTATGTTTTTAAAAATTATCACTTTCAGCATTACTTGTTTTGTTTGACAGGCAGAGAGAAACAGATCCATCTGCTGATTTGTGCTGCAAATCCCACAAAAGCTGGGACCTGGCAGTAAGCCACAAGCTGGGACCTCCACATAGGAGCAGGCAGCAGAGGCCCAAGCACTCGAGCCCTCCCTGCTGCCTCTCAAGGGTGCATTAGTGGGAAGCTAGACTCAGAAGCAGAGCTAGGACTCGAACCCAGGCCCCATGGCATGACACGGGGTCCCAGGCAGCATCTTAACTGCTGGGCCAAATGCCCCTCCACAACAAATACAGGACATTTCCTTCAGTCAAAACAAGAATCGCACATCCCTTAGCCACCGCCTCTCAGTGTCCCTCCACTGCCCGGCTGCCCCAGCACCACCCAGACAACTGTGAGTCTGTGTTCTGCCTGCACCTTCTATGTTAGTCATTCTTGTGCAAAATGTTCTAACAAGAAAACTATGCCTGGGTGTCAAAGCTTTTTGCATCAACTAAACTTATCGGGAGAGAAGTTTAACCTAGCAGCTAAGAGGTTCACATCCAACACCAGGGTCCCTGGGTTCAGCCCCCACTTCTGGCCGCTGACTCCAGCTTGCTGCTGATGCAAACCCTGGGAGGCACTGTGATAGACCAAGCGAGCCAGCGAGTGACACCCCATCCCCGACGGAGCCCTGGCTTCAGCCCTGGCCTGGGGCATTTGGAGAGTGAGCCAGTGGAAGGGAGTGCTTGCCCTCTCTCACTCAGTCTCTGCCTTTCAAGTGAACACATGAAACTTTTCAAACATAAATACAATGTCTTCTGCTTCCACACTCTGCCACCTTCCTGAAAGACTTTGGGAGGCAATTTTGTAGCTTCCATCGTGTTTGCCAGGTCGCTTCGCAGAGTAGTGGGTCTCCATGGTGCTGACTGGTTACTCAGTATTTTGGGTTCCACTGTTCTGACCCATATATTGACTGCACGTCTCTCCCTGGCAGGCTGCTTTCTTCAACAGCCTCTTTTTAAGTGCCCTCCTGGCAGCCTGTGCAGGAACCCATCACTGCACCGTGGTCTCCTGACTCCAAGCAGCTGTGTGGTCCTCATGTGGTCAGGGTGGAAGCTCTGCTGAGGCTCAGGGCTCCCTGGGAGGCTCCAGATGTTACTGACTTCATGCTTTAATTAATTTAAATGAAACCAAATTTAATTCAATTACATTTTGATAGCCCACATTTACCAACTGAATTCCATGTGCCAGGTACTTTGCTAAGCATTTTCTTTTCCTTACCTCACTTTCATGATCGCAGCCAGCTGTGGGAGAGGTCCCTAGAGTAACCTCATCGTAGAGATCAAAGGTTGGTGGCTCAGAGAGAGTAAGGAGCATGCCACAGGTCACACAGCCCTATGGGCCACAGCCAAGCTGGGAGCCATCTTTAAGTCTGCAGGGTTTTTGTTTGTTTAAGATTTATTTTTATTGGAAAGGCAAATTTACAGAGTGAAGAAGAAACAGAAAGCTGTTCCATCCACTGTCTCACTCCCCAAATGGCCACAACAGCTGGAGCTGAGCTGATGCAAAGCCAGGAGGCAGGAGTTTCTTCCTAGTCCCCCAAGGATCTGGGCCATCCGCCACTGCTTTTCCCAGGCCATAAACGGGGAGCTGGATTGGAAGTGGAGCATCTGGAACATGAACCGGTGCCCATGTGAGATCCTAATGCTTGCAAAGGGTGGATTAGCTAATTGAGCCATCCTGCCAGGCCGTAAACTCACAGTTGTAACTGTTAAGGGCTGAAAAGGCTGCTGCTGTCCTGGACGGAGCCCCAAGTTCTGTAGGCCTGTAGAATATTCCCTGGAATAGTGTCTCCCCTCCTTACCCATGGGGCAGGTTTTGGCCAGATGCCTAGCAGCGAGCAGCACCCCAAGTTAGTCTGCTGTGCAGCTGGCTTCTCTGTGTCCGCAGTGCCTCCTCAGCCTGCCTCACTGTTGGCCGTGTCTCAGAACACTCCTGCTTAACACTTGCAGAGTCACCTCTGTGCTGCCATCTACTCACTGTTCCCTAGACTGAGGCAAGAGGAAGTGTGTCTGCTTAGGAGGCAGCAGCCCTGCTGGCTGCACAAAGCTGAGTGTGACAATCAGTTGAGGAATAGCAGGTGTCTGTCTTCAGCTTGAGGCTAGGGGTTGTTACTGGCCAAGACGCAACCCTGTCTCTGTTGCATCCAAAACTGTCTCGTTGGCCACTCAAAAGGTGGAGAGAGAAAATGGGCTCACTTTCTCTCTGTGTGGCCACACACGAGGCTCAGGCCCTGTTGTCTTACCCAGGAGGCACTGCAGCGCAGGAGGAAGCAGGGGGACGTTCCCAAGGCTGATGTCAGCCCAGTGTTGTGCAGGGTGGAGCCGCTGCCTCCTTTGGCTGCACACCACGAGATTGTGTCACCTTCACCGCTTCAAGAGGCAGATGGCTTCCATGGAGCCACGCGAAAAAGGTTAGCGTGTGTATTTATAAAAGCTGCCGTGCATGTTGTGTGTTGCTCTGAAATAGCAGAAGTCAGCAAGCCCCGGGCTGACCACACTGTTTGATGGCTGTTTATGGGTCCTTAAATGTGTCTTCTTCACTTTCAAGTTGTTGCACTTGCAAAGGCAGGCAAAACAGATCGTGTGAGAAGCCACGACTCTGGCTCCAACCAGAGCTACGCCTGAGGTGCCCTCTGCTGGGGTGGCCTGCATCTCAGGACCTGTGGGTCTAGCAGGGTCTTGCTCAGCTCTCCTTACTTCCCTGGGATGAGTGCATGCTCTTGCTTGCCTGTCTCTGTACTGTGAAGCACTACAAGGGTTCAGTACTCTGGAAGCCAAGATTCTCTTTGTCTTGTAGCTCTATCCCCTGTACTGGAGGACACTTGTTAAACTCTCAAATATCACGAATGAATGAATGAAGAGGGTGAAGCAGAGTCTCTAAAATGGCACAAAAGGAGCTAGTGCTGTGGCAAAGCAGCGAAAGCTGCATATGGGTACCTACTCATGTCCTGGCTGTTCCATTGCTGATCCAGCTCCCTGCTAATGGCCTGGTGAAAGCAGTGAAGGATGGTCCCAGTGTTTGGACCTCTACACCCATGTGGGAGACCTGAATGAAGCTCCTGGCTCCTAACTTTGGCGCGGCCCAGTGCTGGGCATTGTAGTCAACTGGGCAATGAACCAGCAGATGGAAGATCTTTGTCTCTCTTTATAACTGACCTTCAAATCAATCAATCCTGGAGCACAAAGTCCTCCTGTGACCAGTAAGAGTCATCCAGTAGAACAGGCAGTAGTGAACTGGATCTGAGGACCCAGACTGCCCCAGATTCCATGGTCTCTGGGCCAGCTGGGGTTACGGGCAGACTGGACAGCACTGGGCCTGTTTTTGTAGAGCTGACAGTGTCTAGGGCAGGGCTTGGCAGGGGAGATGTGGCTGTGTACAGGCAATGGGGGACAGCTGCTGCCCTCATCCTGAAGGACACTGGAGCTGCCTTAGAGCCTGAGGGGCCAGGAGAGGACACACCTTGGACTTCAGTGCCTGCATCAGTAGGTTTGGGCTTTGTCTCCAAATGCAAAATTGAAAATGTATTCATTTGAGAAGCCATAGTTTATCAAGAGCACACAGTGTGTCAGGCCCTGTGTTCCATGCCTCTTCTACTCTCAGACCCTGAGAAGAGGGGGCCCTTGCCCTGAGCTGGGCATGCAGGAGCCCTCGCTGTGCCGTTTCTGTGTCTAGCACCGCCTATCCTATGTAAATAACAGTCCCCAGAGCCTACACTTCTGCCCAACCAGAAACATGTCCCACTCCAAATACACTCGCATACCTTGAACCCCATCCTGCTTTGATATCTGCTTCTGCCCTCCCAAGACCAGACTGAGCCACTGGAGTGCCCACTCCAGGGCCAGGCAGCAGCCAGGGCTGGCTAGAGACTAGGCTGTGTAGGCTGGAAGACCCCTAGAGTTGGGGACGGAGCCTGGAGTGGGTCGGGGAGGAAGACGGGCTGCCACCACACTATCCTATTGCACCTCACTCCCAAGGTGTCCTGAGATTTCGTGTTCACTCCTGCTTCCAGACTACCTTTGCGCACTATGCAGGCTTTGTTGCTGGGACAGTCCCTCTGTCCACTGTGGTCACTGCTGCCAATGTGCGCTGATGAGTGCTTTAGCCAAGGAACTAAATTTTCTATTTTTCTTATTCTCGGTTAAAAGATTCAAACAGAACCTATGGCTGGTGTTACCCTGTTGGGCCCTGGGGTTCCCCCAGCATTGCCCAAGTCTATGTGCTGAAACAGCTGGGGAGAGGACAGTCTGCCTCTTTGCTTGGCAAGGTTGCAATGGTAACATCTTGTTGGTGAACCTCTGGCTGTGCTCTCATCCTGGGTCCTGCACATCCAAGGGCCCAGTAGATGCTTTGCTAATCCACATCCCTACTCTCAGAAATATTTGTTATCCTCATAGCCACAAATGACAGAGTAACTCACCCAGCCCAAAAGGATTGTCTGTGTGGTGTTTGAGCTGAGGTTGGTCACAAGTTGTTCTTCCTCCCAGGGATGAGGATGGGTCTAGCCAGCCCTGGCCTGGGGGCGTTCATAGCTATTATTGAATTGAATCCTAGCCATAATGCTCAGGTGCAGGGCAAAGCAATATGACTTAACATTCAGTACCAGGCCAGTGACGGATGGGGGAGCAGGCCCAGCCACACTCACTGTCAGACTGTACATCCACGCTGAGGCTCTGGGTGTACCGCATCCCTAAGCTATTGCCTTAGCAGCTGCAGGGTCTTGTTGAATCCTGACTGCAAAGTGATTTCTTCCCAAAGGTGTACAGCTTGGCCTCTGCAAGCAGCCGAGTCACGGTGGTGGCTGCTATGTGTGGAAACATTTGGGCGTCTCCCTCAACCAGTCTGACCACTTTCAGGCTGTAGACTCTGGCATCAAGGCCCGGGCAGGCCCAGCAAAGCAGCAGGCAGGCCTCCAGCTGACTGCAGGCAGGCGCCGTGCAGATGCAGGTGTTGGAGCTTCCGTTCCTGGGATGTCCTGAGGACTGGGAGGCTCCATCAGTGCTCCTCATCTCTTCTGCCCCTCACTCCCAACCTGCTGAACATGTGTTGGGCCCCCTGGTGCTCAGTGGAGAAGCTCATGGGGTCATGCATTCTTTCATTCTCTCAGAATAGTTCCTTCCCACGTGCTGTATGCTATGGACTGGCTGAGCAAAATCTGACCCTTGACTTTGTGGGGAAGACAGGCCCAAGAGAAGGAAACAGCTTTGCAAAGGGAATCATTGCAGACCAGGACAAATGCCTGAGAGACCGTGTAGATTTAGATTGAGGTGTTAGACATAGCATGAGCTGAGCTTGCTGGGATGGAGCCAGCCTGAGAGCCTCTCACCAGCTTTGGCCTCTTGCTCTGGACAGGGGAATCGCATTGTGTGGGACTGGCCCTGGGCACTGCCTCTCTCTGTGTGGCTTTGGGCAAGTCACCTTCTTCCTCTGAGGCCTCTGTCTCCTCTGTATAAACTGAGGGCTTGGACTAAAGCAAATCTCTGAGTGGAGGTGATCCTTCCCAGCAGGAAGTTGTGATGGTTCAAATAGCCTGGGTCAAATGAGAAAAGCCATTTTGAAGATTTTGAAAAGGAAGATGTAAATGAGAAATCAACCCTAATCATGATCTTCTATAATTTTGTTCCTCAGTATCTTCTAGGGCGACACCCACCCTCTTAGCATGGCTGCCATGAAATAATTATTAGAATCAAAATGGCATTGCTAAAAATAAGCAGTTCTCCTTACCTGCAGCTTCAGTTACTTTCAACCATCCGCAGTCCAAAATTATTTAGGGGGATCTCCGTGAGTGTTATATCACATGCTATTCTGAGCATCGTGATGTAAATGTGCATCTCCTCTGCGCAGTGCAAGAGCCTTCTCTGTGCAGCCGACCCACACTGCATGCTAGCTGCCGTCACCTGGGGACGCAGTTATCAGTGCTTATTGATGCAGTTATTGTCTGGTTTCTGGTATTCCTGTGGGCCTTATGCATCCCCCGCGGATGGGGGTCGGAGTATGGGGGACTGGATAACAAAGACGGTATCATCAACCAAAGCAGCTCACATGTTTCTAGCACTTCCTATTAACCAGCCACGCTCCGTAAGCTATTGGTGTGGATGGTCTCTTTTACTCTGCTGGAATGCAGGGAAAGGCATTGCTCCATCATTACCCACATTATGCAAATGAAGCAGCAGAACTTCAGGGTAACCCATGGTTAGAGTGAGAGTTGATCAGGGTGGGAAGGATCGAGGGTTAGGGAGAAGTGGCTGTGACCATTGTTTCTTCTTCCTGTATCTGGAGGATGGGGGAAGATAAGGGGAGGAGCCACACCCAGCCTTCCAACCACCCCAGTCTCTGGGGATGGGGAATGGCTACCCAGTACTGACCCAGGGACCCAGTGTGGTGCACACTCTGAAGGTGCTGCCCGGATGGATTCAATAGTTCTGAAATGCTGTCGATCTCGCCGATCCAAGGATGAGGGAACACTTTTGATATCCATCGGCTGACACGGTTGACCTTAGTGTCTCCATTTGCTAAAATGTTTGCTGTCATCATTTGGCATTTGGCTGGAGTAGTTGTCCAATTTGCTCTGTTCTACTTCCTCTGCTATGGTACCAGATGTCCTCTGTAGGCTCCAATGGACTGCTGTATCCTCCGTGTGTATCCAGGCCTGCCATCCACTGTTCTGTCTTTTCCAATGAGGACTAGTTTTAGCAGCCGGGGCCCTAGGACCCAGGACAGTTGACCCGGGCCCAGTATGGCCTGTTTATTGCCATTTCAGCAATGATACCTTTTCATGAGAGAAATAACTAAAACACAGGAAAAGAAATTGAAGACCCCACAATCTCACCATGTGCAAGATCTTACAACATGCTTGTCATGAGCTTTCTGAAGACCCATCAGAGGCTTGGGCTTCAGAGACATTTTGCAACAAAATAAACTCATCTTTTAATTCCTTTTGCCATGAACTTTTGAAGCAACCTCTTCTTTCACTTCAATGTCATTTTTAATGTGGCTGAGTTCCGACTGCCTGTGAAATTTATCAGTATGCTTCCCCCCGCCACTGTTATATCATAGGCATTTCTTCTGTCATTGTAAACTCTTTATAAACAGCCTCTTCACGGCTGATGCAAGCTTTTACAGGTGAATCATGCCATGGTTAACTAAGAAGCGACTCTCAGAAGCACAGCAATTTTCCCTGGGAGGGTGAAAGCTGCACAAAGTGAGAGCAACAAGCCATGGCTCTAAGAGCCTGGCTCCTACCGCCCACCAGCTACGTGACGTTGAGGCAGCCACTCCAACCTGCCAGTTCTCATTTTAAAAAATTAACAACGATAAAACAGCTACTTCCTCTGGCCTTTGAGGCCAAGCATGACAACATACATTAATATAGTTTTAAACTGTACATGGCTTTACTCTGGACAACAAGTTCTTTTTGTTTGTTGCTGATTCTTTTCAGAATGCAAAAGTGGGCTCCAATTTAATCAAACTGACATCCACTACGGCAACAGCCCTGAAGGAGAAAGATGACCAAGTCTACTGCCAGCCAGAATTGCTTTATGAAGGTAAATTGCATCTTTGACCTGCCTGTAGGGAGGGGCTCCTTGCTGTGGAGACCCCAAGGCCTTTCCTTGACAAACCTGTCACAAGATGAAAAGCAGAAGCTCCTGCCATGCTCCCATGTGGGGGACATGCCTCTTTCCTGTGTCTTAAAATACAGCCTTAGGGACCTTCTACAAATGCTGTGGCTTCCTCACCACTGGCTTACTGAGCAGAGTAAAGCAGTCGCATTTGTGTGTCTGCACCATCTCAGTACCTGCAGAATAAGTGTTGTGGGTGGCACGTGACAAAGGAGACCTGAGAGATACAGAGTTGCATGGAGAAGAGGCGCCTCAGGACAGCTACCCCACACAGGAGCAGTGCTTGTCCACCTGAGTGTCACAATGTCCCTGGATGACTTATGCTTGACTCTGGGTCTGTGGCATGTTGAGCGGTATCCCTGATCTCCTTCACCCACTGGATGCAGGGGACAAACCCTACCCTGAATTACAACAACCAGAAAGTGTCTCCAGATGTTGCTAACATCCAGTAACAGGTGCCCCTGCTCCAAAAGTAAGGCCATTAGAGCAGGGATGGTGTTTCTGGGGAGTCTCAGCAGCACCTAAGATGAGACAGATGTTGCACAGAGGGGGCAGTGCCTGAACTTCCAAGGGCAGAGTTGGGGTGAGGGCTTGGCCTCACAGTCAGGGTGCTGTTTGGGATATCCACATTCTATGTCCAAGTACCTAGCTTTGAGTCCTGACTCTTCTGCTGACTCCAGCTTCCAGTTTATGCAGAGCATGGGGGCAGAGGTGTCGGCTCAAGCATTTGGATCTGCGCTGCCCACAAGGGAGATCTGGATTGGTTCCCTGCTTTGGCCAGGCCCAGTCTCAGTTGTTGTGGGCATTTGGGAGGTGAGCCAGCCAATGGGAGTTCATATTCTCTCAACCAATCAACTAATCAATCAAACATAAAATTACTGAGCAGGCAGGCTCAAGCACACTGCTAGAAGTGGCAGAGTGGATTTAAACTCAAAATATGGCTGAGTTTAAATCCTGCCCCAGACTGGGGTCAGGCATCAGGAAGGTTAACTGTCCTGGGAACTCTCCCAGGGTGACCTCAGGTTTGCCAAGAGGAGCCACTTGTATGAACAGTAGCCCAGCTGTGTCGCATCGCTGCCTTGGTCTGTGTGGAAGTGAACATGCAAGTGTAGACTTGTCCCCAGCTCTTAAGGCCTTGCCTCCATGCTCGCTTCCCCAGCCCATCTCATGGCAGATCTGGTGACTTGAGACATTACTTTTCGATTGTCATGGTTACCATTGTTTAATGTGGCAATGTTGTATGCTTCTGAAACGTCTAAGCAAAGATAGTTGCTCCTAACTCTTCCACTGTGCCCCCTGGGAACTGCCGTCCTGCCTTGCCTTCACAGGTGGTTCTGTGCCAGGCCCTCACCACCACTTCTCGGATATCCTACCATTTCACCCTCCCCCCCGCCAAGGGTTTGCTGTTATTGCTGACATTCAAGGGGTTCACAGGCATCCAGGCTTTAGCTCTGGACCTGGCCAGTGGTGGGATCAAGCAAATGGTACCATTGTAGGGACAAGTGCCAGGACAGGTTGCAGATGGCAAAGCTGAGAGCAGCAAGGTGGGCCCGGAGCTGGGATCAGCATCCAGATCCCTCTGACTCCGCAGCCCCCAGACTCTGCATTTACACTTTGGCTAAGCACACCATAGCATCTAGAATGTTCCAAAGCTGCTGCTCTCCCTCAGTGTACTTCAACTTCAGCTTTTTCCCACATCCTGAAGCCCCTTTGAGAGTGACAGAGACTCTGCAGAGGCAGTGAGACTTCAATGAACCCCTGCCTGGGGGTGGCCATCTGCAGGGGCACAGGGGGCCAGGCAGCTTTGAGAAGGGGCCTGGGAGCATTGTAGACTGCTCTGGGGCCAGCTGTGGGCACCTTGTTCTTCCTGGCACAGTGAGCGGCCCCTTTCTCACGTTCACTCTGACCTGCTCTTCGGGAGGTTGGGTTCTGGATTACTCACACGTGGGATCGAGCAGTCCCTCCCATCTCAACATCACCTCCATTCACCCTGAAGTGCAACCAATGACCACTCACACCCTGGAGTCCTTCCCCTGAGATCTTCCTGCGGTCAGCATTTCTTCCTCTGTTACGTTTGTTCTCGAACCTTCAATCCTCACTAGCAGTTGGCTGTATTACCTGGAATATTCCCTAAGAGGGGAGAAGAGCACGCTTTTAGTTCAGTATCCAGACTTAAAAATTCTGTTTAAGACACCAGCCGCCCATGAAGCCATATTATCTTTATGTGGATGGGAGTAGAATGATGTGATATTTTTGTTATGGATGTAATAAGCACAGAGGAAAAAGTACATAATGAGAAAGCTCAGAACTCATCATAGGAAAGCAGCCGTTCTCCCAACGAGGCTTCAGAAGCGCTTCTCCTGGTTTCTAATGAAGTGTGGCTTGTTCTTGGCGCCAACCTTTTCCCCTTAACCCTGCAATATTTATCATGTTACCAATAATAGCAATAGTATGCCCACATGACTAAAAGTCCTTCCTAAACATTATTTTTCCATATTACTTGCGAATTTCCCAGATGCATTTCACTATTCCCCCTTGGCAGTCCTTCCCATGACATCCAAAGTTTCGCTTCACACCCACATACATTAGTGTTGGCTTTTTTTTTTCTCAAAATTTTTTTCAAAAATTGCAGTAGCCTCTGATTTTAATCAAGCAATTCTCTGATTCCTATCTTGGATAATGAGGGCTGTTTATGCATTTAGAAACCTGGGTCTCTGGATCCTGACTCTCCAGGTGTAATTATTAGGGGTTCCCTCCCCTGCCTTCGACTGCCTTTGATGCAGTCCAGGGTGGGAATCAAGTGTGGGGGTCTCTGCTAGGGAAGTGCTTTTGTGTGAAGGATGCCCAGCAGGGCCTCAACAGCCGTCTTGTTTCTCCCCAGGCTTAGAGCTGCCTCGGATCAATTATGCCCACAATGGGAAGCCGTACCGATACATCTATGCTGCCAATGTGCAGTGGAGCCCAATCCCGACCAAGGTATGGAGCCCCATAGGCTTTGAGGCCAGGTGGCCTCAAGTGAAGGTCAGGAGAGCAAAGCCAACTTGGAACAAGATGCACTTGAAGTTGTGAGGGACTCTCCAAGGAAGGAAGCTGTGCTGAACACGGTGCAGCTCAGGGCTGCGATTTACCAGCTGATGTCCCATTCTCATACCCGTGTGCTGACACCAGCTGCGTGCCACAATGCAACAGGACCTGAGTGCAGGGACATCCCAGACCCTGCACCCCTCGTACACAAGAGGGCATAGCCGAAACCAGGAGGGCCGGTTTTGTTAATGAAAAAGCTTTAAAAGCTTAAATAGAAGCTTTAAGAGCTTCTGTTTGTCAAAGCCATCCTGTGTTTTGGCCGAATGATGGCAGACTCTGCTTTTCTTGACCATCTTTATTTTTAAATAATAAAATGGAAAATTTATACTTATTTGATTTTATGAGTGTGAGCGAGGGAGAGACAACTCCCTTCAGCTGCTTTGCTCCCCAGATTCCTGCCACACCTGGGGTGGGGCTAAGCCAAGGCTGGGTGCCCGCTTCTCACGCCACGTCCCTCATGCTGGGGAGCAGAGACCCACGTACTTGAACCAACAACTCTGCCTCCCAGGGTCTACATGAACAGCAAGCTGGGGTCGAGAGCAGGAGTTGAGTGCGTACTCCTAAACAGACATCTTAACCTCTAGGCTAAAGTGCTTGATCTGAAAAACATTTAAACAACAGCAACAACCGCATAGCTTGTATTAGTTGACAACACGGATGCAATTGTAAGACAGTGCCAACAATGTTGGGATTTTTACCATTTAAAAAGACTGTCCCACAGTACCAGCTATGTAATGGTTCATATCTAAAGTTAGAGGAGGAGGAAAGTCTGATTCTTCCAGCTCTGCTGTGATGACTAGAGAAGACTTCAAATGTCTAAGCTTGAAGGAGGCTGTATGGCGAAACAGATTCAGCCCCTGTTTGGGATGCCACATTCCATTTGGGAGTACCCAGGTTCAAGTTCCGCCTCTGCTTGCAATCCACCTTCCTACTAATGAACATACACCCTGGGAGGCCTTGGGTCCCTGCTACCCACGTGGGAGGCTCAAGTGGAGTTCCTAGCTACTGCACACATTTAAAAAGTAAATCAGCTGATGCAATATTTCTCTGTTTTTCTCCTCTCTTTTCCAAATAAGTAAGCAAACATATTAAAAACTCTACATCTGGGGAACTTGATCTTTCTCTGGTGGTCTCAGTGCCTCCTTATTTACAGAGGGAAAAAGCCTGCTCTCAAACAAGCCATGCCTACAAGTTTCTCTTCTGTCTGCAGATTCTAAAATATGACATTCTCACGAAGTCAGCCTTAAAATGGGAGGAGGAGGGCTGCTGGCCGGCAGAGCCCCTGTTTGTGCCTGCCCCAGGGGCGAAGGACGAAGACGACGGTAAGATTGAGCAGGCTGCCCCTCACTGCAGGCGACAACTGTTCTCTGAGCACATGTCAGACCCACATGTCACTCCAGGCAGCTGAGTCCCAGTTCCGACAGCTGAGCAACTCTGTGGCATCCACATGTGTCTCAGTTACAGGCTTAGGAGTCCCCAAGACCACAGCACGTCTGACACCAACTGCAAGGTCGTGGGTCGCCGAGACCACCTTCAGATTTAGTCATTCGTGACCAGGATTCACTGATCACACTGATTCCTGTGGTTATGGGTGGTTGCAGCCAAGAGTTTATGGGTTACAGTCACCGAAGGGAAGAGGTGAACGGGACAGGGTCCAGCAGGGAGCAGATAGCCAAGGACGGTGCCAGGGTCTGCTGCCGACCACATGTGACAGCGTGTGCTGACAGTGCCAGTCTCTGTGCTGCACGGCGTCTCTCTCCCAGGGCTCAGCCACATGGCTGTCCACATGGCTGACACCTTGTGGCCCAAGTACCCGCCCTCAGATCACACTGTGGAGACTGTGTAGTTAGGCCTCAGCTCAACAAAGACACTCGTGTCAAGCAGGACATTGCAGTGGCTTAGGAGAGACCACCCAAGAGCCAAGGACTGAAGCGAGACCTCCCTATGGTCAGAGCCCATGTCCTTTCTGCTGGGTGTATCTCCTGGTGCAGAATCTCGCTTTTAAAACTGTGATGATGGCTGTGGTTCAAGTTTCCAGGTAAAAGTGTATAAATTGTTCATGGGGCTCTGAGAAATACCCATTTGTGGCCCACCTCCTTGGTTTGGTTTGGTTTGGTTTGGTTTTTATATATAGTTTTTGGCCCATCTCCTTTTTTGAGGTTTCCATGTGAGCAGGTAGTCTTTTCCTCTCAGATTCTGCCTTGGTCTTAGATATGCCCCCACCCATGCGCTGGGCATGCCAAGGAAGGTGGCAAGAATCGTGGGTGGGGACAACCACACCTGCAGGGAAGGATGGGCTGTCCCACTGAGCCTGCCAGCCTCTTCCCTTAGGTGAGGAGGGAGTGATTTTCCATCTGGTCCTTGTCTTACTCCTAATCGCGGTGTGGCACACCAGGTCAGGTACCCAGTGTTGCCAGCGTCCCCCAGGTTGGAGGTGTTGGCAGCTTCTTCCGGCTGGACAGGTGCTCCCTGTACATTTTCTCAGAGGGCAGGGAGTGGCATCTTTGTTTTACCAAGAGGTGGCTCAAAGAGGGAGATAGCCTGCCCAAGTTCACACACCCAGTTTGTGCAGAGGAAGAGTTTGAATCCAGGTCAGTTGTGTGCTGCCCCTGGGTGTTTGCCTGCAAGTGCCTGGGCACTGTTGCCTTCTACCCCCTGTCCCTTGAGAGCAAGTGCTGAAGTGGTCCCGGCTTACAAATGGGAAAGCTTGGGCTGTCAGTGCTGCTGAGTGCAGAAGGGAGGAGTTGGGCTCATGTTGTGCCATGTGAGTGCAGTGACACCTGTTAGCCTCAGTGCAACCCCCAAAGCTAACTCTGCAAGTGTTGATACAGTGGGGAAATAGCCTTAGGTGCCTAAAATCCACAGAGGATGGTGAGACACAGTGAGAAGTGTGACCCCAGCCCCCAGCTGGAGGAGGCTCCCAGGTGCACTTTATAAAGTATCTCTTTTTGTTTCTCCCAAAGGAGTTATCTTATCTGCCATCGTCTCCACTGATCCCCAAAAGCCTCCTTTTCTCCTTATTCTGGATGCCAAAAGCTTTACGGAACTGGCTCGCGCCTCGGTTGATGTGGAGATTCACTTGGACCTCCATGGGGTATTCATCCCGGACACAGACTGGGTTGTGAGACAGTAGGCACCCTCCCAGGGGGAGCAGGACAGGGCTCCAGACCGCCGGGGGGCCCCCGAGACTTGATGGCGTTGGCATGTGGGTGCTGGCGGGTGACTCAGGCTACAGGACCTGCAGGACTCCAAGCTGATACCTGTCCAGAGGAGAGGGCCCTGCTTGGCTTTTTCTGGATGCTTCCATGCAGGCTTGGAGACAGAGTGTGTCAGATTCTTTTCGCCTTTCAGCCATGAAAACCCTATTTGAAGTCAAATGTTTACTGATTAGCTCCAGCACCTCTAAGAAAGCCCATTTCCTTCGGATAAACACTTGGACCCTGAATCAGACGTTGTACTAAATCACACTATCTTTATGATTAGACTAAGCAACAGATCACATGTTGGGGAAGACAAAGACATGCACCTGTCTCCATTCCTCTCTTATCCCCTCTCTGCCTCCTGTCCTTCTTTCGAATGGACTAAGTTGTCGCTGTGGGAGTTGTGACAGTAAATCACATGACCAGGAGGATATGCTTCTTTGTGGTCATTCCACACAAGGCTTACCATACTAGAAAATAACAAAAACTTTAACATCTCTTTATTTTTCCATGGCTTCTCCGTACGGATAGCATCTAGATGCCTCTGCAGTCAGTGGGGCAGCCTGGCCCAGGGCCTCCCTTCCAGGGCCAGGTTACAGTGCTGGACATTGACCTTGCTACGCATGGCTGGGGACTAGAGTCTAGGATGGAGTCAGGAGCAGCAAGGTTGGCTTGGGCCCGTGTGTGGAGGAAAAGACAATTTTACAAGCTGCACTCATGGGCACTGTCAGGGAAGACCAGGTGTTCGGGACAGAGAAGCAGGAGACTGATAGTTTTGATATAGGAAGTGCTGGGGATCAGGGGAAGGGGAGAGTTGGGTATGAACCCAGTAGGGTTCCACATAGTTACTGGGGGCCCTGTGAACATGTTAGGTTCCCCTTTATCATAAATGTTTGGAGTATGGTTAAAATAACCAGAGTACACAAATAACCCGGGTACACAAGTTGGGGGGTGGAGAAAGGGGGAGTCAGGGTAGCTGGGATTCACACCTTTGTTCTGCACTTAGTGTGAATTCCCCGAGTCACTCGCAGGGTTTGACATGTCTCAGGGATGGGAAGGAGTGGCTGGTGGCCGTGTGCGTACTACCCCAGAGGGTGCAGGCCTGAGCCAGGACGAGCCAGGATGAGCTTGGCTTTGCTTGTGACCACCAGGAAATACGGCTTTGTTTCCATTAGAATGTAGGCTCTGTGGGCCCAGGGATATGTGTGTGTGTGTGTGTGTGTGTTTTATTGAGGTAACTGCACATACCTATATATTCCTGAGAAAACTCACAGAAAGGTCATGCAAACGTTGCTGGTTTTCCTCCAAATAGCAACATCATGCTGCCCAGTATGGCATTCCACCGCAACCAGGACTTCCAGGGGTCCCATCTACCCATCTGATTCAGATTTGGCAGTTTCATTTGTCCTCATTTCAGTGTGTGTGGGTGCATACACTAGACAGTTTTACGTAGATTCCTGAATTCACCACTGTAGTCAAGATACTAAGCATCAGAACAGGTGTTTTATGTTTTGTTTTGTTGCTGCACCTGCCATCTTCTAATCCCAGCCCCTATCCTTAGCTTTTGAAAACCATTGGCTGTTAAACATGTTGTTCCCAAACATTCCACAACTGAATCACAATCCAGTCGCAGTGTGGCCTTTTCCGCAGAATTTATTGGGTGTTCATCCAGGTGTTGTGTGTTTATCCATGTTGTTGAGGGTTGGGCATGATTGATTCACAGCCTCATGGTTGGCACCTGTAACACTGGCTGGTGTAATACCGGCACTCAGTGAATGCTGGTTGAAGAAACAGGGGTTTCCCCTAGCAGGCAGCATCAACAGGCCTTCTGGGAGAATAGGGAAGCCAGTTCACATGGACTCCAAGCGCAGCAGACATAATTCCCTGTTAAGGTTACACTGTCCTGTAATCCTTGACCTCTCCTATCTCCCCTCCCCTCCTAGTCCCTCAAAACAGCAGTGTTGGGACTGGCACAGTAGCCTAGTGGCTAAAGTCCTCACCTTGCATGCACCAGGATCCCATATGGGCACTGGTTCGTGTTCCCGGCTGCCCCACTTCCCATCCAGCTCCCTGCTTGTGGCCTGGGAAAGCAGTCAAGGACAGCCCAAAACCTTGGAACCCTGCACCTGTGTGAGAGACCTGGAAAAGGATCTAGGATCCTGGCTTCGGATCAGCACAGCTCTGGCCGTTGCGGCCACTTGGGAATGGAAGATTGAATGGAAGATCTTCATCTTTGTCTCTCCTCCTCTCTGACTTTCAAATAAAAATAAAATATATCTTAAAAAAAATAAAACAGCAGTGTTTCCATACCCCCCTCAACTTACATCCTCCATCCAACAAAAACTCATGTTACAACAAAAACACCCCAGGGGAAGAGCAGAATGAAGATCACCCACTCTTCCCAAGGCTTCCTCTAGGTCTGTCAGTTTCCCAACCTGGATTGGATGGACCTGGGCGAGATGTTGGTGACAGTGACCCAGAAAAAGTATGATGCAGGCCTACGTCAGGGTAGCAGGAATGGAACAAGGTTGATGAGAGTGGGCTTGGTGTGATAACCTAGTGGCTAAATCCTCGCTTTGCACACACCAGGATCCCATGTGGGACACCACTTTGTGTCCCAGCGGCCCTGCTTCCCATCCAGCTCCCTTCCTGTGGCCTTGGAATGCATAGAAGATTGCCCAAAACCTTGGGACCTTGTACCCTTGTGGGAGATCCGAAAGAAGCTCCTGGCTCCAGCTTCAGATCAGCTCAGCTCTGGCTGTTGTAGCCACTTGGAGAGTGATCTACTAGATGGAAGATATTTTTCTCTGTCTCTCCTCTCTCCAAATCTGATTTTTCAATAAACGTAAGTAAATCTTTATAAAAAAGAAAAAAAATGTTGACAACTGACAGTCAGTCACTTATTTTAAATACTTGAGAAGTGGGTGGAGTAAAGTTGCCTCCTTACCACCATTCTACTGGATTCAGTTGACAAACAAGACCCGACCTAATCTGTGGGGAAGAAGACTATGTCCACATTTTCTTGACCTGCTTGAAGATGACAGGTGCGATGACTGATGAGGGAGGCTGGCTTCACACACACCAGAAGTTGATGCCAGGATATTTGATCTATCTGGGCACTCTGTTCCTTATTGTTTTCTACATCCACAGGCCAGGGAAAGTAGTTGCAACTCTCCAAGAATTGTGACAAATGCTCCTTTCTTGAGGGAACGACAACACAGTCTAATTTCCTGAGCTGTATTATTCCTGGAGGCAGGATTCTCTAGAGGACCAGGATTTTCTAGAGGAAAAAAAAAATCACTCTGGATTTGCTACTGCCTTGGTAAAGTCCTCACACTTCCCAAGCATTGGGGCACTTGTGTGTCAATTTCACACCAGCTGCACACCGAAAAAAAAAGTTCCACACAATAGGCGCTCAAGAGTTTGCTGGCTCACCAAGTTTCTCCACTGTAGATCTCTCTGATTCGGTCCCAGTCAACTGGCTGTGTACATAAACAGATTGGCCTGTGAAAAATCTAAGTGCCTTTAAGCATTCAGTTGCAATATTTCTTTACCCAAAGTTCCTGAAGTCAGGCTAACTGCTTTGGAAAGGATGCTGGTCCAGGGTGACAGCAAAGTCCTTGGATCACTTTTTTAGCTGTCTCAAGAGCATTGGAGTGGTTTTTGAATGGCCAGGAATGGTAAATCAGGACACACATGCCAAAAAGTTATCACCACCACCATCTTCATCATTCAACGCTGATGAGACAGGCGGTTTGAAGCTTCAATTTCCTCCTGGGCATTTAGACTCAGAGTTCATGTATAGAATCATGCAGGGCCACCCACACCAGCTCCTGAACCACACCAGGAAACATCCCTTGAGGTCCAGTCCCAGCAAAAAGAGGTGAGTGTTTTCTTGGTCATGAACCACAGAGATGAAGGGGCCTAAGGTTTGGGAAGGGTGGAGATGAGCAAGGCTTTGTTCTGCCTGGTAATCAGGAAAGGCTTCCTGGAGGGGTGAGACTTCCGGACCTGCCTGACTGGCCAGAGGGAACACCTGGCAAGGCTGAGCATGCAGCTGGCGTTGAGGGTTTGGCAGCAGGTGTGAGCTGACACAAAAGCAGGTGCAGAGGGCACTTCCCAAATAAAGGGCAGTGGGCAGAGGGAGAGATTTAAAAGGGGTTTTATTCTCTGATTGTAGATGCTCTGCAGAGCACTTGGATAACTTCAAGATACAGAAAGACATCCAGAGGCCCACTGCCCCAGGGAGACTGGAGTTCACTGTGCAGTATTTTTATCCAGTTTTCTTCCCAGTCCACATCTACATGTTACTGATCAGTTTATAACCCACTCGCCACTATATAACCTGCTTTTTTTTTTTAGCATATGAGGTAGGTATCTTTCTAGGTTGTTTAATTCTCTCAAGTGGGTGAATCTTATTCTGTTTGGAACACAGCATCATGATGTCCACTATCCCCCTCTTGAATATTTAGGTTGTTTCCAGTGTTTACAAATAACATGCTAAGTAGCTGGTATGTGAAGTATAGTAGCAGGAGGCTGGATGAAATGGGCAGTCCCAGCATAGAAAAGGATCATGCAGTTACATGGAGTCAGGCAGAGGAGGGCAGAGTGAGGACGGGGGAGCCACAGCCAAGGGCTGTCTTTCAGATGGACCTCCAGAGTATCAGCACCCAGGTGAGAAGGGAGACCAGCGTTGTCTCCAGTCAAGGACAGTCAAGTGCTGACATTTCAAATCCCTTCTTTTCAAGACCTATTTACGTATAAAATTCACTTGCTTAAAATATACAATTCAGCAATTTTTGGTATGTTGAGAGTTGTGCAACTATCATCAATAGTTCATTTAGAACATTTTTAAACACTCCCAAAAGAAATGCTAAACCTATTAGCCTCACTCCCCATTCCACACGCCTGTTCGCTGGGCCCCAGAGCTACATAACCACAAATCCATTCTCTCTTTGGGTTTGCCTATTTGGAACATTTCATGTACATGGGATTTGGTCTTTTATGGCAGGCTTCTTTTAATTAGCAGAATGTTTTCAAGGTTCATCCATATTGTAGCAGGTAGTATGACTTCAGGACTTG